ATGACCAGCTGGAATTGAAAGACTACATTCTCTTGGAATGGAGGATTCTCTCAGGCTACAATCCTTCCTTCCTAGGTACTATATGCAAAGTGGAATCGGTAGCATATGTTGGCTATGTTAATAAAGTTTTAATTTAGGCACACCTGTGCCTCACCATATACCGTAATGTGGAACTGATCATTACTCCCGCGAACAACAAATGCAGCCTATGGAAAGTAGAACGGTGGGTTTCAAGGCTAGTAACAAACAAGCATCATTTTTAAAGAGCAATTATCTCCCTCCATCAAATGGGGTAATAGAGATACTCTAATTACCAGACACGACTATTGGGCAACTGGGGATTGTAAAGTTCGCTTTTAGCAGCAGCTGTTAAAAGACACTCTCTCTCCCTCCCCCTCCCTTTATTAATTTATTTAAAGCACCTACCCCATGCATTTGCCCAAAAGGTTCTCAGGATGGCTTACAAATCAACAAGAAAAACTGCCATTAGACGATCTCTAGAATAATTACCATTTATACTAGTTAAACACCAGCAATCCATAAGCAGTAAAATGATATATAGTTCAGCTAAAAGCAGGCCCCTTCTTGCATTAAGAAGACGAGAATGAAAATGCATCCTCTGCTGCTTTTTGGAAGGCGAGGGTGGGCTTAGTCTGCCAGAGTTTCTTGGGAATTGATTACAAAGCGATGTCCCTACCACTAAGAGAGACGGTGTTTAATTCTGGGCGAGGAAGAAACCTCAAAGATTGCTGTATGCAGGCAAGCACACCCCACATAAGTAACTAATCCTCACCCCTTAGGTGATTCGGACACTAACTAAAGGTCTTTGAGTTTAATACACCACTTTGTAATGGTATTCAGAAACTAATCAGGAGTTTTAGCACAGGGTACTGGTCTACCAGATCAGAAGGTTGGCGGTTCAAATCCCCACGACGGGGTGAGCTCCCGTTGCTCGGTCCCTGCTCCTGCCAACCTAGCAGTTTGAAAGCAGGTCAAAGTTCAAGTAGATAAATAGGTACCGCTCCGGTGGGAAGGTAAACAGTGTTTCCATGCGCTGCTCTGGTTTGCCAGAAGCAGCTTAGTCATGCTGGCCACATGACCTGGAAGCTCTCTGCGGACAAACGTCGGCTCCCTCGCCTATAGAGCGAGATGAGCACCGCAACCCGGGTCATCTGCGACTGGATCCAACAGTCAGGGGTACCTTTACCTTTACTTTTACTGGTCTACACAGGCCACAGGCACTAAATCCAGGATGACTTGCAAAGAGCTTTGTTTGCCCTAATGCAGCCTTCCCTGTTATGGTATAGGATGGGACTGATGGGAGTCCAAAATATCTAAAAGGGCATCAGGTTGAGGAAGGCTGCACTAGTAGATGACCTCCCCTAGGAGGAGGAGGAGGAGGATGGCTATGGAAGTGCAACTCTGTTGGTTCTTCTGAATCTGTCAGCAGCTTTTCATTCCATTGGCCATGGTATCCTTCTGCACCAACTAGCCAAGATGGTTCTGGGAGGCAGTTTCATGGAGACTTCAGTCCTTCCTGCAGGGAAGGTCCCAGAAGGTACTACAGGAAAAGTGCACAACCCAACAGAACAATGAAAGGCAGACCGCAAAGTTGCTCACGACCATCTCTAAAGAGGAGTTTTGAAGGATCTACAGGCAAAGGCTTAAGTTCCACAGTGGAAGACAACTCTTGGGTCACCTGCATGCATCACATCATGGACAAGATCCTTGGGGCATACCTCTCAGATCACACATGGATGCTACACTTATGCTCCTCAAACACTGCTGTCCCAAGGGACCCTCTTCTTTACTTGCTTGTGCGGTTGCCCTGTTGCTGGTGGATGGATTTGTTACATATGATCAGGGATGCTGCAGACTGTTACTGACATGTCTTAGAAGCACATCTAAATCTTGGATTCCTACAGCTTCTGCCTGCCATGTGAAGCTAGCTAGAGCAGCTACTCAAACAAACAATCTGATCTAAGAAACTGAAGCTCACAAAGTAATCCTTTAGCAGCTACTCTATCCTGCAACATCAAAGGTCCTTGATAGCTCACTTTCATCTTATTTATGTGTGGCTGATCTGTATGCCTCCAGAAAATGGCAACTTCGCCTTAACTCACCAAGAAAAATGTGGGGGAGTGGGAGGCACTGCACAATTTTGAAATAGATACCCACATGCATTAAATGTCAAATTACAGACTGCCATAATAATAAGCTATTATGGCGGTGGGGGGAGTGTTTAAAAATATAGTCATTGTTCCACGTGCCTCAAGTTAAAAATAACTCCATTAAATGACTTGCTTTTGCAATTAAGGCTACCCATCAAGCTTGAAGATTATAAGTCTGTTTTTTATTGCCATAAGAATAAATCCATGTTGTACAATACAGGGCCACTTAAAGGAAAGTTATGCAGTTATATTTAAAGATTGTTTCCAGCAAATCAAATAAATGCATTATGAAACAATGTTTGCAACTGGAAGATCTATTATTTTTGCTCACTTTTGCAATTTTGCCTCCCTACTTTCCTATTTGCACCAACAACAGCAGGAGGGTCTTGCTTTATTTCTTTATACCATGAGTCAAGTGAAGCTCCACAGGTGCTGGAGCAATGACTGAATGCAGCGGTGGGTTGCGTGAGGGCCAATAAGCTGAAGGTGAATCTCAGTAAAATGGACTGAGTGTGTGGCTTGGATAGCTTACCTGAAAAGGATGAGGATGAACTCCATCTGCAACAGGGGAACGGAACCACCAGCCAACGGGTCAAATTTGGACCAGGACAGATCCCAATATGGCCTACACTCACCAGCCTCGCACCTGATGTCCCATGTGGAACACTAACATGCAGCTGATCCCTGCAGCAAGCTGCTTTCTCCACCCTATGCTTGGGACTTGTAAAGCACCGAGCGAGCCTGGCAAAGCCCCTTGAGCTGCAGCTTCCAAGCACCCAACAACCAGCTGGCTTTTGTGTGCTTGGGAAGTGCTTTGTAAGAATCTTTACAGGTGAGTTGCCCCACCCACCTGTCAAGGATCTGGGCTGTTAGACCCAAAAGGTTCCCCACCTGTGCTCTGAAGAGTGGTTTACCAGGGAAAGCAGAAGGGCAAACAGAAAGCTCAGACCCATGCTTTCTAGAAGTGGGACAAAAACCTGTGGACAAACCCATAGTCTGTAAGTTCTCCTTGATTTGCTGTTGTTGCTGGAGGCTGAGCTGGCTTCCACATCAAGGAGCATCATTTTCCAGCTATGGCTCGTTTGCCAGCTATAGCCATCCCTTCACAGGGAGAACCTGGTGAAGTGACCCATGCACTGTTAACTTCAAGGTTGGGCTAGCGCAATCCACTCTGTATGGGGCTGCCCCTGAACTTGGTTTGGAAGCTGCAGCTAGTGTAGAATGCAGCAGCTAGGTTGTTAGCTGGAATGCCTTACACCACGAGCATGCAACAACTATTCTGAAAGAAATGCATTTGAGCTGAAGCATTTGGGACTATTGGTTTTGCAGGTGCCTTTCTGTAATTAATGAAGAAACATTTGCTTTCAAGCTGATTTTGGAGGGGATGGAGAGGCCTGCTGCTAAAAAGAAGACTCTGGATCAGATATTCCTTCCCAATCTTGTGGTCCTATTGCATTTTACTAGCATAATGCTATCAACCAACTCTGCAGGATACATGTTGTTGGAAAACTAAGTTTAGTAACTTTTTGCCACCTCAATGAAGCTTTGGATCTATCTTGAACCTCTTCATACACAATACATCTAGACAATTCCTCTTATAACAATTAACAAAGCTTTTATTGCTATGAACAGCTTAACAGAAAAACAGAAAAATCTGTCATGCTAGCATTCTGTGTGCAATTAACACCAGTACCAACCCAACTTTCATCTTATAACATCAGTTTTTTTACCACTAGGGTCACTCTCTCTTACCCCACACAACCACATCTAATTTCAAAAAAACCCCAGAAATAGTGGAACTTTATTCACTTGTATCTCTCACCATCAAACCCTTTTGTTCAGGAAGTTATTAAGCATGAATTTGCATGGTCATACTGGAGAATGCTTGTTTTCAGGCTATACTGAAAATGTGCCTGTGGTGTGCCAATCAGCTTTGCCACAGACAGTTTGAGATTTTGCATGCCAAGGCTCACACCATTTACAGAACCAATCAAGATGAACCACAGTGGCAAATGCATTATTTTAAAACCCAGATCTGCTCTGATCATTTAGAAACAAGGGAGTCCAATTTGAAGGGTAACGGAGGGTGATAAACCTTTCACCACTTGAAGCTTACACAGTCTGTTCCCCAATGTGATTTCCCCCTACCTGAATGCTGTTGTTGTTGCCATTAGAATTCCCACCTGCTGTTTACAATATGGTTGGCAGAGATCCAAGTCTCAATACATTGACCTGTGACTGTTGCATCCAATTTGGTAGCAAGAAAGCTTTCCAGGAAAACAGAGGTGGCCCTTTAACAAGAGGTGTGCAAACATTACTTGGCAAACCAGTCCATGTGGTATCATCACCCTAACAAGAGGTGAAGATCACATTATCTCTCCCATTGGTTCTCCAGTTTTCTGGCCAGGTACAGAAGCATGGCAAGATTCTCATTGGCAGGACAATACTGACTGACTTACCAAAATTGTTATGTGAATGCTTAGTAAAATTGGTCATCAGTATTCACCTCTTGCAAAATCATCACCAGTGGTCATAATGTCTTTTTCACCACGAGCACATTCTGAATATTGATCAAATCTTGCCAGAGGACAAGGATTATGAGAGTCATGAACAACAACAAAAGCAAATATATATTTAAAAAATTGGAAAAGTAAAAGCACAAATCCAATATTAGGTTTCCTTCCCCAGCCCCAGCCCCCCCGCTTTTTCCCTGAGATAAATTCTTAATTGCATTGCCATGCCTCACTACAATCTTTAAAGCCACCTTTCCCTTTCTTTGCATTTTGTTTTTAAACAACTACAGCTTAGTCCTTGAGGGCCACAAGGCTCTTAGGGCATCTGTGTATTAGGCCCCTGGGTCTGAAGATGGGACTCAACCTGCTGGATGAGGGATAAAGTTTCCTGCAACAATGAGTTGGGTTCTCCAGCAACATATGCAATGCAAGGAATCTGGGGCGAAGATAGAACCTGTGACACTTCACAAGGTGGCAAAGCATCAGCACAAAGGATGCTCTGTAAGAATGAGGAATCTATTATGTTTGCTCCATCTGCTTCATGTTGATCTGGGCACACAGGCTCAGAAGACAAAAGAAGCTCAATAGTCTTCCAGATATGTGATTGATCAGAATCACCACAGAGCTGCACATGATCCCTGTCCTGATGTGGCTGTGCTCCCAAGATTCCCAGACTCAAGTTGCTCCACTGTTCCACTGCCCAAGAAGAACTACTTAGTGACTGGAGAGTATCACCTACAGGAAAGTGGTTGGCTTCATTTCCTGCCTCTTCATGCCGCAAAGAGGAAGGATCTCTATGAAATGTCTCTCCACCAAGCTCTTCAGGGTGAACAAAGACAGCATCAGCTGCTAAAGGCTCTTGTCTTGGAAGGACTAGCAGGGGCCCCTCATTTCCACAGAGAAGGCTATCTATGGACAATTGTTGTGGTGGCCATGTCTGGCAAGTGTCCACTTGTGGAAGAGAAAAGCTATCCGCTCCAGCGCTGTCCTTTAAAGTGATATTCTTTCTCCTGGCTTTTGGTAAAGGATTAGATATTGTTTCCAAACTGCCTGTACATGTTCTCTTGGGCAGAATTAGTCCCAGCAACAAAGAAGGGTGGCATGGCTCAAGCCCTATGGAAAGAAAGAAAGCAAATAAACAAAATGACATGTTTCTGTAACTCTAGTGAGAACCCAAGGACAAAAGCATGAGAATCTCAGCTGTTCTTAAAACAGGTGCCTTAGCTAACGGAAAACTACAATAATTAGACTGCAGTATGCACCCTGACATTTTAAAAGCAAACTGGGGGGAGGGGCAAATCATTCAATAATTTTAAAAAATCAAGTCCTTAAACACACTAGCAATCATCTAACCTGTTTAGAAAAAAGCAGACGTGTACTGCTTTAGAAAATGTAAAATTTATGGTGTGTGTCTAAGGGTTTAACACCAGACACAGACCGAAGTGATGTAGGAGAATAATCCTTATTATGAAACATCATTTACATGATGGAATCACTTCAATCAATTTGGTGCTTCCCATTGCCCTGCCTGCCTCTTTTCATTCCCTCACATCAGTCCTAGGAAATAGCATTCTTGATAAATGGACACATGATTCCCTAGCGCTTTGCAATGAGAAATAAAAGAATACCACCACTTCCAAATGTCAACAAATACATTTTAATATCCTGCTCCAGCCAGATGATCAAATTCTGTGCTATCTCAGAATAGGCATGCAAAGGTCATATCAGATAACATGATGAAAAAGGCCAACGGCAGAGGGATTCAGAAAAGTGGACTTTTTAAGATGACCAGCAATTGAAGGATTCTGCTCAGGGGGGCATACACATATCTGCCTCATACGCCAAACATTCAAGATTCATTTTCAAACTCTGGGAAGCTGCATCACTCCAGAAGCTCCAATGTGCATACAGCGGTTTCAATGAGTACAGGCAGCTCCACAAAATCAGTAATGATCCAATTTGCTACACAAACCAGCTCCATGCGCATACTGGAGTCAGGGCCAACATCTAGGGTGGACTCAGAAGCCCCAGAATCCTTCAGTGTACTCCTTATTTTCTTTCCATGGCCTGTATTCTCTGGCTAGCATATATTATTGCAAAATATCTGCCATCTGTTTCCTAGTTCCAAAATTTGGATTTGTTTTGGTAGCAAATATACAAAGCCTTGGCACTCTTGCCATTAGCACATGGCCTGGGTATTTTTCACTGAGTTACTCCAAGGGAAATGTCATTCTTCACACCATCCAGTATGTTATCTCTGGCGAATCAATGAAAATAATAAATGAATGGAAAGAAAACCTACCCACGTGACTGAAAAAATGAAAGTTTACTAGCCCCTTCTCTCTCCCCGCCCCGCTTTCCCCCCAACTCTCTTCTCCCCCAACTATATACTGTATACATCAAAGTTTCACATCAAATATAACTGATCTGTAGAAAGAACTTTATGATCTGAAAATAGAGATGATGTATGTATTTTTGTAAGCCCAGAAAATCTTTAATAAAAAACATTTTTTAAAAAAAGTCCTCTTGTTTGCCTTTACACCTTCTGCCTATCACTGTCATTAGATTTCTACAAGCTTCTGTATGCTGAGAAGTAAAATTTCTCTTTTGTTTACCCTCTCTGTGCCATGGTACAAATAATCTTATAAACCTCTATCATGTCCTTCCCTCCTCAGTCTTCCCCACCCCCAATCTAACAAAACTACTTATACAAACAAAATTCATGCAGAAAAGAAATTGTAGTAGAATAGCTATATTAGTTTACAGTGGAAAGGAAAATCTGAGTATTGACTTAACGTGGCACAAAGTATATTTTCCAGAAAGATATCTATGATAATTATTCAATTCCACTTCCATGAACTTCAAGAAAAAGGAGAAAGATTTGTTCCCAGTTCCTACCTGGACCACCAAATGCGTGCAGTTTAGAAGGCACAGGCTGGTAAGCTGCTAATGGCACCATGAATATCTCCATCTGGTTGCTGTCCACGATGCCATATCTTTGTTTATTGTTCAAGTAGGAATACAGTGTGTTATAAGGGTCGAAGCCTTTGGATAAGCTGGGGTGGAATCTTATCACTCCCATCTCCTGCGCAAACATGGGAAGAAAAAGAAAAGCTATTATCAGGGAGTACAGAGATCCTATGAAAAGGAACATTTTGCCTATTGAGCACCTGTTCTTCTTGTAAGGATCAGGACATTCAGCTCAGGGAGGGCCCCACACAACACAGCTGCCAGATCAGGCGGGGCTCTGTGGCTGAAGAGCTTTTCACACCTCCTTTGGAAGAAAGCCTAACACCTCCCTTCTGCCATCTGACTTACTGCCGCTGGTGCACCACTGTGGCCTCAAGCAACCCTACAGATCAGGTCAGGTCGGGATGAAAATTTCTTCAGTCAAGAATAAGGGTGGCAGCAGGGAATGGCTCATCAAGTCCGGGGCCTGGAAATCACATCCACTCCTGTAAGGTTAGGTCATGCTGGACTGCTTCTAGCTGCAGTTTGACTCAAAGCCAGAAGGCAGGGCCTGAGGATGAGTATCCTATCTGGCTCCCTGCTACCACTTTATAGTTGTTGGTAACCTCTAGGTTGCTACATCTGGCAGCAACTGGGGGTGGGTTGGGGGACATCAGATGCTGCACAAGATATCTGGGAGTTCCCAAGTGGTGTCCACTCCAGTTGCAGCCTCTCTGACGAAGAGGGAAGAAGAATGCATTTAGTTTCCAGTGGCTGTGAGGCTTTGAGCCCTTCTATTCCCACATTAAGCTTCTGTTTTTGCATTCTTTATCTCTTTCTTTCTATTTGTACTTTTGGTTTTTTTGTATACATTGCTCACTTCTAGCCATTAAGAGGCTCCGAGAAAGAACCTTCCCTAATCAAGGCAGGAAGAGGACAGGAGTTCAAGAAAGATCCTGCCTCCTCAGAAAGTGTTTGTTAGCCCTACCTACTCCAGCCCACAGTCTGGTCCTTTACTATCTGCAACTGCAACAATTCTGGAAACAGGAAAGCGTAACAGAAGAGAGTTCTGGATGGTGCTGACATAATTTTTTTTTACTAGGAACTACCAACATAGTAAGATAAAATCCTTGTACTTAAATAATAATAACAATAATAATAATTGATTTATACCCCACCCATCCGGCTAGGTTTCCCCAGCCACTCTGGGCGGCTTCCAACAGAACACTAACATACAATAACTTATTAAACATTAAAAGCTTCCCTAAACAGGGCTGCTTTCAGATGTCTTCTATGGTTTTCTTTCCTTATAAATGCCCCACCACCATCTGTGTGATGAAACAGATTTGCATGTATAGGAAAGGCAAGAAGTAATTACTAAATTTATTCTTTAGCTCAGAAATTACAGATGTAACTATCAGGAGGCCCTAGATTGCTACGAACAATGTTATTCACCTTCCAATCTAGCTACAAGGGCTCATACTGTTCTTTGATTTATGCTGCGCATCTGGTGTTGCAGCATACTGGGTGTTACTTACTTACTTACACACACACACACACACACACACACACACACACACACTAGGGCTGGGCAATATGATGATATATCATCCAAAACCAGTTTGAAGTCTATAACGTGATATTGGTTTCATAGTTTTTGACCGGGCAATATGTCATGAATCATGATGTGTGTTAGGGCTATGCAATATATCATCCAAAACCAGTTTCAATACCATATCATGATACTGGTTTTATCATTTTTGACCTGACAATATATTGTGAATCACAGTGTGTGTGTGTGTGTGCGCGCACGCGCTATGCAAAAATCACAATGTGGCGAAAACTGTAAAACCAGCCAATGCCTCTACATAGCTCCATCGTTATTTCAGACATTATGATTTATCAGTATATTGCAATGTTTAGCTGGTGATATATCACAAAGTTGAAAAGCAGAAATCGCCCAGCCTTACTGTTCACCTCCACATAGTTCTAGCCTTATTTCAGACACTGTGATATATTGGTATATCACAACACTTAGGTGGTGATATATCGCGATGTTGAAAACCAGATATCTCCCAGCCCTAACACAAACACCTTAAAACAATGTCATTAAGCTACAGCCCTAAAACAGTTCAGAGCAAAACTACAATCCTTGAATGATATATCTCTGGACCCAAGGACTCAGTGGAAATATCAACCAGCAAAAAAGCAAAGTCTGGATGAGAGAACTTTTGTTCATCTATGCTACCTTCCCTATACAGATGGCACACACATGCACCTGCAGAATTACCGTATTTTTTGCTCTATAAGACTCACTTTTTCCCTCCTAAAAAGTAAGGGGAAATGTGTGTGCGTCTTATGGAGTAAATGCAGGCTGCGCAGCTATCCCAGAAGCCAGAACAGCAAGAGGGATTGCTGCTTTCATTGCGCAACGATCCTTCTTGCTGTTCTGGCTTCTGAGATTCAGAATATTTTTTTTCTTGTTTTCCTCCTCCAAAAACTAGGTGTGTCTTGTGGTCTGGTGCGTCTTACAGAGCAAAAAATACGGTACCTATGGTAATTACAGAAGCAAAAAATCTGCTACATAGCTGATGCTATGTAACATGTAATTTGGCTCCAAATCCCACTCTTTACAAAGGAGGATCCTGAGGAGGCACAAATCTGCATTGGATGTTCCTGATGGGGCTGTGGGAACCTTCAAGGTCAACTGTGGTATCAAATAAGCAACAGAGCCTGATTAAAATAAGAACCTTTCAGAGAGATACCTTGCTGTTTGCTGGCCATATGCTGTCTAGATAGGACCAGACATCCTCCGGGAGAATACAGCCCCTTCCCTGTAGAAGATGTGGTAAGGCCTGGATGAATCACAAGAGCATAAAGGAAGATCACTATCATAAGAGAAATCCACATGTCTGTGATTGAATTTTGTACACTGATCTAGTGGAAACAGATCTAGAATGAACATTATCTTAGCAACCCTTCTAGGGCTGTTTTAAGGGCAGCAGTTCTCTCCTAACTGAAGATGGGGAGTGCAGGGAGGCTTCCTAAAACTTTCATGGCAGGAATATGATTTGAAGCATGGATATTCCATCTCATAATTTACTGTCTTAGTACACTACACCAGCTTTATGACTTATTGTCGCAATATCAGAATCCCTGGAATATCAGTTTCAACTTAACCAGGGAAGAGTAGAAAGAAAACTTATTTTGTCCTCTCTTTTTACCCTGCTGCTCTAACAGAGACAGTAAGGCTTATTTAGCAACTGCTTATCCCTCCTCCAGAGCTATTAGGACTTGGTCAGACATCCCACCCAAGAAGCAAAATAAAAGGGATGCTCTGATAAGAGTAGTGGCAAACTTGCTGAAAGTTCTTAAATGGGTGGAGATATTGAGCTGTACCTAAACTAGCCCTGCTCATACCCAGTAGAGGCTCTTACACTTGGACTACTGGGGCACAACCCTCCCAAGGAGAATGGCAAACACATTTTTAAAGGACCCGCCTCCCCAATTTCAAAGCCACCCATTCTTTCCTGTCCCACACACATTTTATGCTTCCATTTGAACTCAAGAGTAGTTCTGGAGATATTTCCATCCATCTGCTTTTCTCGGGTCAATCTGCTCTCTGTATCACTTAGCCACACTTAATCCAAAAGTACTGGATAATAAAGAGGTCCCTCCCATATTCCTCAAGGAGAACTGCCAATTTTTGAGCCCTGCTAGAAAAATGCAACCTGTGCAGTTAATAAAGATAGTGCAACTCGTACAGCACGTTGGCGAAAAATATTCCGTTGTTCAAAAATAATTTTACACCATTTATCAAATATGTGAGAAAGAGACAATTACTTACAAAGTGCCATGAAAACTTACAAACTACCAAAAATAAAGTGAACTTGCAATATTAGATTTTTGGGCCCTGGCTGAACAGTTTCCCCTCCTTCCTGTTATGAAGGCAATCTACATTGACTAGAGAGGACCTAATCTGTTCCAGCCTTATCAAATCATACAACTGTTCTGAGCAAACTCAGAGCCATTTCCCTGAAGGCCACCAGATCTCCTCATAGGTTTAGCAGTACGTTTTTCTGGAAGAAATGTGGGGGAACTCAACACAAAGCTTGTCTGTCTGTCTGTCTGTCTGTCTGTTTGTTTTTGTTTGTTTGTTTGTTTGTTTAATGTGGGATCCAGTCGCAGTGCCACACACATACAGGCAGTGGTTAAATGTAAGATGTGATTAATAAACTCAAGCAAACAATGATCTGGATTAGAAATGGCCACAAATTTGTTGATTACAGATATAGGTGGATTTTTGGCTCAGGCATTGGGTGTATGTCTGTTTCAGCCCCCCCCCCTAAAAAAAATCAATTAATTTAAAAAAGGTAAGGGAACCAAGTTCCTGCTCAAAAAAACCCTTGGACTTTAGTAACCAGAGAATTAACATGTTCCCTTCCCCAAAAGAGCCTTTTTATTTTAGTATTTTGTTTTGTGGCTTTGCTAGAGAGCGACCAAGCAAGCAATAGCGGGCACATTGTGAGTCGTTTTCCTTTAAAAATATCAATTTTTTTATTTGGTCACTTTGCATTTATTTTTGTGAATTTCCTGGGAGAATGGTGGATAGCTTGTGTATGTATTGCAACGAACTGTGCATTAACCATTTCCCTGTACTCACTCATTAAAAACTGCAGCAGGTGTTGGTAAGGATTCTTTTAATTTAGAAAAAAGTGTGTTTTGGATAATAAAAAGTTAAAATTGATTTGGGGTGAGGATAACTGCATGCAACTGGAAGCAAGTGTTCCTCACATTTTAAAAGTTTTTGCATGTTTCTTTGGTTCTTTGGAAATGGATATGTAGCTGTAATCAATACACGAATTCACAAACTTATGCTGTGAGGTCTGCCTTAATTTCTAAATAAGAGCTATGCAGTCAGTATTGTCTGAAAATGATTCTTGAGTCCTCTTGCTTAGCAGCTCTTTCCCTGTCCATAGATGTGCAAAGAATAATGGGTGTTTTCCATCAAGGAGACGGTGGCAATCTGCACATCTGTAATGGTAAACTTTCTTAAATAAGTGTTGTATGAGTCCTATTGTGATGAAGCAAGGTTAAAAACTGCAACCTGTCATGGGCCAGGAGTCAGCTTCTCCTGCTGAACAGCAGCCTGAAGGGGGAGAAGGCAGAGTGACTCCACCTGCAGCTGATCAGCCTTCAAGGACACAGAGAAGGCACTGATGAGAACCAGCTGGCTCCAGCCTTCTTAAACAGAGCTCTCAGCAGCAGTCAGAGGCTGGAAACAAAGCCTGTGGTTCCTGGCCCTACCTTGCTGCTTCCTGCTCTCTGTTTGGACCCTTGGCTTCGTGATCATCTGATTCCCCAACCTCTGGATTGTCTATGTGGATTGCTGTTTGCCCAACCCTTGGAACGGACTTGACTTTGTACGCTGACTCTGCCAGGTGCATCTCAAAGACTCTTATTTCCTGTTTGTTTGGGCTCGCACTCCACCGAGCTCTGCACGGTGTTGCTTGGCAACGGGACTATGACACAGCACTACCAAGTCAAAGTGTTACCAGCCACCACTGCTCATACCTGTGACAGATTACAGCTGGATCCAGAAACAGGATATGCTTTTGCCACAAATTGCTTCACACTGAACATGTGAATGACTCCTTCCCAGATGGCGGAGTTCCTGGGCTGCTTCTCCACTCGTCGATGTTTCTTTGGAATGTGAGGTGAGATGGGGCTAAAAGAGATGAGGAAATATGCAAATCCAGTTCTGTTCAGAATTGTAGAACTGGAAGAGACCTCGAAGACCATCCAGTCCAACCCCCGGGGCTCAGTGTAGGATCTGCAATACAGGATCTTGCAACTACAACATCCCGAACAGATGGCTATCCACTCTGCTTAAATACCTTCAGAAAAGAACTCGCCACTTCCGGATGCACGTTCCACCATCAAATAGCTCTTAGGAAATGTCTTCTAATGTTGGCATTCTGCCAGCTCTTGAAGACACACCTGTTTACGCAAGCATTTCCCTGAACTGAACTTCTGGTTTTATTGTTTTAAAAACTGTTTTTAAATGTCATTCTTTTCAACTGCTTGTTTTATTGGGTCCAATCCAAACAGACACAAAGGAATGTGGTAAATGGAGCCTGCTATTCCTCCTGCTCCTATCACTGCTAGCTATCCCAAAGAGTGCAGCTATTGGCTATTCAAAGCGGGATCGGCAAGGCTGGGGAAGAACATTTCAAGCTATTGGGACACTCTGGTGTGGACCTTAAGGTAGCTATCCCTGAACAAAGGAACTTCAAAGGAAATCCCAACATGAGACGGCCGAGTTACAATTTATCAAGAAATTTGATTCTAATTCATTTGGGCCTGAATAGAGACAATTGTTTCCTGTCCAACTACAGGTGTTATTTTACTCAGCAATGCTAAGCAGATTCTGTTATCACCAATTGTTGTAATGTTTCATAGTGTTTGCATACAGTTAAGCTCTAATTAAATTGGCACAGGCTGTACTTTTGTACTTCCTTACCAATGAACTCCAGTTTTTATACTCCCTCACTCCCCCGCCCCCTTACACACATACAAACTGAGAGGTATTGCAATGCATCTGATGAAGTGGACTCTAATCCATGAAAACTAACACCATAATAAATTTAATAGTCTTTAAAGTGCTTTTTTTCTTTTCTTTTCAAGAGACTAACAAAAGTACCCCTCTGGAAGTTGTTGCAATGGAAGCCATCTGTTTCAGTGGATCATTGTTTTTTAAATTTTTGTTAAGTCAGAACGTTCAGAACTATTCCTCAACAACTCAGCCAATAACAGAGGACATACTGATACCAAATATGACAGCCAACAACTACAAAGGTTCCAAAAACACCAGACTAAGTCTCAGAATTTTTCTTCTATCTGTTGGATGGGTGGTAGAAGAGTAAGAATCACATTTCCCCTATAAATCTAGATGTGCTGTGCTTTATTATCTCATTTCTCTCTTGGACCTAAAAGGCTATCCAATGGAAATTTTCCTCTTACCCTTGTATGAAGGGAAAATGGCAATGCATGCCTGAGTTACTGCTACAGCTTAAAAGTAACTGTGTTGATATCCACCAAATGAACAAAGCTTCACACATCTCAGACTGACTTATTTCTTTTAAGGTTTAATGTATCGCATTTTTAAAAGTGTTGCGTTATTTATAGGGTTTATCTTCAATATTAAAGTTCTGGGGGTTGAGAAGTATGAATTATACAGACCTGTCCACATGAAGAGGCCTTTCTCCTTCCTCTGAGAACATGGTGCTTGGGTGCCAATGTTTGGTGGCATTTGCTTTCTGTTTTAAAGCGTGCTTGTACGTAGGTGGCTTAAATCCCTGCTCACCGCCGGCAGTAATTTGTCCTAGAAAGCCAGAAGGAACAGTGCTATTTTCCCCCCACATTAAAAGATTCTGAATCAATTTTCAAGAATCCTTTTTCTCCGTTGTCAAATTTAATTGGCAGGCCCAAGATTTTTCTACTGCCGCTTGGATTTGAAGATTGACTTTGGAGTTTTGTATTTGAAGAAATAATAAATAAAAACTCACAAACTCAGAAGGTCAGTCTTATAAAGAATGGCTGGAATCTTTAATTCGGTGGTCCAAAAAAGCAATCCCTCTTTTTGCTGCAGAATGTTAACAAGTTTGGTAACTTACCAAAACAACTAAGATAGTTAGGATCCTCAGAACGATTCCGCTGAACATCATCTGGGTCTCTCACAGATACTCTAGGAATCTCAGAACTATGGTTCACCTCTTTGGCTGACTGTGATCCCTAAAAATAATGCAAGGTGGCAAGTTACTGTGCCCTTAACTTTTGGTTTCACTGACTACAATTAGTCTCTTTAGTTAAACAACTCAATAGTCAATTAATCGGGGGGGGGGGGGCAATTAAAAGTTTGCAGCACTTGTAAGAGCTAATGTTGACTCCTTTACAGCATCTGGCAAATTATGCGGCTCTCTGATCCTATCCAGAACAGGCTCTGACCAAAGCACTACTGAAAGCATAATCAAACTCACTAACAAAAAGTCGAAGGGACTGTAGTGTGAGGTGCACCATTACTTTTCAGACCTGCACCCCCAAGGTCCCTACGCAGGTTCCGTAGTACAAGCAAGTGCAACCCCTTGCTCTTCTTTTATAGTGATTACAGGAAATTTTAATGACGAGCAGGGAAAAGTCTAGGGCCACATTTAGGCTCTGTTTTTGCTGCACCTGCTTGGACTCAAGGCACTGGTACTGTTAAGTAGTTCTCTACTACCCAACAATCTGCACAGAAACCTGTGTCAGAAATTCATCACATGCAGCTCAAATGCCTGCTTCATGCAATCTGGTTGATCTCAGGCACCTATATATTTTTCCTTGAGCATGAAATGATTTGCACAGTATATGCTCAGTTGGTTGTGCTTGTCTGAACATCGCTATCTACTCACAAATATTTCTTGGAACATCAAGTCCTCTTCTGCTTCTCTCTCTATCTCTACAATTCCTTTGTGGTTGAATTTTGCAGAGCAACACCTTGGTGCTTCTTGTTCCTCTCTCTCTATTATTTCCAGCGCCTGCAAACAGCACAGTGATGTAGGCATTGCTCTAAATATGCATTGGGGGGGCACTTCACATATAATGCTTTTGGGCTTACACTTGATATATAATGCACAAATGCAATAAACATGTGTTTACCAAGATTGTATCATACACATACACTTGTTATGGAACCAGGGTTGACTATGACCTGAAGCATACACTCAGTGGCACAGGTTTGCCACCACGTATGTGTGAAAGAGTCCTAAAGCTAGGATACACATGGAAAAATAAAGCCAAACATGTCCCACCGCTGGGCTTCTATTAGGACGTATTTTTCTCTAGTAAGTAAATTGCCGTCAGATAAGCATAGAGCAAGCTGCTGACTCTGAAACAACTTCGTGGTCCAAGCTGGAAACTGATTCGCTCTGCTTTGCCTTTTCCTGGGCATAAAATGATTACTTACACGTTTGTTCTCTTTGGCTCTCCACTCTGCTAGTTCCGGGGGTGCCATCTCAAAGGAGCTCATCTGAACTAGTCTCTTGGGGGTAATCTCCCCAAGTATTAATTTGCGGAAGAGGTACTGAAATAAAGTGAAACAAGCAATCCTCATTAGAAAGACTATTTATTAGAATAACAATAAAGCAACTTTTGCAGGTTGTTTAAAAAAAGGCTGAGAGAGTGAGCCATTTTGCATAGTGAAGGATATCTTACTAGCACAGCCAATTTAAAAAATAACAGTGATGGCCAGACACATCTTTCAACCCTAGAGAGGGAATAAAGATTACTGGATGACAAGTGTAATGAAGGGTACAAGTCAACAAAACATAGGGGGGGGGGGGGGGAAATGTCTATCTTTCACCGCGATTTACAATCTTTGCGTAATAAGGAGAATCACACTGCCCATTAAAAATATCATGAGGCAAATAAAGAGTTTTGTGTGCTTTTTCATTTTGTTTTTCTGACCTGGTTTTCTGCAGATTTTAAGTTGAAGAGCAGACTGCGGTACTTGTTCTTGTAGTTTTGTTCAACACAGCAAAACCGTTTGAAAATCTCCTGCTCCACTTTCTTTGCTATCTTCACGACTGTTTTTTTCTGTACACACAGGTCAGGCAAATCATCCAACCTGAAACACAGAAGGCAAGGAATGTGTTGATTTACCTAGACAGGGCATCCACACAAGGGCTGATCTGCAAACATGCCTGCACTTTCACAAATAAACTGGTCAGTGGGCCAAGCCCAGAGTCCACAACATCTCAATGCAACAGATAAATGTGTAATGCTAGTGTGGTATAACTGCTAGTTATTGACTTGGGCCATTTTGAGGATATCATGGGATATCATGATATGTATCACGTCTTGTACTTTTTGAAGGAATGGTGGGATAAAAAGAATAATGCTACAAATGTTTCAGATTACCTTTACCACCTTACAATCAAGAATCATACATAAGTTCCTTTCCTGTGTAGACTGAGACGTCCAGGCATTTTTACCTTTTCAAAAGAGCTTCCCTCAAGGCATCCACAACCTTACGACGACTTTGTTCCTGAGTCAGCTGAGAACTGTGAACTGGAGCTGGTGCCTTGCTAGGTCCCTGGCGTCTCTTATTCTTCTTTGTCCTATCATCATCTTAGAACAAGAGAAAGAACTTTCAGATCTTCCAACATTCTCCCAAAGGAACTTACAGAACAGAAATTATATGAAGACTCAGTACTGCCTGCTTTTAAGGCAGGGGTATGGAACCTCAGGCATGGGGGCCAAAAGACCTCTCTGTATGACCCTTTGAACTCTCCAGACCACACCCATCACTGGCCTTACTTTAAAGCAAGAGCATTTTTGCCTGGTGTGCTTGAACTATGCGCCCCTTGTTTTTCTTGATGGAGGTGTGTGTGTGTGTGTGTGTGTGGAGAAAGTAGTCTACAGTACAAAGGTAAAATTTCTATTTGTTGCTCTGCCCAGTTTTGCCTCCGACTCCACCTACCACTGGGCATGTGGCCTTCAGAACTTTGCCTAGAATGGAACAAAAATTGTTCCCCATCTGTTTGAGGGGTTAAGCTTTTCTGAAAAATCAATGGCTACATTCTCAGTTACAGAAGTGAGAAACACACATGCACTCAAAACAGCCAACACTCATTTTCTTCTCCCAGCTGAAGACTGCTCTCTAGTAATCAGCAGCCAAAAGCAAAATATATCATAGTACTACATAATTAAAACTTGTATAAACAATTCTTTTTGGGGAGTAATGGCCCCACAATTTTGTTTCAAGGCGCAAATATTATTTCCCCCCACTGCTGCCCCAGGCTGTGCTTGTTTTATACAACACCTTGGTATTGCTGGTTAAATGCAATTCACCCTCAAGCTAACACCTGTTGCCACTGAGACGCTACAAGATGACTGCATGATGGTCAGCTACATGAGCACTTCCCCATTTTTAACATCTGAACATTCATTGATATAGCCTATAAAAAGGAGGGGGAAGTAGCCAGCATGAGCAGACCCTGGAGTCTAGAGCTGTGAAGATGTTGTGAAATGCTGTTGCTTTCATTCCACAGTACTTGGAACCACCGAGGGATAAAAAGGAACATTTTGCTACCACAGCAAAAATGCAAATTCAGTGGTTTTTTTATCAACACTGTCTAATTTGCCTAATGTACTCCAGCTGCTGAACTGCAGCATTTTAAAATCAAAATTTGAGTTTATTTGCCCTCCAAAGTACTAGCCTCAGTCCTAGAGTAAATTTTAAAATATCCACAGAATGAAAAAAAGTGAGCGCCACAATGTGTCATAGCAGTTGTTGTTCTGGGAATAGCAGGACTCTCAACAGTTTGGTACCCATGATGGGCTTGCTTTGGTTACTGCCAGTGCTGTGATAAAACGTTCAAGAAATAAAGAACTTGCCCTCTTCACAGTTCCTTCCCCAGGGAAGCCACACTGCCAACAGCTTTCTCTACACTTGGAAAAGCATCAGAGCTAAAACTATTTGAGCACACAACCCTTAACTGCTTCAGACAAGGTGTACTATAAGCATTTTTCAGTGGCTGCTTTTTAAAAAAGAAAAGAACATTCTGCCCTGAGAAAACCTTCTGACTCTAGGACACCAACAGGTGGTTTTGTAACACCTCATGGACTCAACAAGCCCTTCATCAGTCTGAAAATATCCTGGGATTTATCAAATACCATTTCAGTATTGAACTGGTTACTGAAATGTTTGAGCTATATAGAAGTAGAACACACAAATCTGTAGCTAGTGAGCTCTAACTGAGCAGGGATAGGGACCCTTCTAGAAGTTATGATTGCAGGGCCCTATCCTCTTGGCCTGCATATAAAGCATCTATTTAATGCACATTTAAAGGACATGACTTTCCCACCCCACCCCCCAAAAAATCCAGAGAACTGTAGTTTAAGGGTGTTGGGAACTGCAGCTCTCTGCTACAACTGCAGTACTCAGGATTCTTTGGGGAGGTTGTTTTTTTAAATACATGTCGTGTACACAGCTTTATACCACATAAAGCACTGTGCACAGTGATACCATGAGCCCCCTCCTGCCAACCTAGCAGTTTGAAAGCACACTAGTGCAAGCAGATAAATAGGTACCGCTGCGGCGGGAAGGTAAACAGCATTTCCGTGCGCTCTGGTTTCCGTCACGGTGTTCCGTTGCGCCAGAAGCGGTTTAGTCATGCTGGTCACATGACCCGGAAAGCTGTCTGTGGACAAATGCCGGCTCCCTCGGCCTGAAAGTGAGATGAGCGCTGCACCCCATAATCACCTTTGACTGGATTTAACTGTCCAGGGGTCCCTCACCTTTACCTTTATTACCTATGAGCCCCAATGGATCAGACCAAAGGTCCTATGGGAAGTCGCAGGCCTGAGTGCAACTGCATTCGCCTCATGCGATTTCCAACCAGTAGCATTCAAGAGGCATACTGGCTCTGACAGTGGAGGGCAAACATAAGACATCCTGGCTACATAGCTTTTATTCTCCATAGATCTGTGTCTTCGTCATTCATTCATACATTATTTGTAACACTGGTGAGAGGGAAGACTTCAGCCTTGTGAGCTCTATTCTGCTATTCTGTATTTTTGCTATATCTCCATTTGATAACTCCAATATCCACCAACCAGTCAGGCGTAAAATTGTGGCTGAGTGTACCGAGTCAATTATCTACTGTGTCTCAAAAGCCATACACTAGAATAATCTGCATTTAGAAATATATATCTGTATCTGTGTCGTGGCAAATCAGGTATATGAACAAGAACTCTTATATACATTGTTAACAAATCAATATTCAAATTTTAAAAGAGGAACACAGAAACCGATATGCAACTAGCAAAAGCCCAGCCATGATTGAGAATTATTTTTAGTTGGAATTTATGGATCTTCTGTAAAGCGCCCAGATGTCTACCTGTCAATTTTACCTTTTGCCCACCCATGGGGACTGATGGCTAAAAGCCATACATGTTCAGTAAATAAGCAGCAACTTACCTAAATTCAAAGGCTTGTGCTGAATGACAGTTTCTGAATACAGCTTCCCTTCATTTTTACTATTTGGTAGCAGAAGAGCACAGTTGCCTTGGCTTTCCTTGTGCTGTGGGAATTGCAGTGAGGATGGTTGGAAGAAAAATGGAACTAAGTTACTGGTTTCTTTGGACCTTTAATCAGGAAAAATTGATAAAGTAAGAGACCTTTTGCTGAATAGCCATAAACGGATTCCTTCTATGAGCCCTAACCATGGCCAAGACTGGTATTGATGAACTGGAAAGAATAAAGACATGGTCCCCTTTAATTGATGGATTGAAGACATGACAGCGCTCACAACATATGAATGGACTGCTTATTGACACAGACTTCATTTGGAGAAATATATTGGCATTTGGAAATAATTTATACAGGATATAGTAGGCTATCAACAATCATATATATATTATGACAATAACAGTACTTACATATCTATAGAAAAATGCAAGTGTAACTGATTATATTGCGGGGGCTCAATTAGTGCCAGCGCCTTCTGTAAAGAGCTTGGGTGTAACCTTTGACGCCTCCCTTTCCATGAAGGCGCAGGTTGCAGCCACAGCAAAGGTGGCATTTTTCCATCTCCGCCATATTAAGCAGTTGGTCCCTTACCTTTCTCGCCCTGATCTGGCCACAGTGATCCATGCAACGGTCACCTCCAGGCTTGATTATTGTAACTCGCTCTACGCAGGGCTGCCCTTGAAGCTGACCTAAAAACTCCAGCAGGTGCAGAATGCCGCGGCGAGGCTCCCTATGGGGTCCTTGCTGTGGGATCACATTCATCCAGTGCTTTACCCGGTGGAGTAAAGGGTCAGGTTTAAGGTGTTGGTTTTTACCTTTAAAGCCCTATGCAGCCTAGGACCCACAGGACTGCCTCTCCTGGTATGCCCCGTGGACCTTAAGGTCCACAAATGACAACATTTTGGAGGTCCCAGGTCGCAAGGTAGTTAGATTGGTCGCAACTAGGGCCAGGGCCTTTTCAGTACTGGCCCCGACTTGGTGGAACGCTCTGTCACAAGAGACTAGGGCCCTGTGGGACCTGACATCTTTCCGCAGGGCCTGTAAGACAGAGCTGTTCCGCCTGGCCTTTGGTTTGGACTCAGTCTGACCCTTGTTTCCCTCCCCTTATGGTTTCTGATCTATGGGCTATGTTTAAAATGAGGCTGCATTTTAAATTGCATTTTAGCCTGGATTTTAAATTAGTTTTTTTCTATTATGTTTTTACTGTAACTTTATTGGTGTTAGCCGGCTCTGGCCGAGGAGGGCGGGGTATAAATAAATTCTTATTCTTATTCTTATTATTTAGTCTGCTATACCCTACTCTATATATCTACAGTGGGTATGGGTGTAAATTTTTTATTCTTTTTATTCTTCTTTGCACTTTTTTCTTCTTTTTCTTTTTTCACTTTCTCCTGTGAAACTGAAATTCTCTTAATTAAAAATTAATTGAAAATAAATGGATTCTTGATCTGCTCATTATGTTAAATTTCTCTTTTCAGATAAAGCAGTGTGAGTGCTGCACAAATAAGTACCATATTTTTTGCTTTATAAGACTCACTTTTTCCCTCCTAAAAAGTAAGGGGAAATGTGTGTGCGTCTTATGGTGTGAATGCAGGCTGCGCAGCTATCCCAGAAGCCAGAACAGCAAGAGGGATTGCTGCTTTCACTGCGTAGTGATCCCTCTTGCTGTTCTGGCTTCTGAGATTCAGAATATTTTTTTTCTTGTTTTGCTCCTCCAAAAACTAGGTGCGTCTTGTGGTCTGGTGCGTCTTATAGAGCGAAAAATACGGTAATCAAACTGACAAAATAGAAATGGTACAATACTTCATATTCTCTTTACCCATCTCACCAACAGGATACCTTCTGTCTATGATAGGAATTGACAACTTGGTGCCTTTCTTGGCATTCCTAAATCAATCTGTCAGTAATATTGCTGGTCTATAGCTTTCCACTCTGAATGGTTTGTAAGTTTCTAAGGGGGAGAAGTGCAGAGATGGGTTTCTCCCCTTGTGATCCTTCCCTTCCACTTAGCCTACGTTTTGTTGTCTATGCTCTGATAACCTCTAGCCTGGATTACTGCAATGTGTGTGATACATGGGGCTGCTTCTGACGATGATTCAGAAACTTCAGCTGGTGCAGAATCTGGCAACCAGGTTGCTCACTGGGGCAAGATGGTTTCAGCACTGACTGCCAATTAGCTTCTGGGTCCAATTCAAAGTGCTGGTTTTGACCTATAAAGCCTTAAATGGCTCAGAACCACAATATCCCAAGAACTACCTTTCTCCAGATGAACCTACCCAAACCGAGATCATCATCTGAGGACCTTCTTCCTGTGCCTCCTTCATGAGATCCAGAGGGTAGCAACATGAGAACAGGCCTTTTCGGTTGTGGCTCTCCATTTTGTGGAATGCTCTCCCCCGGGAGATATGGCTGGCCCCTTCATTATACACCTTTAGATGCCAGACAAAAACATTCCTCTTCAATCAAACCTTTGGTTGATTAACATCTGATACCCTTTTAAAACTGCTGGGAAGATACTTGGTTTGTTTTTGTTCTTATTTATATTACTTATTTTGTGGGTTTTATATTGTGTTTTTGTGTTGTGAACTTCCCTGAGATCTATGACTGAATGGCTGCATGCAGATTTCAGTGAATAATAATAATATTTCAGCAGCAAGGATAGCAAGAAAGGAAGTTTAAAAAGGGGATATTTTTGTTGCATGACATTTGCTTTGCTGGATTTTTCAACAAGGCAATCCACTTGACACCAGAGGCAAGATTTAAAAAACGCAACAATGAACAAAGGGATGGATGAACAAATACTCCCTTTAGCCAGCTCAGTGCTGAGAGGTATCAGTCACATTCTCCTTTCACACAGCCTCTGCAGCATGACTGGCACCAGAGACAAGTTCGGCTTCCAACAAATTAATAAGCTCTTGACATTACTACGAAGCAGAAAGAGGCCTGAAACTTATTGCAAACTCCGATCCAATCATCTTCATTAAAAAGGAGCTTGCTCAACTATCTTAACCTTTATTGCTGTCAGCTGCTAATCATTCTACTCAGTTATTTCATCATGCTGCAATGTAATGGGAAATATATACTGAATGGGATCTAGTAATGTGCACCTCATCATCTGATGAATCCTCCAGTTCTATGAGCTTCCCCAAAGTGAACATTTCATCACTGCGAGTCTGAGTTCCAAGGAGTTTGACTGTTGACCCAGACAATTCCTAAAAGAAGTAAATTACAGAACAAATAGAATCAAACAGAAAATAGTTTTAAATATAAGACTAGGAAAGTATGGGGGAGGAGTGGGAACTGTCGTAAATTCCACCATGATCCTAAAATGGATCTATATTTGGCAGCTAAGCTTTCTGCTTTATTGGATCCAGGAACAGGAATTCATACATGAGGCTAAAAGGCATTAATTGACACATTTGGGTTTGTAATGTAGGTATAATAAACTGATCAAAGCGCTCGTTTCCATTACAAATGCCTCTTCTCTGATTTCTCTTTGGACATTAATAAAGCAGCAGGACAAGAGAGGGGCTCTTATAGTGTTTTTTGCCCTTTTTTGTATCTGTAATGCAGATGCAAAATCTAAAGTGGACAGACTGTACACTCAGTTTAATGTGACTCTACTTGCTACCTCACATTAATATTTACATGGTCACACAATTTTATTTTATTTTTTAAAATTATGGACAGTTCCTTATTTAAGTCACTTTGTCATTATAGTAAAAAGAAAGGTTGAGGAAAGTTTTAGTGTTATGTAGAAAAAATCATCTTAGCAACAAAAGGCAGCTGTCAATCAATATGCAGCAGAATCCTATTCAGAAGCAAAACCCATTGTATTCAGTGGAGCTTACTCCTCCAGTGACTGCAACCTGAAAAAACTGTTGATCATATCCATTTTTCTACCAGTTAATAAGCACATGTGCCCTTCACTAGCAGTCTCACAAATTATAAACTGAAACTCATTGATTAATCAACTAACACTGTAATCACAACCCCCTCTGCATTGGGCTGGGGAGGAGCCGGTTTAAGAGGTGTCACTCCACAGGTAACAGAGCTCCCAATTTGCCTGTTGGGTGAAAGTGATGCAAGTGGGATCCCCTCCACCTCAAGTGGCAGCTTGCATAAAACCCTAAAACAGGGCATTATGGGAATGGGGAAGGGCTGACTGGACCTGCTAGATCTCAAGTCAGCCTCACTATCATCATGTGATGACATCAGGCCCAACGCTGCACAAGCAAATGGTGGCAAAGTTCCATTAAGACTTTTCAGAACTTTACACCTTAAATTTTAAAAATCTTCCTTGCATCTTCTGTTACCTCAGAGGAACAATATTAGAGTCAGAGAGTGTAAGTGTTTAATTAATGTTGATGTGTACCTTTGCTAAACAGTACTCAACATTATAAGAAGATCTTGGTGTTAGGAATAGACATTGCTTGAGTTACATGAAGTACTGTGTAGAACTACCATTCTAATTCCACTTCCAGCCAATCATGGAAAAGCAAGGCTTCAACCAAAAGCACTAGGATACGAGTGGTCAATTCATCGAGTCAGTGCCTGGCCGTCCCACACTGAACCACTTCTGATTTCAGAAGTGCCAACTATCTAAAGCAGAGGTTTTCAACCTTTTGAGGACCGCAGCTCCCTTGACCAACTACATTCTTTCTGCGGCTTCCCTGTGAGGAAATGTGCTCCAAGCCTCAGAAGCCAAATTATGTCACCCCTTGCCTGCAGAGTCCACAGTCCTTTACCCTTTGCCCCAAAGAGAGGTGCCTCTTCACTCCCCACTTGTCTATCCATTCCCCACAGCAAGGACTAGTGGACTGGCTGGCTGGGCTCCCTCACCCACTTGCTAGCTTACTCCAAGGCCGTCTCAGTTCCTGGCAACCAGCACCCCCTGGCCAGCCCCAGAGGCACCACTTGCTAGGGGAAGCTTATAGCCAGGCCTGCTGCAACCAACAGCCATGCAAGCCCTAGGGGGGCAGAGACGCAAGAGGGCAAAAATCCACATACAGAAAGATAAAATTAGAGAAAGAAGAGAGATGAAAACGTGTGGTATCTCAACATTCCAGAGACAAATCTCAAGGGAAGAAGAGTCCACTAGAAGAATCTGATTCCTCTGTTCTGCAATACTGGTATTTGTCAACTCATTGTGATGATTAGGATCATTTTCACCCCTCATTTCACTTCATAATTACAAAACTGATCCTCTTGGAAAGTCTGTAGCTTCTTGCTTTCCTCTCCCTTCCATTTGGCTGTTGGTAGGACAAATCAAATAGTCCTACATATGAGCTGGCTCTAGCACAGACACATCTACAAGATAGTCACAAATATAGCTGCAGAGAGAGGCTGGGTTGCAAGTAATTACTCTAAGCTGGCACAGATTAACCTGCGTGTGCGACAGCTGATTTACACCTGTCTATTCAGTACATCCACAAGATGAAGCAGCAGCAGACTGCTCCGCAGGCCATCACAAATACACACTGGGGTTCAAAAGTAGTGCTGTGCAAACTGCCCCATTATCAGATTTTAAGTGGCCATCGCAAGCTCAAAGTTAATCTGCATCAGTTTACAAATTCGTAGAGTTGTGTACATAACCAAATGCCTATGTAGTTCAGAACACTGAGACAGAACTACTTATTAACTTTCAGAGAACAGGCCCAGCTTTAGGCGTTGGTGTGATTCAGGGGAATATGACTCTTCACGTCAAGCCTGATAACCTCACAATCTTTTATCTGCTGTATTTCCAGAGAACACTGGAAGAAATGTCAATCTAGCTTAGTGCTGCCTACAATGGTTGGCATAGGCTCTCATAGGGACATTCTCAGCCCTACTTGGCAATGCCACACATGAAACCACTTTGACCTTTTTTTATAATCACGTGGTACATTTCATGAAATGAAATTAAACAAACATTGGACCTGCATGCTGAGCTACAGCCCTTCTGATGTTAACATGCCCAAAGGGCTAATAATTGAAGCTGCAGTCCTAGCCCTACTTACTCCCAATTTAATGGGACTTCTGAGAAGACTGCAATCTTAAATTACAATTAGCACCCTAAAGCTGGCCAGTTTTAACCTGGAACAAGGCATCTACGGTAGGTAATTAATGGTTATTCAAGGGGATAATTAATCAGAGTTAGCTTATTTCTATCCCAGTGCTGTAGTGGTATATCCTACCTCTTTATTATTAGATTTAAAGGAGCTATGTTGCATACTGCAACTTGAGAAATAAGATGGTAAAGCCTAGAGTTCAAATACTGCATTAAAATTAGATTACTTAATCCTCACCAAACCATAACCATAAAGCAATGAGGACAGTAAGAAGATGACATACGTAAAAGACCATTTTTACACCGTGAGATTGATGTGGTCGCAGGCTTTCTTCCTCCTTGGACAGAAAGAGAACACACCAATTATAAACCAACTTTTAAAAGCAATCTGTTTTTTAGTTGGCTGATTAAGAAAAATATCTAACAGATCACCCGTCCCCCACACTCACTGTTTCCCATCAAGATCAACAAAGAACACCTTTCCAACCATCAGTGTTCAAAATCCAGATAATTTTTAAAGCGTGTACAAGTGTTCTCTGAAGCTTGCCAAGTACGACAGGAGGAATTACATTTCTTACTCTGGCGGGATTGGCTAGGGCTTTTATCATGGAATACTGTAGAGGTCTCATTTTAGGGCCAGTTTTTGTACATGATATTTTAATGTTATAAATAGTCCTGAAACTTTGATAGGATAAAATAACAAATCCCATTTTTTAAAAAATACAAATATTCAGGTTTTCTACTTCACCAAGATTCTTAACCCAGGTTTGAAACTAATTAGAATTTTTTTAATTATTTTTTATTTTTCCATTTTACAAATATTTTGACTAAGTTTACAGTCAACGTGCCAAATCTTAATGACCCCCTCCCCCCTTTCTGCTGTTACTTATGGTGTATCTTTTACCCCTGCATATCCAATTCAAACCTGTTTACTAAATTTTCCTTTTGTATCCCCTTTAAATTGTAACTGCACATTTTTATGTCAATCCCGCTAATGACATAAGTTGTTTACAATAATTTTTAAAACAGTCCACAGATTTTCCCTATTCTATATTAGGTTTGAAGCTAATTAGAAATCACTGGTGAAGTGGGAAGGCAGGTTATTTGGGACTTAAATTTTTAGACTATTTTAACTGATACGTTTTACCAAGACTGCCAGCCTCTTTGAGCTTCCTGTCTGGGATGTAAAGGTAAGATACATATGACAAACATGGGTATTACTTAACGGCTGCTAAGGCCAGGTAGGAAGAATTTACAATAAAAAGCATGTGGAATAGGGGGAGGGAATATGCTATCCTAATTGGCTTACTCTTGGTCCCTTAACTACAGTAGTGTTTGCACCAGCCTACAGTGAACATACTACTACAACCACACCTGCACAGGACTGTTTTCTTCGGCTGGTTGAGTATTCACACTTTCTTCTACATTGTTGATCTCGCCATCCAAGTCCTCTTGGTGATCACTTGATATTCTTCTTTTCTCACTGAGCTTGGTAACTGCAGTGCCACCTGTGAATGACTGATACCCTGACTTGATTTCCAACTGTGGAAAGTCAAGACCATGATCTAAAATAACATCTCCACACTCCAGGTCTCTGAAATTGTTTTCTTCATCTGTGGCACACATAGAATCTTCCTGATCTATAACTTCATCAATTTTCAGAAGAAACCAGCAACTATCCATATTCATCTTCCCAGACAAGGTATTGTTTGGGTTTAGAGTCTCATGTTCTTCCACACCCACTTGTTCTCTGAGAAATTCTTCAGCCGATGCATCCATAGAATCTGAAACAATTCTTTCTCCTATGGACATCTCACTTTTCATTATGTCAGAAACTGTGTCCTTCAAGTCTAATTTAAGATTGACCCCTGAAACAAAGTTAGGTTCAAATTCAGAGTTTGCCTGACATATGTCTCCTTTCTTAACAGTTGTATCAGGCGACAGAGGAGAAGAAGCACCCATTCTTCTGGATATTTTGGAGACCTTGGTTTCACTAAATGAATTTTCAGATGAAAAACAGGAATAAATTTTGTGAGTCTGTAAAGCTTCTGTATGAAAAGTAGCTATCAGATTTTGACTAATATCACTGACTGACGTTTCTCCTAAAAAGCTAGGTAATGTGTCCAGATCTTGATACTCTTGATACTGCGTCTCATGAATTGGAGAAGTATCTAAACACTCTTTCTCTTTTTCAATTTCTTCTTCATGACAATGATGGATAATGGAATTATCATGGCATGATTCCTTAGAAGAAAATCTTGCAAAAATACCTTCATCACATAGGGCAGATATATCTGTAGATTTTGCTCTTTCAGCTTTAATGCCAAAATCATTATTTGTTTCCCCAGCGTCTGATTCTCCAGAACTTAGCACTTGAACAGAAGTGTCGAGTTCCAAGCTACTTTCCACCTTGTTCACTTTTTCATATTCCAGTTGTCCCCCAGCATTCTTAATCTTGGGGGATGTCTTTAGCTTTTTAGTACAATTTTTATCCAACAAGTCAAACAGGGCAACCCTTAGTTTTTCATAAATACCGTCCTTCCTTTTGTTTTGCATTTTCTGTGGCAATTTCTTTGGATTCAGATGCATTAAACAATGTTTTTGTTTTCTTTGCTGGTTGGTATCTTTCAAAAGCACATAGCAAGGCTTTGTTAATTTTGTTGCTATACCTTTCATTCTGCTTGGCCAAGGTTCTGACAAAGTTTCAGAGGCCAACAGTCTGTGTGAGATTTTTTCAGATGGTACAGATTCCTTTCTGAGACCTTATCTGCAGTGTCTTTCAGAGTAAGAGCTAACTGTTGCTTGTACTGTTCTTTTCCTGCAAGGTGCTCATTGACCCATGTTGTTTTCTCCACCTTGACTGCAACCTGCGTATTTCGGGAAATGCTGCAAACTGTGGTAGGAAAGAAAAGGTTTTAATTATGGTAGTGGTGTGGTGTAAGGCACAGCATCAGCTCTGCCTCCTAATCCCCCCCCAATGTCTCTAAAGACTAATGTACCCTATGCACGCTCAAAATATATAGGCTGAACCAAAAGTAACATTTTTAAAAATCAGCTTTGCACATGCTCTGCAGAAGCCACACATGTGCAGAATGTACATGTTCACATTAACAGATAAGCCCAGCATATCTAGAGGTGTTCCCTCTTGCCAAATGTTGTGATGCTACTATCCACATAGAATACATGTTCATATCAGCCTAACAACTAATATCACCATCGTACACTCTTTGAAACTCCCTCCACAGGAATATAGGTACAGCTTCATCACTTAAAAAAACCGCACTAATGAAAGCATTCTTACTCAAGCCTGTTTGGCAGAATTGTGTTGCATATATATATATATATATATATATATATATATTACACATACACACACACACACACAGTGTGCGTGTATACAATATACACATACACACCTACGTTTTCCCCTATTTAAATAATTTCCATGTGTTTAAGTGTCTTGTAAGCTACTTTGAAAGGCCAGCATGCCGAGAAAGGCAGGTTTAAACTACTTTTGCTTTTAAAAGCTGCCCAGACTTCCACCGTCAGTAAAATAATATATATTGTTCTGGGAAGAGGATAGGCTGGCTTGGAACCTAAAGAGCTCTTCATAACTCCAATTTCCCTCCAGAGCTGACCACCGTCTCTCCTATCGATTCTAGAACACCCCTCTCCCTTCCTCACAAACGATTCAAAAAAACGAGACGGGTGTGCCAAACAGGCGCAGGATGGGGAAGAACAATTGGGGGGAGGGGGAGGGAAAATGCAGAGAGTCAACAAGCACGCGCTTCTCCCTTAACGATTGCCACACGAGCCTCTTTCCCGGGCGCTGGCTCCCTCCTACGCCTCCTCGCGCTCCACCTGCAGCGCCGCCCACGCCAGCACGACGCCAAGACGGGGCGGGGATAAATAGGAATCTGCGCCACGTGACCTTGGATCAAGCGGGAAACTTGCAGATTCTTTGCCTAGACGCACGTCACAAAGAGGAGGAGGCGAGGCTTGGGGTTTGAAAACGAAAGGCCGTTGGCCGGCTGTTAAGAGTTGTGTGGGCGGGGCCTGCCTGGGCAAAAAGCCTGGGAAAAGCAGCAGGAGCGTTTAAAAATGGGGGTTCCCCCCCCCTTCGGAGCGGATTCCTCCCTGCCTCCGAAAGTGGTTTGCAAAAAAGAGTAACACAAAATTATCAACGTGCGTGTTGGCACCCGCCCAGCTCCGGGACATAAGCGCAAATTATCAGTAAAAACAGTTTAAAACTATTAATAAATAATTCAGCATTTTAAAAAAAATCAACGCTTAAATGCTGCATTTTCACAGGTCACATCAGAGAAGGGGTGAAATTCACCTGACACGAGTGAACTTTTTCATTTACCACGTTCACGAACAAGGGGGCTGCAGAGGGTGTTGACACAATCGGCTTGCTTGGGGGGTGGCTTCCAACCTATGCAACATTCTCCCCTGGGAGACACACCTGGCGCCATTACTGTCTTTTAGGCCCCAGGCAAAAATGTTCCTCGTCCACCAAGCCATTGGCCTTTAATTATCTGCAGCATCCTTCCGTGGGTGGGATGCCCTAGGTCTGTCTTTATAGATAGGAACATGTTTTTAGCTTTGACTCTGTTTTAGTTTTCAGTTGGTTTTAATGTATGTTCTTTTTATTTTGTAAGTTGCTTTAGGTTACTTTTCATTTAAAAAAACAACCCCTAGAACAACTACTAGAAAGTGCAGTTAAAAGGTATGTGCAGAATGCCTCCACCCCACAAGAACCAGCATGTAAAAAGAGAGAGAACAGTACAAATAATTAAAAAATATATATGAAGACAAATTGGCTCTGGGGAAGAAATTTTCCTTGTCACCTTCCTTCAGATGCTGATCCCAAGAGTCCAAGGTTCATATGGGGGAAAGGCAGTTCTCTTCAGTATAGGGGTCCTGAACTGTGTAGGGCTCTAAAGCACATTAAATTGCTCTAAAAACAAATTGGTAGCCAGACCAAAACCAGTTTTATGTTCGTTTCTTCTTGTTCTAGCCATATTCTGCACTAGCTGTTGTTTCCAAACCATCTTCAATGACAGTCCCAACATCCAGCACATTGCAATAGCCTAACCTGTAAGTTATCCAAGGATAGACAATTGAAGCCATTCCTTTCAATGAAAACTTGCGTGCCAGGTACTATAAGCCAGTGTTGAAGCAATGACCCACCTTAAAAAAAAAATCAAAGAATTTAAACTGCTGGGTGGAGAAGGCAGCTAAGTACCACTATAAACCCTGATAGACCAGAGTCAGAAAAGATTTCTTGCAGGCCACACCTGAGGAGGGTGAACTGCCACTATCCAGTTGGAACCTGTTCAGGGATAGTCTGCTTCTTTTCATGTATTTTACAAATGTATTTAAATCCAGTTCATTATGATCTGCAGTCTCAGTCTCTTTCCAGAGTTAATCCACAATTATATTGGTAAGCAATAGGGTATCATGTTTATCAGAGAAGAGACGGAAAGAAATGGTGGAATGTATAGCTACTATGACTTTCTTATGAAAGTTGGGTTATTGACGTGTCAATATACCCATATAAATGTATGAATTTTAAAAAATGATTGTCTTGTGGACTGGGGGTATGATTGGGAACAATAGATTGCTGATACTTTGGAAAAGGAACTTCCACATCTCCCTTAAAGGTTTTTCTATTTAGATGAACACTACTAGTCTTGTAAGCTGATGAGTACACCCATGCAAGCTCCAGCACTGAATAAGCTTGCAAATACCTCCCTCCCAATCCTTGCAGGAGTTCCGATCTCAAACTAATTCAGTACTCCCTGCTTACTGATTGTATTCTAAGCAAAGATAAAGAGCAACTTCAGAGTTTCATCTACCTAAAAATAAGTTTCTATGAATAAGCCTTTATAGAGTCAGAATATGGAAGGCGCCACCTTCTCAAAACTCAGTTGTTTTCTGAAAGCAGCAGATATTGATCTGTAACATCTAATGTTCACCTAGTGTAAAACCATGGTTTCCTGGATAAGTTGCAGAGACTTGGGGCTGTGTATTCCCTTCATGATTTGTACGTGATGGGTTTAGAAGCATTTGCTTCCATTTTTAAACAAGCTATAGTTCCCCATGACAGTCATACTGCTAAATTGCAGCAGGCTTAAACTCAAATCAGTGAGAACAAGCCAGGATCAAATCACAGAATCACAGTTAAAGGGACCGCGAGGATACCTAGTCCAACCCCTTGCAATGCAGGAATCTTACACCTAATGTGGTGCACAACCCTGAGATTAAGTCTCATGTTCTACCGACTGAGCTATGGTGGTTTCAAATCCTGCTTTCTTTTTTAAAGCATATGCTTCAGATTCCCTCCTTTGGTGCACAAACGGGTTTTGGAGTGTACAAAATTCATCATATCTCATTCACATTGCAGGAAATCATGGGTTCCCATAATAACAGAGCTGGGCCAAAGTGTAATTAGTGAATTGCCATGTTTTATATCGCATATGCAGTGAGATCCAGCCAAGGACTTTTGACAACTGTGTTCTACTGAGCACTATCGTACTAGCTGGTAACAGCCGTATTTTTAGCACAGTCTTGTGGATGTCGATGCATGTGATGGCCACAGCTCACCACATCCAGGAAAAAGATGCTTCCACAGCCCAATATCACATTTGCACACTGCTCTTCATGCAAGGTGCCAAGGGCACCATTCATGTGACTGTCCTTTATCGCAACCATCATCTTAACATCGTATTACCAGAATCACTTAGCAATATGTATCAATCCTGGCCTCCCCAAACTCAGTCTACCCACTACATCACACTGGCTCTGTCAGTAGGCTCTGTCAGTACAGTGGATCATTGGGCTCTTGCTCTTGACAAGCCAGTATGAGGCCAAAGCTTGGACCTGAGAAAAATCTGATGTTGATCATGGTGCATTTCATTCCTAGCTTCCCAGATACCAAGAGGCACAGCAAAACATAAGTGCTCATTCCTGGATCAATTTTTGTTGGACTGCATACCTGACACACACAGCTATTTGTCTGAAGAAAGTATCTTGTACCAGTTTGGCATGGTTATTCTACTAAAGTGGTGCATACAAACCCCCTCTATCCGATTCACAGGACCACCACCCTCAGATACTTGCCCTGACATACCACCAGAGCTAGTAGTTGTAAACAAAAATTCACTGAGAACCAGGGAGGAGACTTTATACAGTAAGAACTTTATTGCACTGTGTTCCAAGTGCTGAACCAGAAATGTTTGTGCCTGTTGAGCCCGACTCACAATGAAGCTCTAGCATTTCTACTCTATGACAGAACGTGCATCCCTGTGCGCTTAACCGCCCCACCTTCTCAGTTCTGTTAAGGTTGCAATACAAGCTAATATACTGTAATACATCGATGTGAAATTAAAAGGGGGAGAAACAAAACTATACATAGGAAAAACAAAAGTAATCCACTTGTTCTACAAGTCTGGGGCTGTTTTATATTTGGCTACAACATCTTAAGTTGTAGCAATTTTTAAAGCAAAAAACTCTTACATGTGTTGTAGAAGTGAGACTAGTTACAAGGACAATTTGTGCCTTTATGTGCATGAGGGCAAAATGGGACAGAAGATGAGGAGGAAAATTCAACAACCTGTTCTTTTCCACATTTCTCAACCTATAATCATTGTTCCAGATAAGCACTCTTTTTTTAACGCACAGTCCATGGTACTATGATCACTTGCATGTTTTAAATATAATGCCAACACCCACCCCAAATATATGACATATTTTAAAGGAAAGATGGCATTTGTGGCCAACAGTTTCAGACTTAAGTCTATTAAGCCACCCACAAATTAAACTGATTGGCATAGTACCCTCACAATTAGATTGATTTAAGTCTGTATGGAGCTTTAAAGACTGTGATCCACTTTCTGCACTCAAAATGTTTAAAGGGAATGTTAAGTGACCAGATGCAACGCAGAAATAGTGCCCTGTTTATAAGGCCTGTAAGGCCTTGTCTATACCCACTGAAAGAGCTGCTGAGAGTGACTTACCAAAGCCTTTGACACTGTGCAAGAGACTAAATTGAAAGCTAATTCATAATTTTGAGTAGCCAAACAAATTTTAAAATAGAAGAAAGGGACATGGGTTCTGTTGGCACTGCAACTGTGGACCCAGCTTAGCGAAAGCCATTTCCTAGAGAGGTCACCTAAAACTGGCTAAGCACAAGCAATGCTCTTCTGCCCTTCTGACCAAAATTCAGGACACATTCTCCGTACTTATTACACTCTGAATACAGCATATGCCTATGAGGCATTGGTTGTGTGCAACCAGCAAGGCTCCCTTAAGAACCTGATGAAAAGTCAGAAACAAGGCAATCAGTGGTTACAGTAAACTATACATGAGCCCAGTCTGGAAAAATACAGGCATTGAGAACTCAAGATCAAGAGATGCCAATGGGCACCAAAGCCCTATTAGAACTAGACTTCATTCAAGTTTATTTCTTTCAGAGAGGCGAGGCTCATTCAGACAAGCAGCACACAGCCTTCCCATCCAGACTTTATAACAGGAGTTGTTTTAACCTTAATCAAACACACATGCCTATTCTCTTCCTATGCTGTGTCAGTTTTTCTGCCTAAATGGCAGGAAGCTAACGTCCAAATTATTTAGAGAAATCTATTTGCAGCCAAATGGTGGGCAACATTTCAGCACAGAGGATCCCATCTGAAATATCTGCCTTAATGCATGTGATTTGGACATTCACACATCACTCTGTTAGGGGGATCAGATCCTCAGTTACAGAGTCCCAAGGGTTACAAAGTAGGCCATCCTTCATTTCAAATGACTGTTTACATGTTAACTGTATGATAACTGAAAATGTTCAGTTAAGAAAAGGACTTTCACCCATTGTGATAGGTTTACCAAAAGCAACTCTCCCCAAATGCCTGTCAGCTGCAAACGCAATGTACAGCACTTCTTGGAACACCCACTTGGGATTAAGGCTGCCAACCACATACTAGCTATACAGGCACTCCTTAAATTCTGTCTGCCATCTTTCACCAGTAAGAGGAATAACTAGTACAAAACTAAAAAATAAATTTGGGCTAGGACCTAAGTGAGGGATGCTGTCCTGCTCCAATGGTTTCTGCACAGTCTGATACTCTGGTTTTCCTTGAGACATAGAATTCATTTTATTAATTTATCTCTCTCCAAAAAGTTAAAAATACAGAAGGTTCAAATAATGCTCGTCTCTTGGCAGATGTTCAGACTGCAACATGAGAAGACAATCCTTCACTGAAATGTTTACTTTTAATTTTATTTTTTATCACAATCATCATCATTGGGACAAAGGCAGAGGAGCACCCACTCCACTATGGTAAATATGTCGTTCAGCTCCAGAATTACATTTCCAGGTTCCACGAGTCCAAAAAGACAGCCATGATAGCGTCAAGACTTCATGGAGGGCCACCCCCTTACTGCATAATGCAGTGGCCGTTGGCATCTCTGAAGCGTAATCGCATCTTCGGTCGGTATTTCTCAAGGTAGAGCAGTTGTTTAGAATTGAAAGCTCCCCTCCTCTTCCTGAAACAGAAGCACATCCAAGGCATTAGATCTCAAGCACAAACACTAAATGCATTTCTCCAGTTGGATGTAGCAATACCAGTTGTTCTGGTGCTTGAATTCTGCTTGCTGGTTTCCAACAGGCAACTGTTGAGCCACTGTGAGAATAGGATCCTGGCATCATCCAGCAAGTTTGTCTGACATTCTTAATAGACCTGCACAGACCTCCAGGCCTGCACAGCTCACACCTAACTTCCTATATGGTACCTCTGCTTCATTTCAAGCTTGGCAGAAGCCAAGAGAAAGAAAACATGAGGTGCATATGCAGATGAAACTGGATCTATAAAGTATCATTAAGACTGCAAGCTCTGATCAGTTTAATAGGTTGATCAACAAAAGCTTTAGTTAATTAAGACAGAGTTATTACATTACTGTCACTCTTTCTTTTCTGCAACGTTAGCCTTAAACCACAAAGGAAAAGCTCACTGCAGCTCCTCCCCATGCTAGTGTCAGTCTTTGGAAAATGCGTTAAACACTGGCAGGGAGGTCCACAAACTTGCTTGCCATACACAGGTGCATTTTTCATTCTGATGAGATCCCCCCAGACTCTATATTGAGCCTTAAGGAACTCATATGGCCCCAGACTTCTCGTGTTACCCGGTGGGGTTGGAAAGATATGGCTCCTACACCATCAAGGTAACCCAAGAACCCAGTCTAAATAGTGACAGCCAAATTCTAATCTGTGAGGAAAAATAATAATATATTATTCATGTTCAAAATCCTACTCAGTTTATGAAACTCATTATGTGACTTTGGGTCATTCACCAGTGTCAGACATAATAAATCTATCGTTTGTTGAGATGAGAACACACTCCAGTGTACCTTAGGCTCATGCACTCCCCTTCTTCCTCCTTTCAGCACAAACAAATATTATTAAAGTGTGCATTACAGTGATACCTCTGGATGCGAACAGGAACCGTTCTGCAGCCCCGTTCACATCCTGAGCAGAACGCAACCCGTGTCTGCGGGTCACGACTCGCCGCTTCTGTGCATGCGCGTGATGTCATTTTAAGCGTCTGCGCATGCACGAGCTGCAAAACCCGGAAGTAACCCATTCCGTTACTTCCGGGTCGCCACGGAGCGCAACCTGAAAACGCTCATCCTGAAGCGACTTTAACCCGAGGTATGACTGTATAAAACAACTCAATTTGCCTTAACTGGACAAAACAGGGAACTGCAGTTTAAATACACAAGCTGAAGCTTTAACTTTAGCATGACTCCCAATATGACCTTTCAGCCCAGCCTGCCTCACACAGGATAAAATGGGGTGGGGAGATCATGTGCGCTGCTCTGGTCTTGTTGGAGGAAAGGTAGGGTAAGAATGCAATAATCAGTAAACACAGGCCGTACTGACATGCTTATCTCTGCTCTGAGGTGAACTCATCAGACTACAGTTCATGTGGAGCAAAGTGTCTCATTAAAATAAATAAAGAAAAGCATGATGTGCCTAAGAGCCATCTGCCTCTTATTTTAAAAGCAGAAGGAGGGGGCTCCATTACCTGCTAGCCCCCCCCCCCCAATTCTGGATTCCTTTGGAATGACTGACTTCTACTAGCTGGGTTGTAGCAAAGTAATGCCTAAGATCAGCAGTGCCAGCCAAGACGGGCTACATTTATTCTGTATTCCAAAAGACTTGGTCAGTTTCCCAATAAAGCAAACGGGGGGGGGGGGGGCAGTTCTGTAGCTTGCTTGTTCTTAAGTGAATGTTATATCCAAGTGGCCCAAGTCACAAGCCTAGCTAATTCTGTCTAATCACCACCCAGAAGGAGGGACTGTGCCTAGGCCTCAAACATTTTTGTATGTCACAAGCTCAGCAATGCTATGAGGAAGCAGCAGCTGCTAACCAACCTTGTGACAGAAGATTGCTCAATGCAAAGAATGCTACAGAAAGTGAGAAGAGGGGCAACACTTACTGTCTTATAAACTGCACAGCGTCCTCATACTTCATTCCACATTCAATGAGTGCTAGGGCAACCAGAACTGGGGCTCTGGAAGGAGAAGAGAAATCAATACAAATTTAAACTAGGTCCAGTAAACCTCTCAAAAATAGATCCAATTAGTGCAGCCATGGGCTCAAGACTGCTTTTCGCTCTCGCTCTCTCTTTCTCAGCTACAGAACAATATTGGCCTGCTTTGTTTAATGCTGCATGCAGTATGAAATCGATAGCTTTATGGGTGCCCAATATAGGACAGCAACACTGTTTGCACATTTCAGTTAAAAAGTTTATCAACTATAATTGAGACTAGATGGGCGATGCATCTTAAAGAAAAGTACCTGCCACCTGCAGTTTTTCCAATTAATCAAGGGAATATTTAAGGTCAAAATGTTTTGATAAACTGATCCATTGACCAATGTTAACAGTCCTGCTGGCATGTGGCACAAAGTAGCTCAGGGCAGCGGTTCCTGGCACTCCAATTTTAGCAAGTGCATTGTTTCACAATATTGATTATGTTGAGGAATGCAATTGCAATTAAGAAGGGAGCGCCAGCAGCTATCATAAGCAACTTAAAATGACTGGTCACTGGAGAGGTCAAATCATCAAGAGCCACAGCACGCACCAGCAGATTACAATTCTTACCTTGTGCATAAGCATGACTGCAAGGGAAGGAACTATCTACCCATTTACTACTTTGCAGCTGTCCTAGTTGTGGGCAGCTTGCTTCAAGAGTGCCTAAGCCAAACTTAGTGATTTAAAAGGTCTCCTCTTAAAAACCCAAGGGCCTATTCTTCATGGGGTAAAAAACTTAAAATTTAATTGCAGTGCTTTACAATGGAGCATGGGGTTGGTGTTAGATGAGAACTATCCCTGTTGATTTAGGAATCTTGAAAAAACGGCTGGGGAGGAGGACAGCAGTGTTTGAAACCAATGAGTCAGCATCCTAGCAGACAACCAAATGTGTCTCAATATACTGGTGGGTTTGTTGTGCTACAGACCTCAAATCACAGATTTAACTGCAAGAAACAGGAAATCCTGAAATCAACCTCTCCAATCAGAGAACAGGAAGTTTACCTTCCAAGCCCTGCAACACAGTGTACAGCAACGCAGCAGCCAGGTTCCTCACGAAATTTTGTTTTCAAAAGGTTAAGCCAGTCATCCACGATTTCACTTGGAGGTGGTGCTCCATCATCAAATGGCCAGTCCTTTGGAAGAAGGAGACAGAACATGTTACTTCCTCTCAGTATTCAAAGCATGGTGGAATGCCACCCCACTTCTTTTCAGAAGACCCGTAACCATCCCATTTCTCTCTTCTTCTTCTTTTTTTATAAATATTTATTAAAGTTTTCACAATATTACATGAAAAAAGAAAAAATGCAAAAAAAAAAAAATTAAAAACAATTCCATCTTTTCGTCACTTATCTTTCATTTACTTGTTTCCCGGACCTCCTCATGCCTCCCTTTTTTGTATTCCAGTTCAATTTATTAGTTCAGCAATTCCTTTCCCTCCTTATTTTATCCTGATCTTTAATCTTATTATAGCATTAAATTTTTACCTATTAAAAATCCAATTTTTCCATATTCTTTTATACCATTACAGCTAGAAACCACTTAACTTCAATCCAACATCATTTTAACATTCATTAATTTTGCAATATTTCTGTAAATAGTCTTTAAATTTCTTCCAATCTTCTTCCACCGACTCTTCTCCCTGGTCTCGGATTCTGCCAGTCATTTCCACCAATTCCATGTACAGTGGTGCCCCGCAAGACGAATGCCTCGCAAGACGGAAAACTCGCTAGACGAAAGGGTTTTCCGTTTTTGAGCTGCTTCGCAAGACGAATTTCCCTATGGGCTTGCTTCGCAAGACGAAAACGTCTTGCAAGTTTGTTTCCTTTTTCTTAACACCATTAATACAGTTGTGACTTGACTTCGAGGAGCAACTCATAGAACGCAGTGTACATAGTAGCCTTTTTTGAGGTTTTTAAAGACTTTGGTGATTTTTGAAGCTTTTCCAAAACTTCTTTTGCAGCCAAGTTAAGCTTTTAAAACTTTTTTGGGGGGGTTGGATTTTGGGTTGGGGTGTTTGGAATTCAAGGACTTGGTGTTGGGGAGGGGTTTGCAAGAATCTGGAAGCTTGTGTGTCTTTTTTCTGCATTTTTTATGATTTTCTGTGACCATTGGGCCACTCTGCTGTTTTTTTAAAAATTCTGGATTTGAATTTCTGTGTGCTGGGTGGCTGGGGGAACAGTTGGGGAGGGGTTTGCAAGAATCTGGAAGCTTGTGTGGTTTTTTCCTGCATTTTTATGATTTTCTGTGACCATTGGGCCACTCTGCTGTTTTTTTAAAAAAAATCTGGATTTGAATTTCTGTGTGCTGGGTGGCTGGGGGAACAGTTGGGGAGGGGTCTGCAAGAATCTGGAAGCTTGTGTGGTTTTTTCCTGCATTTTTATGACTTTCTGTGACCATTGGGCCACTCTGCTATTTTTTTAAAAAAATTCTGGATTTGAATTTCTGTGTGCTGGGTGGCTGGGGGAACAGTTGGGGAGGGGTTTGCAGGAATCTGGAAGCTTGTGTGTTTTTTTCTGCATTTTTATGATTTTCTGTGACCACTGGGCCACTCTGCTGTTTTTTTAAAAAATTTCTGGATTTGAATTTCTGTGTGCTGGGTGACTGGGGGAACAGTTGGGGAGGGGTTTGCAACAGTTGGGGAGGGGCTGGGGGAACAGTTGGGGAGGGGTTTGCAACAGTTGGGGAGGTTGTTGTACCAAATTTGGCTTTGTTTGGACTTTTTTTGACCATAGGAACGCATTAATTGATTTTCAATGCATTCCTATGGGAATTCGTGATTCGCAAGACGAAAAATTCGCTAGATGAAAAAACTTGCGGAACGAATTAATTTCGTCTTGCGAGGCACCACTGTAGTCCATCATTTTCATCTGCCATTCTTCCAGTGTGAGTAGGTCTTGTGTCTTCCAATACTTTGCAATAAGTATTCTTGCTGCTGTTGTAGCATACATAAAGAAAGTTCTGTCCTTCTTTAACACCGATTGGCCGACTATGCCCAGGAGAAAGGCCTCTGGTTTCTTCAAGAAGGTATATTTAAATACCTTTTTTAATTCATTATAAATCATCTCCCAGAAAACCTTAATCCTTGGGCACGTCCACCAAAGGTGAAAGAATGTACCTTCAGTTTCTTTGCATTTCCAACATTTGTTATCGGGCAAATGATAGATTTTTGCAAGCTTGACTGGGGTTATGTACCACCTGTATATCATTTTCATAATATTCTCTCTTAAGGCATTGCATGCCGTAAACTTCATACCTGTGGTCCATAACTGTTCCCAGTCAGCCATCATTATGTTATGTCCAACGTCTTGTCCCATTTAATCATAGCAGATTTCACCGTTTCATCCTGAGTATTCCATTTCAACAGCAAGTTATACATCTTTGACAAAATCTTGGTTTTAGGTTCTAACAATTCTGTTTCTAATTTTGATTTTTCCAGCTGGAAGCCGATTTTCTTGTCCAAATTGTATGCCTCCATTATCTGATAATAATGAAGCCAGTCTCACACTTTGTTTTTTAGTTTTTCAAAACTCTGCAATTTCAATCTATCTCCATCTTGTTCCAAAATTTCCCATCCCATTTCTCGGGCAGATGCAACTTAAGTCTGCCTGAATCATTGCACCTTCCTTTTCTCCCTCCCACTCTGGGCATTGCTACCACTAAATTGTTGTACCTGCAACCTGTATTTATTGGATTTTAATTGACTTTCCATGTGTTGTGTCTGAATTTTTTAATGAAGAGTGATATAAATCTGTTTTACAATAAACAAAACAAATTTGGCAACTAATTATACCACTTTGGCAATAACAAGAGAAAAAAGCATACTCTCACTTTCATGTGTGTGACAGCAATACCTTGAATACTGAATATGATATCTGGGAGGGATATCAGTTGTAAGCGTTTATGGTCTGCATTTTATTGTGGCATCAATACACTGTTTTGATGCTAATTTGGTTCATATAGTATATTTTTAATTTTTTTTCATTTATAGCACCTTTAGTGTGTACAGCACTTTCCAAAAACAGTGGACACTCGGGTGCGAACGTGATCTGTGTGGGAGGCACGTTTGCAACCTGCAGCACCGCATCTGCGCACACGCAGGTCGCGATTCAGCACTTCTGTGCATGTGCGAGTGCCGAAACCCGGATGTAACCCGTTTCGGTACTTCCGGGTTAAGAGCGGTGCACAACCCGAAAACATGCAATGTGAAGTGTCTGTAACCCAAGGTATGACTGTACATGAGGAAAGATTCCTGCCTCAAGAAGCTTATAATCTTAAATTCAACACGGGTAAATCAAACACATGGAAGGGGAGGCAGGGATAAACATGGAAGCAATATGCAGTTGTTTCAGTTGCACATGTTTAGGCTGGGTTACAGTACAATGTTGAAATTAAAGGCTGTGCCAAAAGCTTCAAGGAAAAGGTGAGCTTTTAGGAGTGATTTGATGATCATAAGTTAGGACACCTCTAGGAGGTAGTTCCAAACAGTACAGGGCAGTAAGGAGAAAAGGCTGGTATCTTTTGAGGGACAGGAGACAATGTTCACATGGCTCAGGGTGAGGGAGTTTTATTGTTTTAGCCATAGCAAAATATTTAATTATGTTATCTGTTTAAGTGCGGTGTAAGTTAAGGAACATGACTGGCAGCCCCCTCTTCTCATGGATTCCTATGAAAAAACATTATTGGATATTATGTTTATGAAGGACAATTGCCTGGAATTATAATGCTATTATTATAATTATTATATATTATTACTGCTCCTTCCTCTCTCTTCGTATCCCACTTTTCTTGCTTTGATTTCTTCTCTTACTTTTTTATAGTTGCCATTATTGCCTTTGCTTTATTAGAAAATGGAAACCAAAACTTCAAAAGTGTATTTTCACGATTTGGAGGGAAGGGGAAGAACGCCACCCTACAAAGGTGTTCTGAGAAGAAGGGGCAGAGACAGAATGGGTAGAATCCTCTTAGAAAACAGGAAACTTAGAGGTGGCAGGCTTGGAGGAGCCAAGGCCATAGACAAAAGATATGACCCCCAAATAGGGCAGAAAGATAAAACATGTCTTCCTTTGAGCACCCTGAGGAAAGATCCATTGAGAGCTGAAAGGAAAGAGCAAATCCTTCATTGTATCTCTTCTGCTGAGATGCCTGCTCAACAGAACACCACGTTATCAGCATGAAACTGTCAGCCACTGATCACAGTTCCCAGAATAGACCTCAAGCACCACAATAAGACTACCAATGCTGAGACTGCAAAGCCTGGGGTTTTTCACAGGTTAACAGCTAAACAAGGCTTCCACTGCAGCAGCTTATCAGGCCAGATGCCAGCACCAGGGGGACTTCCAATGGGCAGATGAAAGGAAGTACAAGAACTGACATTCAGTGGTGGAATCACTCAAATGAAAAGTTCCCCCTAGCAGACATTCAGTTAAATTTGATTAAGCATGGCCTCATCCAGGAAAGCACTGAGTGCTTCTTTTAACAAGCCAAGTGGCGCTGAGGAAATTCCACAGCTCAAAAGATCAACCCTTTAGATTAACAAGCCCTAGAAGCATAGACGCTGCCATTCATTGCTACTGGGAGTAATATTTATATTGTACTACATTTGCTTCATGTTTATTTGCCTTCACAACAAGCCTGTGAAGCTGGCCCCAATTATCCTAATTTTACATATGAGGGAACTGATGGTGAGCCAGAAGGATTTGCCAAAGGCCACACAACGAGTCTCCTAGATCGAACTTCAGCTTGTTCAACCAAATCATTCAGCTTATACTCCGCTCTCAGCTTGTTATCGCTCAGCACCTAATGACAGCAGACATGCATTTTGGGCCAATCCTGATCTCACAGCAGCCTCAGGAAAGTCTACTGTTTTTTTCAAAAGTACACCTGCTTTTCTGCAGGCACTATATTGCAGAAACATTTTCAGAAGATAATTCAACCTTGTCTTTCCTAAGCCATGTCTGCTGTTTAGACAAGCTATTTTTAAAATCAGACACATGAACCTGTGAAGTGTCAGCAGCTGGCATGGAACAATGCCAGCATTATCCACCCCACCTCCCTTGCCTTTTCCTGCATTAAATGTATTGAACACTACCAGTTCAATCAGCTTATGTCTAATTCTGATGACCTATTACCATGTGTTAGGGTAGAATAAGCAATTGCTTTGTGTGTCCCATCTCCTAAACATCTCTACAAGTAAAGTCTGGACAAACATTTTATCTTTACAACCATCCTTTGAGGTAGTGTAGCTATCCCTCAGCCAAACCTATCTCACGGATGGTTGTGACACAATTGTTGGGAGACTAGAACATCTTGGTGAACAGCTTTATTTTTTATTTCCATTTTCTTCTAACAGTTTTTTCAGGTTTTGCTGGCAAACTAAGAGCCCAGAGGTAAGTCAAGGCATTGGAAAGATCTGGGCAGAGTTCCTTATCCTGTGGAACTGGTTTAGAGATAGTCCGCTCAGAATGGACTGAACTACTGCTGCAGGCAGTGGAGGCAAGGGTGGGGAATGAGGTATACATAGCAAGCTATTTGTTGCAATTGCTCAGATCAAGAACACCATAAGTGGCCATTCTTCTGTCACACTAGAGAAAACAAGGGCAAGAGGAAGGGCTGGCCTACAGTCACAAGATGATGCTGTTGACTTCTAGGAGAGAGTAGTCTGAGTATCAGGCAACATAGATCTCTCTCATCACTACCTTTTCATGCTGCAGCAGAGATTATTTTCCAGGCATTGCTTGACACAAGAGATGATCTTGGCTGTGACTTCTGGAGAACCTGCTCCCTTGCAGGCCTTTGCCACCTGGCCTGGGAGGGTAGGGCCCTGACCGACTCCAGCTACAAAAGCTGAGGCAGATGAACAGAATCTTGGGTTGGGGTATTGTTTAGGGGGGTGGTTGTTGGTGGATTCTGTTGCTGTTATTATTATCCTAATTGTTTAAAGAATTTTAAAATGTTTTCAACCGCTTTTTAACATGTGTTTTTAAATTTGGGTATGTTGATGACACAATTGTTCCTGAAGGCCCCCTCCTGCTTTGTGGAGCCCACTTGGCTCCCTGTTATACTCCATAGCTTAAGTCAAGGAAACAAGCTGGGAGGCGGCTCAAATGTGAGTGGAAGAAAACTCTGGTCAAATGCTGGTGAGGGCTCATCATCAAGCCTACCTAGTGACAGTGAAGGCAGCAAAGAAGGCTTACTTTGCTGCCTCTGTAGTTCCCCTGGCCCTGAACTACTTCAATTTACTCTCTCTCTCTCTCCCCTTCTCCCAGGACAAAATCATTTTCCAGCCAAGAAAACATAGTGCTGTGCCGTGGCACTCACTTTCTCATGCACACACACACTTGTTCCTGGCTTTAAAGCTGAAGGCAGATGGGTATCCCCACTGGCAAGGTTTATCTAGTTAACACTCACAAAAGTCTATCTTTAGAGAAACACAGAGACATTGGAACTCAATCCCCCAAACTGATTAGCCAAATACTTGAATGCACCTGATATGGCAGGAATGTAGATTGCTCAGTGACCCAGAATCCATGCCCAAGTGAGGCACAGTTCCACAGCTGCAGGCTAGCCCAGACAGTGCCATCTCACTAGGAAGCAAGACCACTAGGCAGTTCAAAAAACCCCCGCCATTTTCTGCTGAATCATAATTCCCTCTCAGAATTTTATACTCACCAGAACTTGAATTCCTTCTTTTTCAACTGGTGCTTTATCATAGGTAGCATCACAGACACGCACCAAGGTTGTCACTCCATACTTCTTCAGCTCCTTTTAGAAAAAAACAAAGTCAAATCAACTTTTCATACCAAGTGAAAAAATACCTTTGCTTCCAGAGGCATGCAAAGCTGTATGAATAACTGATGACAGGTGACAGCCTGGGGCAGCCTTCCAAGGAAAACTATCTCTTCCTTGAATTACTGCTGCACATACTTCAACTTCTCCAGAAACAGCAGGGTGTAAAGGAGGATAAGCAGAAAGGATGACCTGCCAATGGAAGGATCCACAATGAAGCAATGGGTGTGACAGACTGAGAAGTCAACGAGAGTCTTCTCTTAAAACAGCTGGAACTACAGAGCTCTTAAAAGCCTTGGGAGCTGCACAAAGCCTGTTCCTTTCTCCTTCATTATTTAATTTGCAACTGGTTAAGTTTAAGTGTGCAAATTTTGGATAGACTCTTTAGGTTAATGTAATTGACTTTGCATTGCACACTATTGCAACAGTGGTACTGTGAATCCATTTATTGTTAATATTTGTTACCATGGTTGTTAGCTGGATATTTTGAAAATCTTTGAATAATAGTATTTATTTCAAAAAGTTTAAATCTGCAGCACAAAATCATCTAAAACATAATCTAAAGCCTAGTAGGTGATATCCAACATTAATCATACTAGGTTGTATCCACCAAGTTCTGCTCAGAGTAAATCCACAGAAATTAATGGACCCAAGTTAGTCATGACCATTGGTTTAAGTGTGCTCACTCCAAGTAAGACTTAGCTGGATACCATCCCATTTGTTTAAGAAGCACCCTTGTCCTTAAATTGGAAGCGAGTTATTCAAAACAAGAGAGAGAACATATGGTAGCATAAAAGAAAACACATTTAACATTTTACAAGCTAGAAGAGAGGTAAGTACTGAAAAGTATTACTTGTAAAGTGGCCCAAACAAGAAAAAGGAACACAAAGGCAAAGTGGAACAGCAAAGTTAGCACCCCAATCTTCTTTAAATGGAAGCATGTGGTTGTCTGGGTTATGTAGCCTCAGACGTTTCTGGTCTAAAGGACAGCCTTGTTTTCTGGCTTCCTGGAAATGCATTACAAGTATAAATTCTAAGGCACACAAACACAACTCTGGTTTAGTTGCAAAACGTGAAAAAAACCAAGCTGAACTTCAAAATCCCTTAATTTACTTTTAACATACATTCTACCCACAATACACAATGAGAGCAAAATTCCCCAGTTGTGACATCACCCTGAAGAACTCTCAGGTGATTAGCCACCCTGAATTTATTAGTGTCTGAATGATTCCTCAATTAAGTTTCACTGATTAATTCCAGTATCTGGTGTAGAGGATGAATGAAAGGATGAATGAAAAGAGAGAGGAGGACACTTTGTAGGTCAATTTTGTAAGTGCAGTCTTGTACCTTCTAGGACTGGATGGTGTATCAATACATTTTCCAAAATCAGTTTGAAGTCCACATCATGGTAACAGTTTCATAATATTCAACATGGTGATATACTGAGAATCACAATGTTTGTGTGTGTGCTATGTAAACAATCATGAAAGACCATGAAGCTGGTCATCGCTTCTCTCATGATTCCTGCTGACCCTGTTGCTCTGTTGACTGAGGTAACAAAGTTACAGACATGGCATATCAATAGCCGGACTATCCCTGGACTAGGTGTGAACACTGTATTTATATTCTGGCCTTCCCTGCTTTCATATTTCATACTTCATGTGTTAACTTGTTTCAACCCACATACTGTTGTGGGCTCCAAGCAAGGTAGTCTGCTTGCAAGAGTGCCTTTTCTTGGGGGGAACCCTACAGGAAGAGAGGTGAGGGGGGAGAAAGACTAGCAAGCAGCCCTAGTGCATGGGGATTCCAGAAAGAAATAGGCCATGCAAGATATGAGTCACTGCAGCTTTACACTCCAGAAATCCTGGGACTGCAGGTTTTGGATAAGAGTTCTAGAGAATTTCTCTACTAGGCCCTACTTTAGTCCCACATTAATCAAGTACTTACTCACCCAGCAATTTCTATGTCTGTGTATTGCCAGGGGAGTTTGGCAATATTGGGCAAGTTACCTTTTAGCTATCATCTGTTGGAATCTGGTCTCAATAACTGCAGGATACAGTTGTCTATCATTACTGATCTTTCCACTGAAGAGTCCTTGATAAGCTTCCCACTTCCACTAGGCTTCCCGGAAGAAAATTTGAAAACCACTCATCTAGGTAGACTACAACATTGGCCTGCATCTTTTGTGCACTCTTTGGCTGCCTGTTCAAACATACAATATAGATAGCCTCCTTACCTCTGTGAATTTGTTGAGGGTTGCATTGGTTGGGTTGTGGGTAATTAGGAAGCGCATACTCTCATAAGTAATCTCCACTGGAGCGGGACGGTTCATAGTGGCAGGAGGAGTGATGGGGCCCAAAAAAAAATCAAACCTTGCAACGTTTCACAGCAGAAAACATTTAAAAAATCACTAAAGTGTCTGGGGATAGATCAGAGCTTTCCTTGTTAAGTTCTTTAAGATGATTCTTCACTTCAAGAAAAGCAGGTTTACTTAAAACGTGCTGCACTTCAACTTCAGCCTCAATTACTACAGGCGGTTCTCCTCAAGACTCTGCCCTACTACATGCACAAAATAGGCAGCCTTTATTACATTTAGGCACTGGTGAGGCACAAAGAAAATTTAAGGGCAGATCTTCTTTCCACTCGTGTTTGGCCAAGCTTTGCTTCTCTAGTGTCACCAAGAGGAAAAGGTGTCCAATGTGCAGAAAATATCCCCATATATTTGAGGCTTATGTCTTGGTGTCTGGAGTCTTCAAGGCAAAGTTTCGTTATGGCACGTAGGACCCTGGCCCCCAGCTCACTTGTCAGCCAGGGTGCTGTGCTGGGCCCGGCAGAAATCTGCCCTGACGCTCAGAATCGCCATAAATGTGTGACGTGGATTCGAATGGAAAACCTAAGAGAGGGGGAAATATTCATGTTTAGAGACAGCTGTGCACAGATTTTAAGTACAGAAGCATCAAAACACCTACAGCATTAAGATTTCAAATGGCAAACAAGTATCTGAAATTGCTTTAGTCATAGAGTGAACAATATATATTAACGAAGTAAAACAACATTTCTGTGATCTGTATGCTCATTCCGATTAATCAAGGCCAGCGCTCATATTACTATCTGATCCTTATGCCTTGTCTGTGATTGCAATCCTAGGGTTTCCGAATCACACACAGCACTATTTCCCCTGCATGCAGATTCAAGCAATTATCACAACTTAGTTTGAACTAGTCCTTAAGTATGGCAAATATGACCCTTAATACATATCAAGAAACAAATACTATCCATAAAAATCTTTTACCTTTCATAAACTGCTTGTGGAAGATTCAGTTTCAACTCAAACATGTGAGCTGAAAGTTTCATTAAGTGCTCTGTTTGCCTCAACCACATGCACACAAGTCGTGCCAAAAGGAACTTGAAAGCCAAGAGCAGTCCGGTTCACATTTTCACAAGGCAAATTGTTCCGTGACGCACAGTATAAAACAAATACCAGGAAATTCTAACCTGCTCACTTCAGTGTTGATCCTTACCAAGGTTATGACGTATATCAGCTAAGACAATGCACCAAGGAAAGGATTTTATGGAGCCTGGTTACATATTCCCGTTAAACATTCAAACAGTATCCTCCTCCACAATATTCTGCATGGTTAATACAGATGAGTTTTGTCCTGGAAAGGGCCACCAAGCATCAGCATCCACATCAAATTACAAAATTTATTACATGTGAAAATTACTGTATGTCCTCAGAACATGGGAATTCCAAATAAAAATTTCAGAAAGGCTGAAAGCAGCCTAATCTCATGTTCACCTGTTGCAGAAACAGAATTGTGTGGGTCTTTCCCTTCTAACCTTAAAGAATGACTGGTTTTCAATGCTGAAAGGAAGATTTCCAACAAGCAGCTCCAATACAAGAAACCCATGCTGTATGATGGAGGCCGCATATGCATACACATCTTTCTGTCTCAAAGCCTACTTCCAAGGCAGGGAGTGAGGCAGAGTCCCACACTCAGAGTCCATATTATTTAGAAGCTGCTTAGTAGTTTAAAAATCTCTTAAGTGGTATACAACCTAAAACAATACACATAATTAAAACAAAAATATAGCATAAAACCAGTAAATCATTAGTGCAAAAGCATATAAAAACAGAGTTCAATCTTTTAAGCCAGTAAACAAATCACAGACAGTCCATCACCCTACAAAGTCTCAATGCTACCAGGTCCTGAAGTTGTACAGAGACATATAGCCTGCACTGTAGTAGGAAAACTTTCTAATTTAAAGGGTATGGAATGCAAAGCATCTATTTGTCAATTTAGCACTGGGGATTCAATTATGTAAACTTGATGCAAGAGGGAAGGAATTAGTATAACTGCTGCTGTTCACAGAAGACACTGAAGCCTGCATATAAACATGCTTGCTGTAGTTCTCTTCTGTAGTCTCATGGGGATGAAATTTCTCATGGGTAGCAACCAAGCCTAGACTATGCACCTACTCTTCAGTTTCTTCAGCTGTGCCTTACCAACATATGACAGCAAAAAATTCACCTGTGGAATGCTGAGCAAGATGTTCAGCAAAAATGAATGCAAATCCACCTGCAACTGTGTCAACAACTATCAGAAAAACTTAAATTTCGTTAGTTGTAATACTTTTTTTAATTTTTACATGAGACTTTATCAGGTATCATGGTCCAACTACTATAGAACTCTTACAAGCTAGGTAAGGAAAAGAACACAAAGGTAGAAACATTTTAAGAAATTGAGTGTGGGCTATCTAGAGGCACAGATTTAACACGAAAAAATGTATTGTTCAAACCAGGCTTTTAGAGGAATTCGCAAAGGTTACTATATTTTAGTAAACTGTCTACTAACACATACAAATAAAAAAACCACTTTTTGTGGGGGGAGTGAGGAATCTCAAACTTTAGAAAATGGAATTTGAAAAAAATCAAATGTTCCAGAATTACAGGTTTTTTTAAAAAAAAAAGTATACATAGATGGATGTTCACAGGAGTATACAAAAAGGTCAGTGCCACAAACACAGTAACTTCATTACTGGCTCCCTTTCACAGATCCTATCTGATCAAAACCTTTTTTGGCTCAAATTGTCACCAATTTACTCTTCACAGTTTTGTCTAATGAACATTCAGTTCTCAACTCTTCCCTTCCGCTTTCAAACTAAGCTTGTGTTTGCTAGAATTGAGGCCAGAAGGTGTTTTCACTGGCAGAGCTCAGTCCACAAACTTGTGAAGTAAAGGTGTTTCTAAGAAGTAATCAATTGTCTTTTTATTCCTTGGCTTGACAGATGGTCATTCATGGTTTATGAGGCTGAGTGTGTGGCATTTATTTGAAGGCTTCTTATTACATTGTAACTAGGGAACTCTGATTTAGTATCTGATAACAAACTAGAAAAATAAGCCAGGATTCCTGATTTGATAACATATATTAAGCCAGAGTTGCACATTTCAAACACAACAGGGTACTCTGGCTCAATACAAGCTAGCATCTTTGCACCAAAGCCAGCATGAGAAGGGATGAATGCTCAGCCCTGACCTTTGTTCCATCAACCATGGTTTATGAAGCCTTAAATAACAGCCCAAACCAGGCCATTGAGTAACTATGAGCTAGCCCTCAAATAGATTTCACATGGCAGAAGCAAAAATAACAGCCAGCTAGAGTTATTTCACACCTTACCGTCTGACGGCCTTAAGGAAAGGAAAATGTACACAGAAAGAGGTAGAATCTCCTTCCAAAAACAAAGACTATAGTCACACAATACAGACAAATCTACTGACTGAGGTTCTGCCTTCATTTACTGAATCTTGATCAATGTTAAGATGATAAAAACAGCAGAGCTTTGCAAAACAAAGGTGGCTTCTGGTCCAGATGTACTAGGTCTAAGAACTGACCAAAATCCAATCAATACAGCATGAAGCATGTCCAAAAGTTTGTTTGCAAATCTGGGGCTCTGGGTTAACAACTGGTCTCCAGGGGAGGGGGCAGTTTCTAGTCACCAGTGGTGACTAGGCAACATGTTACCAAGTAGAAGAATTCTACATTATGTACTCAAAAGCAGGAGGGCAAATCACAGAAAAGATTCTCCCAGTTGTCATGTGTGCCTTTATTCACTGTCCACAGAATTTTAATAAAATACAATTAAAAAAATTAACTCAGATAACAGTGCCCTTAGTCACTCCTTTGCAGGTTCTTAATTGCCTCCATTAAGTGATGCTCCCAAACAAGACAACATTTTAGTTAAGTTGTCTGGGGCAAGGACAGAGGTGTGCTCAATCACCTAACTGAGGTCTAGCCTTCCCCGCACCACCACCACCTTAAACGTGTGAGTGGAGCTCTGGAATATTAACTGGATTCAACTGTGAAATCTTCTCCTACAGAATGCTACACTTGAATCTTAGCATTATCACAACATCAAAACCATCACTTGCCCTGCAGCTACAGAATATGGAAACAAAAAACAGTCTGGTGTGCCCATTAAGCAGAAGAGCAAAAGCTGTTGGAAGCTTGGCCCCTCTTCTCTTCCAGCTAGAAGAAACAGGTACCAAAGAACTTTGGATGTCTTGTGTAATACTTAGTGGAAGAGATCCATTTTTATTTCCTTTTTAACAATGAAAAAACCAGTAGTTTTGTGTGAAGTCATACAAAACTAAATGGAGAGGATACTGGTAAGTCGCTTACATCAAGGGAAAGTTACCAGATCTTCTTCCTCATTTCTGTACTCCAGGCAAAGCTCTCCCAAATAAATGGGAATTTACTCCCAAGGTCTAGCTATTAGGCAAGCGATTGCACAACTGAAAATCTGTATGTGGGTATCAACTCCCTGGCAATGAAGGTTTTAAGAGCAACATACCGTATTCTTCGCTCTATAAGACGCACCAGACCATAAGACGCACCTAGTTTTTGGAGGAGGAAAACAAGAAAAAAAAAATTCCGAATCCCAGAAGCCAGAACAGCAAGAGGGATCGCTGCGCAGTGAAAGCAGCGGATGATCCCTCTTGCTCTTCTGGCTTCTGGGATAGCTGCGCAGCCTGCATTCGCTCCATAAGACACACACACATTTCCCCTTACTTTTTAGGAGGGGAAAAGTGAGTCTTATAGAGCAAAAAATACAGTAGTTCCTGCTGACAAAGTGTCCCTTGACTACCATCCTGGATTATCAAGCCAACTTTAAGAGCAAGAGGTCTTACAAAGGTATTCATCCAGAAAAAAAATATTTGCAGCTGCTTAAGAGCATGTCGAGTTAATTCTCTTTCCTGCCAAAACCACAGAACATCTTAAAGTGACATAAAATACCATATTTTTCGCCCTATAGGACGCACTTTTTCCCCTCCAAAAATGAAGGGGAAATGTGTGTGCGTCCTATGGGGCGAATGCAGGCTTTCGCTGAAGCCTGGAGAGCGAGAGGGGTCAGTGCGCACCGACCCCTCTCGCTCTCCAGGCTTCAGGAAGCTATCCGCAAGCCTTGCAAGCCCGGCGGGAGGTCCCCGGGCTCGCAAGGCTTGTGGGCAGCAGCCTGCAGCCCACAAGCTCGGGAGACAGCGGGGAGGCACAGCGCCGCCACCCCGCTATTCCCCGACCTGATCTGGAGGCTGGCGGGGGGGAGAAGCAAGCTTGCTTCTCCCCATCGCCAGCCCCCCAAGCTCGGGGGATAGCGGGGCAAGCCGCTGCCCCACAGAGGCTTGGGAGGCTGTCCCTGATGGCAGAAGAGGGAGACGGAGCGCTCCGTCTCCCTCTTCTAGCTTGGGGATGGCTGCACAAACCTGGGGGGGGAATAAAAAAAATTTCCTTCATTCCCCCCCCCCCAAAAAAAACTAGGTGCGTCCTATGGGCCGGTGCGTCCTATAGGGCGAAAAATACGCTAATCCACATATGCTTGTCATGTCAAATTGTTAATTCTACCCACTTATTAAAAATCAAAACCTCTTGATACTCAAGTGTAAGGTAACAACTACTTAACATCCAGCTATTATATACATGCCCAAACCTTACTTCAGGAATATATCAGAAGTCTCAAAATTAACTCAACATCTTAATTTGTCCACCAATTAAAACTGACCATGATAAATTAACTAATGCTTTAACTTATTGTCCTACTGATGAAACTGAAGGGAACTAGCAACCCTACCACAGTCTCCCAAGGATAAAGAGAGATTTATTTTGCTTTATTATCCCAAAGACCCCAAGGCAAGTTACAAATCTGGGTTCAGCCCTACTACTGAATTCTAGGACTAAGCGAGAGAATAAGAAGTTTGTTTGATTGTGAGGTGGGTGAGAATATATTTAGAAAGAGGCTATAAAAGGATGATTGAACAGAACCAGAAGTGAATTTTGTGGGAAAGGACCAGGTTGCACATTATATGGTGCGGGGTGTTTAATTTTTAAGGAGAAAATGGTGCTAGATCTCTGGCCTATGCAACAGTCATGCCATATGTTCTCCAAGTGTGGGAAGAGAGCAAATAACCTGTAGTTCAGAGTCGGGAAAATGTGTTATCAACATGCACAAAGGCACCTTCTGCGGAGTCCAGTATTCAGTCTAGGAATGCAAAGCAGATTCCAGGTTTCATCCCTATTGTGCCCTAGAACAAAATAAGCCTAAAACAGGGCTTTACTCTTTGTAGACTGGTTTGTACACAATAAATTTATGTGCACATGAGAGCCTTTTGCCGCCTGAGAAGTAGCAATTAAAGAACAGCATGTAGTGAAGCTATACATAAATGGCAAATGATAATATAGGCCCAAAAGAAGGTATCGCACACCGTTTCAGAACAACTAGAGTTCTGTAACACTAACAAGCAGAGTTGGGGTAAACACAAGGAAGTTTTGTAAACTGTGATTTAGGGAACCCAGAGAAGCTTGGGAAGGGACCTGAATAATTTTTACACACTGACTGAAACTTTATATAAACGTGGCCTCGCAGGCCATTAGTCTCATCTCATGAATCACAGATAGCAGAGTCCGAGATAAAGCAACCTGCCAACAGCCTGGCACTGGGCTTACAGCTGTCCAGGAGAGATTAACCAGGATCACTACAATGGCATCTAGCTGACCCATAAACTTTTAAAAGTAACAAATTCATCTGTACTAGATGCCTACATTTCTGATTTACCCAACTTTTAGTTCAGTTTCCTACTGCAAACAGAACTAGTCCAAAAATACTCCCTGCCTTTGAAGACCCCCTTGCAGCTTGCATTTCAGCTTGTTGCCTTCAGGACTGAGGCCATAAGACGGACTGCACCAGCTGTACCTTTCCAGGACTGCAAGAGACATACTTTGGAAAAGGTTATTTGGATCACCTTTCAACATAGTATAGCACAACAACATAGTACAAAGCAAAACCTGCTAATTTGTCAGACATTCATCAGAGATTACCCTCCAGTATAGGCAAGCAACCTCTTGTAAGATTAGCTTATCTGAACTCAGTTTACTTCTAGCTGAATTCCACACTTGATTATTTTTCATATGCTTAGAATGAACTGCCATGAAGAGTAGTGTAAAAATTGCTTTCTCAAAGCAGCAAAAATTATTTGAGGGACAAATCTCCAAAAGTTCCTTGTTTCTTAAAACTAAACTTGTAATAGCACAGAAATAAGAGAACAGGTTTTGGAATGTTGTTAGATATAATTTTACCATGATCAAATACTGTCACATCTCAGCAAGCCAATAATAAATACACGCCAGAGTCTGCCAAGATTCTGAACAACAGCCAGCTTTTCAACAGTTTCATGGTGCTGGTTAACATGGACAGAGGTGCCTGCTCTTTGTCCATTCATGCAACCATGCACTTCCTCCTCCGAAGTTCTTTTATATGCCTTATACTGTATAATGCAGTTTGCTCACATTTGGGAACAAATTTATCTTTTCTCTGTTCTTCTCTCCAGAGGTCCAACAACTTCCTGCCCTTTGTGTGGACATGGGTTGCAAAGCTGCAGGCCTATGCCCTTGAGAAACTCAACTAACACTGCCTATTAATTTCAATGTAATTTTGTGGTTTGATGTAATCCTGAACAACTTCCATTTCTACTTTTCTAACAGTGCACTCTCTAGAAATCTGCTACCCAAATGCTACCCAAATCTTAACAAAGAAGCCTTTTTGCAATAACTTAACAAAAGCTACTGTTAGTTGCTTGGTCATCTTTAACATTATTGTTCAGTGCTTTTCCTCTAGAAAAAAGGGTGCTGGTACTCACCATGAAGTTGTTACAGTAAGTGCCACACTTTTAAACAGGGCTTTTATTCTAAGGGAAATGGTGCCAGCAGTGCGTACCATTGAGTACCCCCAGAAAAAGTACCATTCGTGTTCATTCCCTTTTACAACCTCAGAACCAAAGCAGCCTAAAATATACATATGCTGATTTTGGTGCCAGTGATTAAAATTGTTCTACACAAAATATATTTATATTTTTTTTCATAGAACTGCAAGCTTTAATCTGGTCAATCCAAGATGTAAAAACCTAAGCCTGGTGCTGCACAGAGGGTTTAAGGATTAACAGCCTGAAAGCAATTACAAAAAAATATAATTGAAGTGCTGAAAATGGAAAGCAATGTTGTCACAAATGACCAGATACAAATAAATGTTTTCCAGCTGTGGCTAGATCTGCCTGAAGTTTCCAGGCAGTGCTGTCAAATTTCTACAGGTTTTGATAACCAAGTGCCCTGAATTTTTCAATTTTCCAGGCCCAGAGAGAGAGAGAGAGAGAGAGAGAGAGAGAGAGAGAGAGATGCCTATATACAAAACACATACACATTAAGCACAGCCTTTTCTTTAACCATTCACTTGGCCAACATTGGTGCTTTCCTTCAATAGATTTGACTGGCAAAGCTGAGCAGTCTTTCTGCTTTACCACCATGATTGGTTCCCATACTGACTACAGAGGAAGTGAAGCTGACCAGGCTAGCAAGAGCAACACTCTTCCATGCTTCACCTGCCTAGAAGGAATGTCAGTTACTTTTATAAATAAAAAACAGGTGAGTGAAACAAAAACTGGCAGGTTATTGAAAGCTTAGTAACAAGGGCATGTGAGCCCATTACCCTAGATGAGTTCTTGGACAAACATTTCATTCCCAAGTGCTACTAAGTTCATCAATGGAACTAAGTAGATATCCACAGTAGATGGAGCAGAGGAGGATGTGCACAAGAACATTTTCTACTGCAAACTCACCATCTCACCTTAAATTTCCTATCCCTCAGTCACTGTGCCCACTTCCTTCCCATTACAGTCAAACCTTGGCTCCCGAACGCCCACGTTTTGGAACGTTTCGGCTCCCGAACACCAAAAACCTGGAAATAAATGCTCTGGCTTTCGGAAGTCGGCTTCCACTTGAGTACAGGAAGCTCCTGTAACCAATCAGAAGCCGCACCTCGGTTGATGAACATTTCGGAAGCCGAACGGGTTTTCAGAACGTATTACATTCAACAACTGAGGTTTGACTGTACCACAAACGCCTCATTCACCTTTACAAGCCGTATTCTGTGCAAACTCCACAATATTTCTAACAGTCTCAGGTTACTGTCCACTTCAGTCTACCCCTTAAATACTTTTAACGTGAATAATCTAGAGTGACAAAGAAACATTATTTATACTGTGTAGACATGCTCTTTTGGAATCATGGGTACATTTACAAACCTTAGAAACCGTAATGGGCACTATGAAAACACACCGCAGCTTAATCAACTGGCTACAGTAAAATGCTTCTTTCACATTTCAATGGTCCTTTCAGGCACCAGGAAAAGCATCAGTGTCACCTATGTGTGTCCACAGGTGTCATGCTGACAAGCACTATTTTTCTCAGATTCCCTAAAAAGGCCAATTCTGAAGTGGCCTGAGATCCAAATTCTGTTAGTACTTTGAATCAGAGAGAGAGAGTGTGGCACTTCATAAATACTATGTAAATAGCATGCCTTTTGGAGAACTCCAGTATTTATACCAAAGTGACGATGTACAAAATAATTTAGTTACACTTTTTAGGTTAATTGACCAAACTCTCTTACAGACAGAGGCAGAGAGTTGGGAAAATTGGGAAGCACTTGCTGCATTTTTATTTCATAAACTGATTCTGAAATGTGCAGTATTTTCCAGAATTTAAAAATAAGAGAACGCAAATAATTCTCAAAAGTAAATTAAATTTAACATCATTAGAAGATAGCTGATGGATTCCCAATTTTAAGCTTCCAATTATGTGAATGTGTTCCCAGTTACATTTCCAAATGGAGGGTAGAATATGTAGGTGGATGGAAAGTGTTGTTTTTATAAATAGCCAATCTTTCTATAGTCAACATTCAAAGCCAGATGTCAGCTTCTAGCAACTTGATGACCCACCCACAAGCTTCTATGACCTATGTCAACAGCAGTTTTGTTTACCCAAATGACTAATTATTTGATGTCCTCCAGGTCACATGGAAAATTAAGTTAGTGCAATTTATTTTCAAAAAGCAAGTTTACTATAAGGAACTTATAGCAGGGAGATCAAACCCAAAATATTATTTTAGTGGATAATATTTTTATAGAATGGTGTTATTTAACATAGTACTATGTTAGACCAGACTGCAGCCATTAATTAGACTAAGTCCATTTATCCTCTGCATTCTGATTATCAGAAATGGCCAGCCAGATATCATAGCACAATCAATATCCACTCTATTAGCCTACAACATCTGGTAGTTAGAGATACTTTAAAGAAAACACACACAGACACACACACACACAATTTTGCACTTCTGGCTATCACTATCGGTAGTCCCATAAAATTATCTAAATGTGGACACACTATACAGAGCAATTATGTGGCTTTAGAAAGAATAAAAGCTTTTTTCTTAAGAATGCAACCCGGTCACTTGTTAAAAAAATAAATTTTCTATTCACTTTAGAAACATAGGAAGCTGTCTTATAGCAAGAAAAACAACTCTTTCATCTAGCTCTATACTGCATTCTGGCTGGCAATAGCTCTCCAGAGTTTCAGGCAAGGTCTTTTCCAGCCCCACCTGGAGATGCCAGAGACTGAACCTGTTACATCTACAGGCCAAACATGTGTTCTAAAACTGAATTATAGTCTGTCCCCTGTCCGTTTAGATTTGTGCTGCTGCCTGATCCCATGTTACTTTAGTTCTGATGTTAAATCCCACAATTTCAGAGGAGCTTCTTATTCCCAAGAAAGCATAGAGGATTACAGTCATCTCCTCGCAATATAAAAATATAAGGAGATGAACAGTAGTGTTGTATGATAACTGAGTATGTTTTCCCCACCATTCTCTTTTTACAAAGAAAAGCAGCTTCTTATAAGTGAGTCAAAAATTCAGTTTTAATAATAATTTTTGCAATTTAAATTCAGATTTGTTTCACCTAAATTGGTCTATCATTTTTGTCCACCCTGTTATAAAGCATTTATCAGTAAAGTGTCTTTGTCAAAGACACTTTTTTTTAGTAAAACTATACCACAATATTAGAAAAGATGCAAAAAGAATCAGTACATTATATTTTAATGCTATGGCTAGTGGTTGATGCAAATAAAGATTCTTCTGATTCTGATGCTAAAGGAAGCCTGAAGAGGTCGTTTTTAATTTTAAAAAATTACAAGCAACACTACAATCACATCAGCTCTATTCCTTAATAAGGCCCCTCAACAGTTAACTAGTGCAGTGTTCTATGGAAGGACAAAGTTCAAAATGTGGACAGTAAATTGAAAATTATTCACAAAGTGTTAGTGAAAACTGTTTCAATTTAGTCGTATCTAGATGTTCTATAGCTAAACCACGGCATGCTCAAAAGATTCCTCTTCACTACCACAAATAAAATCATCTATTAGTTTGAGACCTCAACTCCCACCTCTTGTAGACTTTCCAACCCCACAGAAGTCTAAGTGAAGATAACATTTCTGCACTTTGAGTCACATAGGGAGGTGCCTTTTTTTCCTTACTACTGCAGTTCTGAGTCACAACCTTCCCTGTTCATTCAACAAGCAGAGAGAATGTTCATACTACAACTTGTGAAAAGTGCTAGTCTGCTCATAGGTACCCAAAATCACACACACAGTTATTTCACATGGGAAAAGTGGTTTGTAACAAACCATGGCCAACGAAACCCAGGGGATGCCAGCAGATTTCAAATGTCAAGGACTGTCCTGTGCTTTTATCTCATACACCCCCCAAGAAACTTATTTCCAGCACAAAGTCTCCCCTTTTAATGATTTAACTAGACTATGCTTCCTTACACCATCTTGGTCTTTTATCACCTAACACTTCCTTGTTGTACTCCTTCACTCTAGGTTTGACTACTCAATGCAACCTCACTTCCCATTTATTTCCCCAGCAACCTCTGCCTCTGTTTCTTTCTTTCAAATCTGCTCCAGCTTTCCTTGACAAACCTCTAAACTATGTGGTGGCATGCGTACTCCAGGCTTTGTCCTGCACTCCATTCCAATATACCACCACCTCTTCCTACACGCACTCATTCTTCTCCTTGGTCTTTCAACACAGTCAGTTCCTGTAAATACCTTCCTCAACATCTGTATTTCCTACACAGACCTTCCATAAACCTCCACTTAGCTTCCAAATTATTTCCCCAAGCTATAGGTACATCTTTGCAGCTGCAGCCTTGATGCTCACTTGCATAATCTCTCCTCCTTTCTAGAGACTTGTAGGTCCCCCTGGGAGACATTCTTCAGTACACACCCACTTCCTCCATTCTTCCACAGGTCTGATCCTAAGGCTCAGTTTTATGTTGTTACTCTCTTACTGCTCCTACCTAACCTGCAATTTTCCTTGTAGCATTTCCCCATCATAACATTTACTGATTCCTTGTGGTCTAGCAGCCCCTCCCTTTCCCCCCTCCAAATTACAAATCCTTCCTTAAGCCTCCACTTTTTTGTCTAAGTATCCCCCACAACACCATGACTCTCCTTTACCAAGTTTGTATGTATGTTTTTCTGGGCTACTCAAACAAAAAATTATCCCAGTTCGAAAGCACGTCAAAGTGCAAGTAGATAAATAGGTACCACTCTGGCGGGAGGGTAAACAGCGTTTCCGTGCGCTGTTCTGGTTCGCCAGAAGCGGCTTAGTCATGCTGGCCGCATGACCCGGAAGCTGTACGCCAATAAAGTAAGACGAGCGTTGCAACCCCAGAGTCGTGCGCAACTGGACCTAACGGTCAGGGGTCCCTTTACCTTTAGGTTCCTTGGAGGACTTTTATTACTTCCAAATCCAAAGTTTTTGCTCCTTCAGTTCTCCTCCCTTCACATGTTGCTAAAGCTCTACACTGTTCCAGTACATTTCCTTTCCATGATGACCACTCTTTTAAAAGTAATCTTTTAAAACAAAGTACTGCCCCTAGGCCAAGCCAGGCCAGCTTCACCACTCCTCCACAGATCAACAACTTTGCTCATCCTCCTTCACAATGGAGCGATGAAGCTCACTGGGTGTTCTTGGGCCAGTCACTTCAGCCTAACCTACTTCACAGGGTTGTTGTGAGGATGAATTAAGGAAGAGAACCATGCATGCCACTCTGAGCTTCATGGAGAAAAGGTGGGATATAAATGTAAAAATAAATATATAAGAGTAACCGAGAGGTCTGAAAAGACTATTCTTCCCTCCACCAAATCAGGCCTTCTCTTCCCTTTGGCCTACCCCATTTCTGCAAACCTTCCTGTGGTATTCCCATTTCTTTCCTCACTGCATCCCCTTAGCAATCCTCCCTTTAACCATACAATCAATCTTCCATCCCAAGTTATAAGCAACCACTCAAAAAAAAAAAGGCTTACAAACGTCAAGAAGAAATATATGACTATGATGGACATCTCTCTCCCCACACTCGAACAGGCCAGGCCCCTCCTCTAGTTCAGCTTCTCAGACCCAGTCCCAGACATCCCCCCTCTGCCAGCTCCCAGTGTCTGCCTTAGGCTTAACCACTCTCTCCTTCAGACGCCGCTTCCTCCTACTCCAAATTTCAAGCGTGGCCCCATTCACTGCAAGTCGCACAACCACCAGAGGAAGCAGCGTATGAAAATGGCCCTTTCCCAATCCCCATGCCCTTTTAAATTCCGCATCCTCCCCATCTCCTTTCCCTACCAGCCTGCCTCCCATTCTTCCCCTTAAACCCACTCACCACCACGGAAACCTCCTAACTCGAAAGTCCCAAGGGTGGCTCTCCCTCTCTCACCCACTCTTCACTCAGGAAAATTCACAGCGCCATCAAAAGCAAACTGAGGGGCCTGAAAAGGGCCCTGTGCAGATCCACTGTTGACCCTCAACGCTCACCCCCATAATGTCTTGACCTCCCTCCCACCCTTTCTCCCCCACCCCACCGAGCAGCTCCCCAGTTCGCCACCCCGCCCCCACCCACTTCCTTCCCCAGGCAGCCCACAAATACCGGGACACCCCCCCCATCGAAGTAAAGGGTCTCAAAGCGGCGTTCGCTCCCCGCCCTACGCCCCCCGCCTGTGCGGCCCTCCCCCTCGTGCTTCAGCCTCCCCCCATTCTCCCCCCACCGCGCCTTCATCCACCCCTCCCGCAAAGGCCCCGGCCACCGCCGCCTCCTCGCCGTCGTCCTCTCACCCACCGAGAGCATTGAACGTCCAGGCGCGGAGCAGACCGGGCGCCTCCCACACGGCCCGGGCAGGGAGGGCCCCTCTACCTGCGTCAACGCGCGGAAGCGGGCCAGAGCCGCGGAGGGGGAAGAGGAAGAAGGGAGCGCCGCCGCGTCGTCGTCGTCGTCGTCGCCACCGCCGCGTAATCGAAGCCTCCCAAACCGGACCTGACCGGCAGCCGACGCGACGCGCGATTCCCCCTCAGCCAGCCACACAAGACAGACAGGCGGCCACCCGCCAACCACAAGGCCCGCCGGGAGAAAGGCCCCGCCCGCCGCCCGCGCGCAAGCGCACGAGGCACCTCCCGTCCCCGTCGCGCGCCTTGCCACAATGGTACCGTCCGGCTCACCTCACGCCACCCCCCCCTGCACCGCGGCGGGTGATGGTACAGGCTTAGGCGGCGCCGCCGCCGTTCTTCTCCGGCTCCTCTCCCTCCATTTGCGATGGTCTGACGCACAAATGAAGCTGCCCCTCTCTTTGAGAATGGTCCACGCCGCCCCCTTTCAGGAGAATGGATGCGGCGCGCGCAGTTCCTGCCCCGGCGTGACCCAGAGTGGTACGGCCTGCTCGGAAAAGAAAGCGCGCAAGCAGTACTCACATCTGCAAGTGTGGCAGTTGGTGTGCTAGACAGTTGCCTTCGCTCGATAATGGACTGGACAAGAGCCAACATACTGAAGCTCAATCCAGATAAGGCTGAGGCCCTGTTAGTGGGTGGCTCCCTAGACCGGATGGCTGAGTGGCTGCCTGCTTTTCATGGCAACTATGTAGCAATTGAAGGAGAAGGTACATAGCTTGGGGGTACTTATGGATCCCATCACTGTCCAATAGTATTTTATGTAATGTTGCTTTAAATATAATAAAGCCTAAAGACAGGAAAGACATTTACAACCAGAAAAGATAAAAACGAAAATACAAAATGCATAAAATGCTAAGATATCACAATTAATTTAATAAAGGGAAATGCCGGTGTTTAAAGCTGCATGCCAACTGCAAGCAAAAGTGGTCTGTTATTCAGTTTAAGCATGGGAAACTGCTTTATACGAAGTCAAACCATTAATCCGTCTAGCGGTTTTGCCTATATCACAGGCAGCAGCTCTTCAGTTTGAGGCAGGACATCCCCACTCCTACCTCGAGATGCTGGGGCTTCAGCCTGGGACCTTTTGCATCCAAAGCAGATGCTCTGCCACTAAGCTGTGATCCTTCTCTGCTTGCCTTTCCAGTAGTGTACTGTTCAAAGATTCCCTGCATGCATATAATCTCATTTAAATTTGATGTTTTACAACGACAGAAGATTAATTTAATAACTGAGTTTTAAAGTGAAAGTCTTTCAAGTAGTTTGGCAGAAATATACTACAGAGTAAAAAAAGGCAGCTTGCCAAAAAGAAGATGACCAGAATACTCTTCCTTAATGCATTGATGCATACAGATTTTACTCCATCATGGTTATCAAACTGTTTAAAAACCAAACCAAATTGCTTTCAACCTAGTTGCAGAAAGCCAATGTGTTAGTGCTTCTATACTATAGATCAGTATTTCCCAAAGGGGGCGATACCGCCCCCTCAGGGGCACTGTAATGATCCAGGGGGGCAGTAGTAGCATCGGGTGCAATTGGGAGGGCCTTGAATAAAAATAAGGGAGTGGTGGAAGCATGAAGAAAGAAGAGAATAAAATTTTGAAAACACGTCTCATCTGTTGTGTAATCATGCTTACTGCCAAGTCTGGTGCCGTTGTGCAATGGCAACAACACCTCCCCTGAATCCAGTGGTCCTGCTGAAGACGAGGGGTTTTCGTGGGCTTGAGTGAACTGTTTTCAGCTTCACCAGGCTGTGGAAGTGGATTGCAGCTTGCCTGCCTATTTGGCCAATGGCAGGCAGGTTGCATCACTGGCCCCACCCCTGGGGCAGATTGGACTGAGCTTACCCAAGCTAGTACACTCCATATGTTTTGAACTACAATTCCCAGGACTGGGGCTGATGGGAATTGTACACCAAAACATCTTGAGGTTGGTGAAGGTCTCTCTAACTATACAACCTTGTGCAAGTTTACTCAGAAGTAAGTCCCACTGCCAGGGCTGGTATCAGCATGTGGCATTCTTGGGCAGCTGTTGAGGCCCCAGCACCACAGTAGAGCCCACTCCTGCTCCCTCCAGTCTGGGGAGCTGATATTTTCATTTCCTATAATGACTCCAATGTAACCTTGGTCCAGGGCTTTGTAGGACATTAAAATGACAGGCCTCGAACTGCCCTGGAGGCCTGCCATTGACATTTCTCATTGTGGAAAATTAAAATGGTGGCTTGCCATCTGACCTTTGTTTGTTTGAAACTGCTGCCACTTCCTAACACTGGCAGGGGGCAGAGGCATTTTGTTGAGACACCCCTCTTCCTTGTATTCACTGTGGCTTTCTCTCAGATAAGTGCACAGTATTGCTGCTAATCAGATGGTGACAGCAGTCACGAAATTAAAAGACGCCTGCTCCTTGGGAGAAAGGCGATGGCAAACCTAGACAGCATCTTAAAAAGTAGAGACATCACCTTGCCAACAAAGGTCTGTATAGTTAAAGCCATGGTTTTCCCGGTAGTGATGTATGGAAGTGAGAGCTGGACCATAAAGAAGGCTGATCGCCGAAGAATAGATGCTTTTGAATTATGGTGCTGGAGGAGACTCTTGAGAGTCCCATGGACTGCAAGAAGATCAAATGCATCCATTCTTAAGGAAATTAGCCCTGAGTGCTCACTGGAAGGACAGATCGTGAAGCTGAGGCTCCAGTAATTTGGCCACCTTATGAGAAGAGAAGACTCCCTGGAAAAGATCCTGATGTTGGGAAAGATGGAGGGCACAAGGAGAAGGGGACGACAGAGGACGAGATGGTTGGACAGTGTTCTCGAAGCCACAAGCATGAGTCTGACCAAACTGCAGGAGGCAGTGGAAGACAGAAGTGCCTGGCGTGCTTTAGTCCATGGGGTCACAAAGAGTCGGACACGACTAAATGACTAAACAACAACAATTGCTGCTAATATCAGTGACCATTGCACTTGGAATATAAGATGAGGCCAGAGTAGTTAACAAAAGGCTTTGCTGAAGGAAGAGGACAGGGAGCAATATTTATCTTTCTATCGCTTTCTATCCCATACCTCCTCCAACACACACACACACACACACACACACACACATACTATAGAGCTGTCCTCACAACAATCTTGCGAGGTCTGCTTAATTTTGTTTTTTAGACTTGAGGGGGAAGCTGCTTTTCTATTTCAAATGCAACATATTTCAGTTTTTGCCACTAGAGAGCAGCAGGAATCAACATTCCACTTGCAGAGAAAGCCTGCTCTCCCATGCAGGGAAGGAATGATTGAGTTAGATGGTTAGATGATACACTATTAGATGGTCATTATGTTTTGTCTTTGGGAAGATTAGCACAGGGCTCTGTGAACACGTTATCTGGAGTCACTTTATTGAACTACGTAGGTGGGACTTTTTATAATCCTACCGCCATGACCATCCAATTGCTGTGTTAATGGAGGAGCCATTTAAACAGCGAAGGGAAATCTGGTCCTCCTTTATGTTGTAGGCTTATAACTGATTTATTATTGATTCATTGCATTTATATCCCACCTTTTTATCCAAGGAGCTGAAGGTGGCGTTCAGAGTTCTACCTCTCCTTATTTAATCCCCTCAACAACCTTGTGAGGCAGGTTAGGCTGAGAGGCAGTGACTAGCCCAAGTGTGGCTCATGGCCGAGTAGGGATTTGAACCCTGGTCTCCTAGGTCCTAGTCCAACACACTAACCACAACACCACACTGGCTCTGTTCCATCAGCCCCAGCCACCATGGCCAATGGCCAGGGGTGATGGGAGATGCAGTCTATCAAAACATCTAGAGGGCCATCAGTTCCCCACCATTGTATTAACACAAGAGATATGCTTGCAGGGGGTAGTGTTCTAATCTAATGGGGGGCAACATCTATGAGGGGTGTTAAAACAGAGCTAAGAATCTCTGGGGTCACTCCATCTCCAGCTACTTAGCACAGGCCCTACAGACCAATGTCTGGCTCTGGCCTATGAAACAACAAGCGGCCATGTCTTTTAAAGGCACCACAGGATGAGTTGGAGTTGTTGCTGCAACAAACATGGCTACCCACCTGCAATTTATCTAGAAAATGCTCTAGCCAACCACTTCTATACTGAGGCATATTTTTCTGCATTCTATGTCCCCATCCCATGGAGAGTTTACCATGGGGAGGTAAATGGTAACATCTGAGATGTCTATGCATCTATGATAATTCCCTCCTCACCAGAGGTATTCTGTGTCTGAATGTGCTTTCTTGGGTTAGGCTGCAGGCATCTGACCTGGTCCTAGTTATGCTACTGTTATGCTAGTTATGCAAGAGGACCTGGGGCAGTGGAATGTGCTTGTTTTCTCTGTTAATATCTACTTCCACAAAGTTATCACCTTTCCAGACACTGTTCTGGCAGGGCCAGTGTGCCTTTAACAGCAGGCAGAAATAATGTAAGGAAAAAAGGTTTTTCTGTCCTGGAGAAAGAAACCAGCACCTGTGTAAAGCCTGCCATTTACCCAACCCTTTAAAGCACAGGGTCCTGGCTGTAGCTCCCGCAGCACATGCAAAAGAAATTTGTGGTAACAGGAGTGGGGGAATGCCACTCCAAGAAGCACAAAATGGTTCAACAATGCCAGCTGCATCATCAGCATCCATGGCAACACCACTGATGCCATCATCAGTCACAGATTGCATGGCAATGGTGCCGCTGTGAAAAACCGCTACAGAACAAGCCAGTCTACAGATGGTGATACACCCACACAATATCTCCCAGCACAGTCATGCCTGCCTCAAAGAAGAGAAAGAATGCTAGGCCCCAACCTCTGCTAAGAAGTAAGATTTCACCCTCCATTAAATGTTGCCTGGCAGCAGCCACTGCATCAGGCTGTAAGAGAGAGAAAAGCAAGGATGCAGGCACACTCTTTGCCCACTGTGAGAATAGGATGCTAGTCTAGATGGGCCATTGGGTTGATCCAGCTAGCTTATGTTCTCATGCTGAGAGAAAGCAATATTTGGTGTCTCCTCTCCTTGAACTTTTCTATCCCATCTGGTCTTCAGAACAACATTTACCTATTAATATGAATGCAAGTTTGCTTATTTTTTCCTCTATCTTATCCATTTCCTTCTTGTGTTATGTCTGGAAATTGTAAGTCTGAGGGCATGGACTGTATTTTTTGTTATATGTAAACAACTCAATCTGTGGCTGAAGAGTGGGATAAAAGCATTCTCCAAATAAATACTAAATAAAAGTGAGTCTTGCACATGGGGGTTCCAGTCCCATTATCTACACACACACACACAATTGTTCATAAGTACCCTTTTGACTGCACAACAGAGAACACACGGGGAGAACAGTTTTAAAGACCACTGGTGTCATGACCTTGGGATCAGATTCCCCGTTTTCAGGGGATAAGATAGAGAACTCTGAGCCAGAGGAGGAAATTGCATGCAGGGCCAGTCCCAGAAGCACATCTGCAACATGAGCCTGTAGTGCCAGTCTCCTCCCCTGCACCAGTGAGGATGCCCCATTGTCATCCTGGAACTCAAAGAACACCATCACAAAAGCCCCAGTATACCCAGAACCACCCTTGCTCCATTGGAATAAAAGATCATTGGAGCAGGCTGGGTTCCTTTAACTGAAGTGGCAACTTCCCAGCATAGGGCACAAGGCTGAGAACCACGGTGGGAATTTATGCTCCACTATGTTGGAAGTGCTGGGGTACCACTCAGCTTGCACTGTAGGCAGACATACCTGCATGGGAAGAGTAGAGAGGAACTTCCAATCTTTCAGAATCAAAATGCAGTTTTACAAATTATGCTGCAACTGCGTTTGGAATACTGTGTACAGTTCTGGTTGAGTTGCGGGGGGGGGGGGGGGGAGAGAGAAGCTGTATGAGTCATGTCTGATTTCTGCTGGAATCCAAAGCTGTAGCCATAGGAGAAGCAAGACCCTCTTGAGGTGTCAATGCGGTGGGCCCCTCCATTGTAGGCTCAGGTTGTATATATGTGTAAATAAATCATATATCATAAAGACACCACTGTCTCTGCAGTTCTTCACTGCAAGGGAACTGAACCTTGGTCAAGCATCCAGAACTCCTGGAATCTCGCACCACTCGGAGATTAGGGCAGCGTGCAATAATATTGTGGAGTTGGAAAAGGTTCAGAAAAGGGCAATCAACATGATCAAGATGGAGAAACTTAAGAAAGGTGGTAGCATTTACCACCTTTTGGTTTAGAGAAAAGGTAAGTCAGAGGTTACATGACAGACGTTTATAAAAGCAGGCATGGAGGAAGCGGAGAGAAAAGTTTTTCTCCGCTTATCATAACTCTGGAACTCGTGGACAAAATCCAACAGAGCTGACTGTTGGAAGACTCAGGGCAAATAAAAGAAAATACTTCTTCACACAGTACATAGTTAAACTATGGCCACCAACTTGGATGGATTCAAAAGATGAAGGAGGCAGCTATCAATGGCTACTAGCCACAATGCCCATGCACTGCCACCGCCAGAAGAAGCAATCCCCCTCAGTATCAGCTGCTGGAAACCATAGGAGGGCAGGGTGCTCCTGTGCTCAAATCCTGCTTGCAGGTTTCCACAGTTATCTGGTGGGCCACTGTGAGAAGAGGATGCGGGGCTGGAAGGACCATTGGATCAATGATGGCCTAATCCAGCTGAATTCTTCTTACGTTCTTATTTGAATGCCCCGGATTTTTGCTTCTTCTTAAACTGTGCGCTCATTAGGGTCTGGCACATGCGAGATTAAACACTATTATGCAACTCGGCTTTTAACAACGCACATGGTTATCGTACGGTAACTGTTGGGAAATCATTTGCATTTTGTCTTTCTGTAAACTTCTAAGAAAATTATTCACTGAGGCGGCGGTGGGGAGACCCATGCGGGGGCGCGCTCCCGCGCCCTCCATGATTCCTGCGCACGCGGCTGTGCATTGTCCTCCTCGCTTCGCCATGAGGGCGCGCGCGCTCCCGCGCTCGGCCTCTCGCTATCAGCTTTGTCCTCGGCGAAGAAGGAGCTTGTCACGAGAATTAGACTTACTAATGTAGACTCGCCCACAGAGCACAGATTCCGGGTTCACCTAGACAGCCACAAGCGCGGAGGCGTTCCCTTGCTTGAAACGAGGAAAGTTGCCCAGGGAGGACGAGAGAGTTTGGCACGCTTTTTAGCATCCATTAGGCGACAGGAGCGAGTTCCCTTCGCGAACCAAAGCTAGCAAGAAAGGCAGCTGCTCTTTCTTATGGCGCGGGGATTGATCTTATTTCGTGGAAAGGAACATGACTGGAGTTCTTAAACAGCTTAAGGCTGCGCTCTGTTGCACACACTGCTGCAGCGTCTGTACGCCTGGCTCATGTTTTGAAGAAGTTTCCCAAATCATATTTTCCCACGGAATAAAGCTGAATTAGAAAGAGCATTAATTTCTCTTTTTACTGCTGTTTCCATTTCGTTTCGAGGAGGCCACGCTGCTTTCCGAATCCAGCTAAAAACTACTTCCTATTGTTCTCCATGAGCAGCGCTCACTTTTCTCTTATGGAAAGAAAAAAAGGAAAGAGAGTAGTAGGAGGGAATTTGTACAGTGAACCTTTACTTCCAATGTATTTTCTCTATATATATGTAGTCTACGAACCACGCATGAGCCCTGAATTACATCTAAGACGCATGCGCAGGGCGTGTACGCACGGCGAGCTGATAGGAAAGGGGGCCGTCTCTTCAATGGAATGCTGCGCCTGCGCGGCTCATGCCGGCGCTTCATTTTTTTTGTTCGTGGCGAAGAGGCTTTAGGCTGGCGCGTGCGCAGTGGGCGCCCTCGCGAGGTTTGCGCACGCGCATTCCTGGCTTGAGTCGAGAAGAACGGTTGGAGGCGGCCGTACTTTGGGCGCGAGGCAGAGGAAGAAAGAAAGAGGCGAAGAAGCAGAAGCAGTTCCCGCGCGCACGAGGCGTTTCCGCTCCGGCCCTCCCTCCGCTTCCTGTCTCGGCGGCCCCGGCGCTCAGTCGGCGTGGCAACCCTGTTCCCTCGCGCGCCTTTGCCGCTCCTTCGGCCGCGGATGCAGCGCCGCGAGGACCTCGCCGCCCCCGGCCGCCTGGGCAGGGCCCCGGGCCCGGCGGCTCCCCCGGGCCGCCTCCAGTCGCCTCAGGCCGCCGCTTCCCCGAGGAGGCCTCCGCGGGGCGGAGGTGGCGGGGTGCGCGGGCCCCAGCCTCCGCCCCTGCTGCCGCCCTCGGCCACCGGCTCGGCTCCGCCGGCCCCCAGCGTCGTCCCTACCCCGCTGATTCCCGGCGCCGGGTCGGCGGCCAAGGCCGAGCCCGAGAACAAGTACCTGCCCGAACTCATGGCCGAGAAGGACAGCCTGGACCCTTCCTTCACCCACGCCATGCAGCTGTTGCAAGCCGGTAAACGCCCCTGCCGCGGGGGAGGGGAGGGGAGAGGGGCCGCCGACACTGTGGCGGCTACTCGGCTGATTTGGGGGTGGGGGTGGGGAGATGAGTCCCAGCGTCCGGTAGAATAATAATAATAGTAATGGAAAGGTGGAATGCCTGAATCCATCCACTGGAATACTAGAGTACAAATTAGTAAGCCCCCCCGCCAATCTGTTAGTCTGACATCCTTTACTTTTCCAGGCGTATACTTAAAAATGTAATCAATTATAAAGGTGTATGAAGAAGGCCATATGTGCCCTAACTTTTCCCCTCAGTATAAGTTGTGGTAGGCTAGAACCCATTTGATCTGGTGCTGATCCTATTTGTTGATCAGACTTAACAGGATGGGAGAACTCAGGCAGTTTATACCCTAGTTAGTTGAGCAAATTCGTTGTCTCTTCCTCTTCCCCGCCCCCAAACCCCCATCCTGTATTCTTGTCAAGGTTGTAAAACTGCGCTCCTTTGCCATTTTAAATAAACTCCCACCCCATGTAACTCATCTGCTTACATATATTTGCAAATGGTAGGTGTGGCATGTTGATGGTCTGAATAAAGGAATACTGAACAGAAACTGCTTTTCTAGTTTAGATAATTTTTCTTGCCTGGTTTATGGTGGTAATTCCTATTTTCCATAGGCAAGTGACTGTTATACCCTTTGAGTAGGGTTCAAAATTAGCAGTGCGCCAGGCGCATTTCGCTCCTAAAGATTGTCCATTTGCAAGCACCTCAAAAAGTCTGGGTGTCATTTTTTGCACCTGGCTGACACTCAAGGATTAGTGAAATGTATGCGCTTTGAAGCCTCGACGTGTATGTTAAGGATTTACAATATGTTATGGAGTTTAACAATAAAGAGTAGAGTGTTTTGAAAACTGAAGTATGGTACCAATATTTTTGTTGTAAACATTAAATATATATTAACAACTTAATTCAAAAACGTGATACCAAAATAACAAAAAGTTTCGCCAACCTCCCCAAATGGTGACTAGACATTCTGTTTTGGTGCCCACAATCCAGGTCCTAGGAGCCATTTGGCTCCTAGCTTTTCTATCCCAGTTTCTAACACTGCCTTGGAGAGCATGCCTATGAGTGGCAGAAAGTGTAGTAAAGCAGGAAATTGGAAGTTTCTTAACATGGAGTCTGAGGCATGTAATCTTTCATGTAGTGATGGAAAGGTGGGCCTTACCTCCAGAATCTTGTTTATCCATATACTGTAAGTGGTTCTGAGAAAGGGAAGACAAATGTTTTCAAATGGAGGTGTGAAAGTACATAGAATGACAGAAATGGTGATGAGGACTATAATAGTGATCGCCAAGGTAGAAGTAGAGTTCAGGGCTCCTGTTATTCTAATAGTGATGCAGAGGTGCAGCTTTTCTTGACACAAGTTCAAGCTGTACCTGTTGAAAGTATCCTACACTACTTTACATCTGTTGGGAAAGGCTCGTTTAGGTAGTTGGCAGGCTGTGTCAATTCTCTGCCATCCTCTCTTGGATCTGGAAGTTGTGGACGAGGAAGGGGAACTTGAGAAGCTGCCTCAGTGTCAGATCTTTGGCCCCTCTCGTTCAGTATTGCCTACACTGACTGGCAGCATCTCTCTAGGGCTTCAGATGAAACTTTCCCACCCTTACCTGGAAATGGTGGGCATCCAGTCTGAGTATGTGCTCTACCACTGAGCTCCAGCACTTCTGCTTAGTGTCTGTGTCTTACTAGTCAGGCGGTAATGGTTAAAAAAAACCCCAGTTAATTTGCATGTAGTGTTGGTCACCTCTTACCCTTGTCAAGCTGGAGAAATTACAGTGGTTTTCTGCTCAGTGAAGTCTATAGTGGCTCTAGTGTATCTGTTATGAAGATCAGTACTAGTGGCACTATTAGCCTTTATAATGTGATAGTGGGTACAGAAATGCCATCTAAGTTGGTGGTCAGAGGTAGACTTAGAGAATTGGACCCTAGAATTTCCACCCAAGTATTGGGATTTTTCTTTTTTTATTCCAGGAGATTTCAAGCAGAGCATTCTGTGTATCTCTCCCCTTCCCCTCTTGCCGAGACAGAGGGCTTTGTAATCTCATTGCTATGCATATCTGTATTTGTCCTTGTTTCCAGTGAAACTATTAAATAGAGTGGAAATGGCAGTCTTTGTCTTGCTAGCACCCTCCTTCCCCATCTTGACAGTGTCTAATCGCCTGCTGTAGCCGTATCACCACAGTGCAGCTGCTGTGCTTTCAGGCTTTCACTATATCAAGAGAACAACTGTTTGGAAATAACCAGTCAGAATTTAGAACAAAGGGGAATGCTAGATTTTTGACTTGTGAGTAAGGTGAGGAACATTCTTGATCTAAGAACTAATTAACTTTTTAAAGCAGAGTTCATGTGATTAAGGCAGATTTCTTTGCTTTTTGAAACAGTTCAGAGGTGCTTTGATTTAATCTTGCTGGATGACGGGCCTGCTTCATTGCTTTATTTCTCTGCGAATGAGAAGCTTCATGTTGTATTGCTCTGCAAGAAGCAGTGCTTTTTTCTGTGGGTACTCAGGGGTACTCAATATTGGCACCCCAAATGTTAAAAGTGTTGCACTTACTGTAACAATTTTATGGTGAGTACCAACTTTTTTTTTTAAAGCAATGGCAAGAACAATAAAAGTAAAGAAATTGTATCAGTAAAGAATCTTAATTTGAGAATGAAGTCAAACACCCCAAACAGTAAATTCTACTGTTGTAAAAACATTTATACAGTAACCACAGGCAGAAGAGCTTTCTAGACTCTTCCTTTATTCCACAGATAACTCTAAGTACATAACTAATTTATTAATTGCAAGAGTTATTGTTCTAGTTGTCCTATATTTTTATGTTCCAAACATTTTAGAAAATCCTAGACAAATTATATGTGAGCCAGCAGAAGCCTCACAGCTGGAGAATTCAAATCAATATGTGAAAGTTGCTTTGCAACCAACCTCCTGTTTCTTGGCCCTTGCTGTCCCCTTGGGTCACCTGGCCACAATGCCCAATTATGGCAGAAAGTGCTGTCAGGGTCTCAAGTTTAGACCACAACCTGCAATCCAAGAGATGTGAGACACCTCAGCCTCATTTTTGCTACCTTATTCTTCCATCTCTTCTGAGTTCCTTCCTGTTAGTTTTTTAAAAGTGCTCCCCCCCCCTTTCTGTGTAGTTTCAAAAAAACTGGAAAGGGCAGTACTTGATTAGAATTAATTGATTGGGCTTTTTTTCTTTTTACTGGTTGTCTGATGGGAGAAAAAGTTATTTTCCTCAGCTATTTGAGAACAGATTGGTAGACCTATATGTGTGTAGCTATAACACACTGAAGAATTTGGTAAAATAAAAATAATCTGTACTAGAGAATAGCCCTATCACACATATTATGGCTTCCTTATGAATAGATCTGATAAGGTTGGAACTTCTAAACTGAGGGGAACATGGTGAAAGTTTATGCAAGGTGCTTTTTATTCCAGATTAATTAAACCAGGATACTTATTTATTTCCTTCTGCCCATCATTGGCTTTAGCTCCATCCACTGCCAACCAGCATGTTTCCCACTCCTGCTTTAGACCATAAGTCTCTATGTGGCAGCCACAGGTGCAATACCAATGGAGGGACCGCCAAAGAACCTATGAAATCCCTGCAGTCCCTTCCTCCTCTTACACCAGGCTTCCTCAACCTCAGCCCTCCAGATTTTTTTTGGCCTACAACTCCCATGATCCCTAGCTAGCTGGACCAGTGGTCAGGGATGATGGGAATTGTAGTCTCAAAACATCTGGAGGGCCGAGGTTGAGGAAGCCTGTCTTACACCAATCTCAACCTTTACATCAAGGTAATGATGGAGCAAAGCTCTGCCCACTTCTTCCCTTGGCTGTATGTACTTTTTAAGGTTGAGATTGAAGCCAGGCTCCCAAGCACAAGAACCAGCTTTCATGGGCAGTGACCCAGCCAACAGATCCAGGGCCCTGGGATGGGAGGCAGGGAGGAGAGCAGAGTGACGTGGGGGGGCAGGTCTTAAAATGCTATTCCAATAGCACAATGAGTAGGACAAATGCTACCCTAGCTTAAATAAATTGATGCATTGTTCGCATCCATTGTAACTCCATGAGGACCCATGACTTGCATAAGTGTTCTTGTGCCATGGTAATACTGGAAAACACCAGACTGGTTTTTATAGAACTGCTCAGTAACAACACCTATGTAAAATTTTATTTGATTGTGGTTGAGTGGGCCAGTTCCCATGTAAGAAACATGTAGTTTCAGTATTCATTTTTTTCATTTACTAGATCTGACTCTATGCCTTTGTGGCAGCCATTTTATGATTTGATGACACCCCCCATGGCAGCCATTTTGTGGTGGTCCCCACCACACACTTTTAAAGTTCCCAGTGTGTCAGTGGAGTTGAAAAGATCAGGGATTAGAGAAGTTGGGAAGCCCTGCTTTAGACTTGTACTTCCTAGCCTCTTTTTACCAACATGCTTTCTTCCTGTTAGTAGTGTACAGTCCCTGCTGTGTCTATGACCTCTGGTGAGTAATTTGCATCAAAAAACTGTTGCCCTAAAGGTGATCTAATTAAGCATGTTTAGTTTACTTGTATTTATTAAACAAAGTTAAAAACTTTAAAACAGCCAGGGTTGCTGAATAATATTGTATTTGCAGTTGGCTTTCATTCACTCTTACTAACGAACTTAAAAGCCAACCATTTCCGGGGGGGCGGGAATAAAGCAGTAAAAAATTCCATCCCTACCACCTGCTCTGTCCTACTTTTTGCCATCCTGCCTCTTAGCCAAACTCCTCCTCTTTCCTTTTCCCAATGATATACAACCCCTTCTGTATACAATGTGAAGTTTCTTTGGAGCCTTCTCATGTCTTGTCTTTCACCTGTTTTTCTATTGGATTCTTTCCAAATAGATTGCTCTTTCTTCTATCAGCAACTTGCTTCTGATTTCCTTGTCTCTTAGTTCCCCTATATCCAAGGGAGTATGCTTAGTCCTTATTCTCCCGTAAATGAAGTTCTGATTCTAGCCAACTTTACAGCTTTTACTTTCTGTGCAAAAGTTATACTGTTATTCAGTTATTTTAAGTTCATTGAGAGACTGGACAATATAAATTTATAATTTTCTATAAAACAATAAAAAAGGTCATAGATCAATAGGTCTACAGTATTTCTGGTTAAATTATGGTACTGATATATATTTATCTAAACCGATTGATTGTGCTTCCTTGAAACTATGCAAGACTAGCTCTTAGAATTTGTCCAGTCTAGCATATACTGTAGCTTTTAATTCTTTCATCAGCATTGCCCTCTGGCAGTCCCTTATTCCGGGCCTTTTTAGAATCCTCTTGATGGAGCCATATGAGTGAAATATAACATTGCTAATTCATGCACAGAGAATGGTGTTCTGACCTTGTTTAGCAGAGTGCTGGGTATATGAGTGGGAGTTGAAATAAAATATTATTACATCTGCCAAATAGCCTTCTGGCTAGATATATGCTTTTTTTAAAAGGTAGGAGTAAAAATCCATTTGTCCAGGTGGCAAAGTATCTGCAATGTGTTGATTGTTTTGTGCATTAAAGACTAGACTAGGCCTTGTATTTAGTTACATGAAACAAATGGAGGTGCCATATTTTCCTTTACATTTGGACTTTGTCTAAAAGGTAGGTGCTCACACACTGCTGCACTGCAGTTGGCCATGGCTTTTCAGCAGTGGGGAACATTTCTGCCAGGTTTGGGAACCTTTTGACTTCCAGATGTTGCTAAACTACAATTCCCACCATCCCTGACTGTTTGCTGTGCTTGCTAAGGCTGATGTAGTTCAGCAACATATGAAGGGCAAAAAGTTTCCCACTCCTGTTAAATGCAGAAGAATAGGAGTGTATGAGGATCCTATGAGTATGTAAACACTTTCATATACAAAAGCCTTGTTAACATAAGAAATGTATCAGTTTCAGGTACCAGTATAATATTTTGAGCATGTGGAGCTAGTTACCCTGGTTTCATGGGCTCGTGAACCTCTGAGAAGTTCTGGGCGGTTTCCTGGCAGGGTCAGCAGTGCCACTGTAGGGCAGCTTCAGCTTGGAGAGCTTTTACAGCAACAGCTGGAAATCTAAAAGTGTCGCTTTTGCGTTAGAAAAGTAATAGCATCAGAGAATGTCCATCTATACCTTTCTGGAAGCTTCGTTTTGAGTTACTCCAGAACAGGTTATTTCCAAGCAAGTTTGTTGAGAAACAAAAGGAATTTGTTTCCGTTGGTGAGACACTCGTCCACATCTGCACATGCATGTCTATGGGGGAGTAAGATGGTGTCTGCAGTCTTCTGCAGCCCCCAACCAGGTCTGGAGGCTTTTGGCAAATCAATTATCAGCCTTTTGGTAAATAACCTAACTCATCCGTAGTTCATTATGGAGTTTGAGGTCAAAATGTTACAGCAAGGCTAGTTATTCCTTAAAATAGAATTTATATTGTTCATGCACATTGATGCATAAAACTCTGTTTCTCCTGGTGAAGGCAATCTTTTTCTAAAATGTAGTTCTTAACAGAATAAATTGGTTTCTGTGCTTGAGTAATTCTCTTAGCAATGTTGAACAGCTTGTGGTTTAAAACCTTTATTCTTCATGCAAAAAAAAAAAAAATCAAGAAATTTTAGCATGCTTCGGTGACTTCTATGAAAATCAATTTAATATTCAAAGAGCCTGAAATATGGGTTAGAAGGGCTCTTCAAGGTCATTTAAATGAAAGGGAAAAAAGTAAAACCTACTGATCAATTTCTGTCTTTTTATCTTGAAAGTTTTTTGGGGGGGTTTACTTTGGGTGGGCATCTTGCATTCAACCTGAAGATACTTATTGGTCCTAGTATTTTTACTGTTGGACTGACTTTTGTTCCATAGTTGCTGAGTAAACTCTTAGAGCAGGGGTCAGCAAACTTTTTCAGAAGGGGGCCGGTCCACTGTCCCTCAGACCTTGGGGACGGAAGGACTATATTTTGAAAAAAAGAATGAACAAATTTCTATGCCCCACAAATAAACCAGAGGTGCATTTTAAATAAAAGGACACATTCTACTCATGTAAAAACATGCTGATTCCTGGACCGTCTGCAGGCTGGATTTAGAAGGTGATTGGGCCGGATCCGGCCCCTGGGCCTTAGTTTGCCTACCCATGTCTTAGAGTTTCTGTGACTTAGGTGTTTTCCTTCTTGCATCCTTGGAAAACTTTGGGCTTTGTTTAGAGAAGGCCTACCCAAAAAGTAGTATTATCTTCTTGAAATTCCTATATTTCCTTCAGCCTGTCATAGGGAAGGCCTTGGAACTTGGCAAGCAGCCCAGTCGTGTCACTTGCAAATTGAGAGCTTGCCAGTTACATTCTTGGACTTCCTTTTAGTGCAAATACACACATCTTCAAATATTTGATGTCACAACCAGAGCAGAAAGGGATCGTCCTGTTACAAAATTGCCTGGTTAAGACAGTCGGGCAAGCAAGAAAGGGAACAGGCAAGAAAGAACACCAGAATGTTTTCCATTGCAGCAGACGTGGTTGGCTCAGAATTGGGGGGTGTTCTGGTGTGGCATGGGTCTGTAGAGTTTTCTTAGAAATGTTTGCGGGAGAACTGGATAATAACTGGCTCCCACATGGCTACTGCCTTAACAAAATGCAGTAGGTAAGATGTTGCTGGGAGCAAATGAGAAAAGCTACAAAGTAGCAAAACTGTATAAAAAGCAGCTCTCTCCCTTTCACTTCTGTTTAGAAACAGTTAGCTAACATAAGTGCATATAGGACAATGATGTTTGTTTGTTTATTTATTTGGTGGGCCTATTGGCTAGGTTGCAGAAAAATTGAGTTTGGGGCTCACTTGCACAGTCCTGTACCTTGAATGGGGGTGTGTGTGATTCTAGAAAAGCTGCCTTTTGTACCTGCTTTTACATGTGCATCCTGTTGGGTTTTTCTTTTTTTAAAAAAGTTTGAAGTGCTGTCTCAATTGTATGCTTTGTCTTGTTTAGAAATCGACAAAATTCAGAAAGGTGAATCAAAGAAAGATGAGGAAGAGACCTATCTGGACCTGTTTTCTCATAAGAACATGAAGCTGAAAGAACGAGTTCTCATCCCAGTCAAGCAATACCCTAAGGTGAAGGCCAGCAAATGCCTTATTAATGTCCTGTAAAGGGATGCTTATGACAAGTTCCACTCACAGCAGCTGTTTGCTTTGAGCTGTCCTGATTGCATTTATTGCTGTTGTTAAATATTTCCAAGGCGTTTCTGCTGTATTTTCTTTTGTGTTTGTAGCAGGCCAGCGCACAGGCTTATGAAGGATATTTATTGTACTTGAAAATGTTTATTATTGGCAAATATATATATATTTCATTCCTTGAGCATATGGCACGTCACAAAACATAAGAGGACAGGTCCCTGCCCTGAGGGCGTTAGAGTCTGAATTTGCCATAGCAAGAAAAAAGAGAGGAGGGGAGACAGTGATATACATGGGGGAAAGGGGCCATATATCAGTTACAGTTAGGTAGTAAGAGGAGAACTAGAGTTGTGCCACAGAAGTGGCATTGCATAGATCAGGGCTTTTTGTGCCCCCCTAAAGTCTTGTCATTTTCTTTAAAAATAGACAGGGAAACCATCTTGACTGATCTGGCTGTGATGTCAAAAGGCTTTTGTTAGGGTTACCAACTTTTAAAAAATAACAATTTCAAGATATTTTTTTACTAGCAGTTTCTCTAGGTTCCCCATTGTGATGTCAAAAGATTTTTTTTTTTTTTGAGGGGTGTCCCTAATGCCCCCTAATTAGTCCAACTTTTTAAACAACATATTTTATACATGTAAGTTTACCGAGCATTCCCACAAGCCCCCAGATGTGAATCTGTGATACCAAAAGTCTTTTGCCGCCAAGCCACCTTTCCTCCAGTGTGTTCTTTTAAAATGCAAACACTTTCACTATGCACACTTTGATATGCTTGATTGCTAACTTACCAGAATTTGGATCATTCATCCTTTGGTTTTTTTCTAGAAGGCCAAAATGAGTACAGTTTAAAATTTCGGGAAACTTATAATTGCTGATCCTAGTCATTACAGTATAAATTTTAAAGTAACTTAATTCAGTTTTTGAAACTAAGAAAAAATCTGTTTCTCTCCCTTTAGTTTAACTTTGTTGGGAAGATCCTGGGACCCCAAGGCAACACCATCAAGCGACTGCAGGAAGAAACTGGAGCAAAGATATCTGTACTGGGGAAGGGGTCAATGAGAGACAAGGCAAAGGTAGGGGCACTGGGCTCAAATTACAAGTACTTTTGTGTGTTTTAGAACTCTGGCTTTTTTTCATAGATAGTTGGGTTGGCCGTTGCATCCTCTCCCCGTTTGTTGACCACACCTTGCCTTTAAGTAAAAGTGTTGTGTTAGGTACCTTTTAAAAATGCATTAATGACTTAGAACTGCAAAATCCCCAGGAGTGAGTACTTGTTGTTTTGCCATTAATCACAGAATGAGCAGGCAGCTGACTAACAGAATTCAATAGTCTTTTCTAATACAACCAGTGTCAAGTGTTTGTTGTATCTAGGCTATGTAAAGAAAAGAGATTCATAGAGCATCACATCAAAGTTGAGCTCTTGCTTCTCACGTTTCCATGTGACTTTGAAGAGGGCATCTAACTAAAATCTTAACTTTTTAAAATTGTACTTGTGAAGGCTACTGTTAAGCCTCTAGATTGTTTAAAGCCAAGTAAGTAAATCTTGAGTTTATGCTAGTCAGGATTTTTCATTGCCAAGTAAGTGAGAAGAGAAATAAATGAATGAATGAATCTTATTGGAAGCCCTTTTTTCATATTTCTTTGGAATATCAGTTGGCAAAATTATTTGGAGTCAATATAAGGAAGCAAAAGTTTAGGGCCAGGACCATATGGGGATAACTAGTTTAGGGTTGGCACAGGTAAATAATCTTTTAAGTAAAACTAATGTTAGACTTTGTTTTGATTCCTGTTTTTAGAATTATGTACTAGGAGGCATAAATGAAAGACTGTTGTTGGGGTCTGAGATTTCTACCAAAATGTCTAGTCCTGTACTTGTGTTTTATCCTGCCACCTTTATTTGCAAATAGGTGAGCAGTTGCTGTTGCAGTCATTGGGTGTGAGGAATCCACTTGTGTGTCCATGTCCAAGCACAGAGCAGTCTCAGCTTAAAAAAAAGTTTCCAGATTAAAAGTATGGGTGGGCAGTTAATTGTGCACCAAAAGATTAGCACCACTGGCTAGTAAAGCAAGTGCTGCCACAATTACATGGGCCTCTCCAAATGGCAGTAAAATTCACCTAGGTCAAACAGTCATGAAAGTCATTATTAGCCCAATAAAATAACTCAAGGATTGAAGGGTCCAGAGCTGCAGCAACAGCCTCCTAAGCCTTAGTAGTTAGTTCTGTCACGAGCATATGGAGCCCTTCAATAAGGTGTTGAATCCAGTTTCACACATGCAAACTGGAAGCAATAGTAAAATTACCTTACAGCAGGCTTCCTCAACCTCAGCCCTCCAGATGTTTTGAGACTACAATTCCCATCATCCCTGACCACTGGTCCTGCTAGCTAGGGATCATGGGAGTTGTAGGCCAAAAACATCTGGAGGAAGCCTGCCTTACAGCGAGCAGGTAAGAATGATCAATTTTTTCTTTGAGAACAAGGGAAAGATGTGAGACATAATCCCAACGCTTCATTCCTTTAAGCATCTTAGAATTTGTCTCTGCTTCCTGGGAAAAAATTCTGAGAGGTTGGTGGCATCTATTTGCAGATGTGGAAAAGCAACACTTGTCTCTTTATGTGAGCAACAGGAAGGCTTGTGTTCTCTTTTAAAACCTCTAGCCATCTACTGTAACAGTTGTTTGTTTTTCAGGAGGAAGAACTGCGCAAGGGGGGTGACCCAAAGTATGCTCATTTAAATATGGACCTGCATGTCTTCATTGAAGTTTTTGGGCCACCCTGTGAGGCTTATGCTCTTATGGCCCATGCCATGGAAGAAGTCAAAAAGTTCCTTGTTCCGGTACATACCACCTTCTTTTTCTAAAATGTTCTGCGTAATGACATGTTTGGCCTTGGCAAGGTGTGTTCAAGTAGAACAGATTGTGGCAAAGCATATTCCACAGAATAAGCTCAGTCAGAGAGAAAAAGGAGATAATGTTTTGAATAAGGCAGTACTAAGTATTGACAATTCAATCACCGGAGCTGAACAAATGCTTCGTTCCAAAACTTAATTGCAGCCAACCCACCTGTGCAGTTGGATATCTTTCTGCAAAAATGACTCCCAAGCAGACATAGATACGAAAAAAGTGCTATTTTGAAAAAAGTGTTGGGTTGACTTTTAAAAATTATAATCTTAGAGATTTTGCAACAGTTACTTAAGAAAGGCTATTAACGGGTCAAAAGATCGGACTCTAGGGAAGATGCTATCAAGAGATTGGCTGCTCCAAAAGTTGTCAGGACCTGAATTTTATTTGCTAACACCTGCAAATGTTTTTTTTGTGGGGCGGGGGGACCACCTGATCTTTTATTCATTTTAGAGAACCAAGGATTCTAATATCTGGATTGCTGGTTTGGTTTTGCCTTCTGAAATTTGTTACATGAATTGTAGGTGCAGTTGAGCTCTCTGAAATGGAAACTCCTGCTGAGGTTTCAACTCAACTAGAGAAGGGAACTTTAGCTCTAATGCACCATTTTAAGACTAGCTGGGGGGTTTTCACCTCGGGTTTAATATCTGTCTTGAAAAGCAGAAAGACCTTTCTAGAAATATTCAGAAATGACTAGCTTTCATTATTCATCAGCAGAGGAAATTGTTGGATCTCATGTTCTAAAGGTGTGAGGTGTGTATGTGCACGCATTGTGGAGAGTACACAGGAATTTGGGGGTGGGGGTTGTCTTAGTTACCCCTGTTGAGCTGAGCTTCTAGGTAGGGAATTGTAGAAGCCTCTTGGACAGGCATTGCTGTGCAGCTAAAGCAGAACAAGAGTTCCATGTCTGCCCTGCTGTGGATAACAATGGACTTCTGATACATTTGTTTTTGTTCTAATGCACACAACACAAAATGGCTGTGACTGTCTCAGTTTTGAATATGGTGCACAAAGGGGTAGAGCTACATAGACACTGCATGTAAGGTTTGTGGAGCTTTGAAGGCTTCCACGTATCCAAAAGGATACAAAAGTGATCGCTCTTCTTTGAAACCATCTGTTCCTTTTGGTTTGCCAAAACCACCTCCTATCTTTTAACACTTTACTGTGTTACTGTTGCACCCCTCCAACAGATTGGCATCAGTGACTGGATTCCCTACTGGATTTAGGGAGTGAAATGCTTTTGCTCTGCTGCTAATCCCTCCACAGATTGCCTGAAATTGTACCCCCTGGAGAGTGCAGAATGCACAGAGCAGGGACAGAAGTGGAAAGAGGCAGCTTAGAGTTACTGGTGAGCATTTGCTCTTTGGACTGAAACCATTTCCTGCCTCCTCTGAATGGGAACAAGAAATTTAGGTTGCTAAGGGAGCCCACTTCTCAGAGCATTTGACAGGCAGGAAGGCCAGCTGTTCTACAAGGGTGCAGAGGATGTTTTGTGGCAGCTGTTGTGACTTAGGCAACTCCTGCCCACAGTACTCACCTATGCCTTTCCAAACAGAACTGTTGTTAGCAGCACAAAAACCCATTTCAAATAAAATGAATGAGATTTATTTTATTTTATTTGCATGGCCTAGAAATTAATTCCCTCTGTTTTTGCTTAGGATATGATGGATGACATCTGCCAGGAGCAGTTTCTGGAGCTGTCTTATCTCAATGGTGTGCCAGAGCCAACACGAGGTCGAGGGATTCCTGTACGAGGAAGGGGAGCTGTGCCCCCACCTCCACCTGTTCCTAGGTAACAAATGGAAATGTTGCTGGAGATGAGCTCTTGCTGGTTGCAGTTGCATCTTTAAGCAGTAAGATTGTGCTTCTGATGGTTTGGGGAGGTGGGGAAGCGATATGGGCTTAATGGCTGTTTCAATTTTTTTTTTAGTGTGTGGAGTGGGGCAGCCTTGCTGAACAGGTGAGAGGCAATAGAAAAGGCACTCAGTCATATTTCCCATAGGTGGTGGGTTTTGAGTCTTAGTTTACTCTCGCAGTTGCAAGCTTTTTCTTGTTCAGCATGTTGACAATACCAGATCTTTGAGGGAGTTCATGAATTGTCCAATAGGGTGGTGGCCCATTAATTGTAGACCATCTTTAATTATTCCTAAACTTTATGGTCCTGCCAATGCATTCTGCACTAAGCAAGGATAAAACGAGACTTTTGAAACTTTGGTTTTCATTTAAGAAAGTTTCCAACCCTTGTTTCAGATAGACAGTTGAATGTTTTCTAAGTCTCTCAGGCCAGGTGGATATAGCTTTAAGTGCCTTTCACAGCTGCCTTTGCTTTGCTCTTTGCTACTTTATCTTAACCCTTCTTGACCTAGACATCACTGCTCCATAAAATTGCTAATCTGCTTACCTACATCTGTGCATCTGCCCCTTACTTCATGTCTTTCCTATATTATGTTTCCCTTTGGCAACTCCTGTCCTTAACATTAAAAACCCCCACTAATTATTCAACTTGTTTTTATTACTGGTTGTTAGCCGCCCTTAGCCCGGTCTTGGCTGGGGAGGGCGGGGTATAAATAAAAAATTATTATTATTATTATTGGAAATCCAAATATCAGAAGCAGCCTCAGTTGTGTAGGTTTTTCCATACACATCTTTATATATATAGAAACTGGGCTGTATGAACATCAAGTGATAATGCTTCCTCTCTCCTTCGCTTCCAAAAACTACTTTGTGCTAAACTTAGAAGACTATAAAGGCCCATTTCTGTTTTGAGATCTCTTGGGCCTTTTGCATTGACAGCTGATGCTGCTAGTTTGGCTTATCTTTGAAGTGATTCTGGTAGGTACTTAAATCTTTGCTACTTGCTCAATCCAAGTTTCATATTTGGGCATTTTTAGCTCTGTCTCCGTACATCACACAGCAAATTTTACTAGATTTAATTTTGTCATTCATCTCTGCTGCTAGGCCTCTGCAAACTGAGCATCTGTATAGACAACAGATTAGATTTAGTGGGTGTCCAGAGCATGGTTGTGTGCAGATTGTGTGTGCCTGCTAACTCTTCTGTCCCCTTTTTATAGGGGACGTGGCGTGGGACCTCCACCACCACCTCCACGTGGAGCTCTTGTGCGGGGGGCCCCAGTGAGAGGTGCCATTGCAAGAGGAGCAGCTGTGGCCCGGGGTGTTCCCCCTCTTCCAGCAGTGAGAGGTGCCCCTGCACCAAGAGCTCGGGCAGCCGGCATTCAAAGAATACCTCTTCCTCCCCCTCCTGCACCAGAGACCTATGAAGATTATGTAAGCAGTTTTTAACTTTCTGAGAGGAGGGAGAAAGTCTGATAACAGATTACTTGTGCCTAAAAACTTTGGTTTATCCACAACACCCAAGATTATACATACGTAAGAACACAGAGAGCATCCTTTGTCAGAATCAGATGACTGGTCTGTCTAGCACAGTATTGTCAGCAGTGATTGACTGCAATTCACTATGGGATTTCAAACCAGGGTCTTTCCCAGCACTGCCTAAAGATGCTGGGGATTGAACCTGGAACGTGCAAGCAAATAGCCTGCTCCTCCCCCAGAGTTAGACCTTTTTTGACCACATTAACACCTTACATTTTCAAGCACTATGATATCACTTTAAACAATCGTGCCTTCTCCCAAAGAATTATGGGAGCTACTGTTTGTTAAGGGTGCTGAGAGGTGTTAAGAGCCCCCACCCATTCACTTCACAGAGCTGCAATCTTCAGAGGGTTTAACAGTCAGTCCCTCTTCCCAGAGAATTCTGAGAATTGTAGCTTCCTGAATATGGGTCTCCTAACAGCTCTCAGCACTCTTTAACAGACTACATCTCCCAGAAGCCTGAGAAAAGCTATGACTATTTAAAGTAAAATCATACTGTTTTAAATACAGTGGTACCTCGGGTTAAGAACTTAATTCGTTCTGGAGGTCCGTTCTTAACCTGAAACTGTTCTTAACCTGAGGTACCACTTTAGCTAATGGGGCCTCCCGCTGCTGCTGCCACGCCGTCGCCACGCGATTTCTGTTCTCATCCTTAAGCAAAGTTCTTAACCTGAGGTACTATTTCTGGGTTAGCGGAGTCTGTAACCTGAAGCGTCTGTAACCTGAGATACCACTGTATATGGTGGGGTCTTCCTCTCTTGTGCACACACACAACTTTGAAAGAATATAACAGATGCCCCCTGTCATTTGACAGGGGAAAGGCATGCTTGCTTGGTACTGTACAGGAGAGTTTGATAATAGCATGGGCCTTTGGACCTGGCTACTTTAAAAAGTAATGGCCCTTAAGAATGAATAAGCCTTGTCTTAAGTGGAGAAAATAGCACCAAGCAGAGACAGAAATTGTGTCTGCTTGGCAGTTGTTTTCTTGAGGTTTTCCTCCCTGCTAGCCTCATCCTCCTTACACTGCATATTTAATGCTTTCTGATTCACAGAAATAAGACTTGATCACAGATCCCGGTGAAGGACTGCTTGGCAAAGGACTGCTTGCATAGTCTAGGTGACCTTGGTTGCTTGGAAGTATGCAGGGAGGGTGATTGTACCAGTTCTTAAAGAAATTTCACAAACTTTGTAGTAGCAAACCAGGTTTTGCCATGCTGACTGGGGTGATGTAGTCCAAAATATCTGGAAGACAGCAGGTTGGGGAAGTCTGGTCTATTCCATTTATTAGACCAAGATTGTTATATCTACACTGGGCAATTGTATTTTTTTAGTGCGTGAAATATTTCCAAGGACATTGTTTGGATAACTGCAAGGTAAAGTAATGTGTGTTTGAAGGGGGTACCTGTGTATCACTTTTGTAATTTGGACTTTTATAGATGGTACTTTGCTTGGTATTTTATTTTTTATTTTTTTACAATAGCTCACTCTACCCTTGCCTCGTTGTCTATTCCAGGGCTATGACGATGCTTATGCAGAGCAAAGTTACGAAGGATATGAAGGCTACTACAGCCAGGGTCAACAGTAAGTGCTTCCTTTTGATTACTTAGAATCAAGTTGGAAGAGGACTTGGTGGGTAATTTTGTCCAACCCCCTACAATGCAGAAATATGCAGTTGGCTCATACAGGGATCCAATCCACACCCTTGGCATTATTAGCATCACGTTCTAACCAACTGAGCCACATTAGTACTTAATTGCCCTGTGTCTTCAGCAGAAAACAAGCATATTGTGCTTGTGTGCACTTCTACATCTATACCATGAGTATCTGTGTTACAAGGATCAGCACTGTCCAGCATTCCCTGGGCCTTGAGTGATTGGGTAACTACAGCCTTAGCAAAGCACTGTGATCCCCAAAAGTCAGGTAAAGAGCCCCATCACATCCACTAAGCCTTGGCCTCATTGGCATGGACTTTTCCTTTACTGTTTGTGAAGATAGCTGGGCCTGTGCTCCTTCTTCCCTTACAACTTTAGCTAATGGACAGTATTGCAAGGAAGCATAGAATCTGGTCTAGGGAGTCCCTAACTATTGAAAGCACGTCCACATTACCCTCTCTGTGAGATAGATGGTCATTTGGACCATCCTAAATAATAACAGCATGATGATTAGAAAGATACATCACCTCAAGGGGTAATAATAATAATAATAATAATTAATAATAATAATACTCCGTCTTGTTATTGCAGGGAAACAGAATATTATGACTATGGACATGGTGAAGCACAGGAATCTTATGAAGCGTATGGTACGTCTGCATGCTCTGTTGCCATGGCAGAAGCAGAACTCTGTGTTCAATGTATTTTAGTCAGTTATTTTTTGCCTTGAATGCAAAAGATAAAAAGGTTATCATGATCTAAGTTTTTTGAGAGGCAGTATGTAGGATATAACGAGTCTTTTCAGCTGAGAACAAATCTGGAGATCTTGCCTTTAGCTGATGTTACTCTGAAAATGTCCAATAATCTTAAGAATATACTGGCTATCTTAGTGCAATGAAAATGTTTACTAGAAAGTCTAATTACCAGTGAGTTTTATCCCAAGTTTTCATTCTGCACCAAGAAATCAGAGCTGTTATTGTTCTGCTAACCACTAGAAAGTGCAAGACACTCAGCAGGGAATAATAAAGCCCTGTGGTCTTCTCTCTTTCATTTTTAACTTGCAAGATTTCAGCTGACATTTTGTCACACATTCTAGACCATTTTTAAATGCTTAAAGCTAAGGACTGTATGTGTGTATCTTTGTAAAGGAAAGGTTGGATTTCTCAGGATGCTGAATTCTTTGCCAATAATTCCATTCCACATTGGCACAGTACAGTCATGAAATCCATGAAGCTTTAAATATCACCAGTATGAGACAAGAAGTATTTAGCTGCCAAAGAATTCTCGGATAAGTATGAGGAAGATAAAAATGAGAGCTCCTTGCAACTCTAAGAAGGTTTGTCCCCTTCTACACTGAGATATTGGCAACTATGGAAACAGCTTTCTGGTCGTGACAATCTTTGTGAAAGATTGTCAGTGTTTCCATTTATCTGTCCTCTTCCTTTGGGTTGACTAAGCATTATTTCTCTGCCTCTTCAGTATTACTGTTACATCCTCTGATTTTCCTGACTGAAGGGACCAAACTTCCTCTGGGCCACTGGGCATGACAATGCTTCTCTTAATTAGTTCAGTTGTAACTAATTTTAGTGTATGTGCCTGCTTTCCTGTGGACAAAATGAGAAAAATAACTTGTGTGAGCCAGCCATGTTGAATTAGAAGTGTGAAGTTTTAGCTAGTCAGAAGAGGATGGATTTCAACAAAATTAATTTTGTCTTGTTTTTGAAAGGAACCTGGTACTTTTCTGGTGTTTCATTTCCCCCAAAACTGTTAATATTCCTCCTTATTATGCCTTCTATGTTTGGTGAAAATAATAGTTTCCTACTGCACCTGAGGACTGTATTGTCTCCTGTTGGGCATGTGCAAGGAGGGTATGTTTGGATGGCACATGATGCAGCTTGCTGAAGTCTGGTCTGGTCAGTCCTTTGGATAGGAAGACATCTTGGAAACCCCGATGCCACCTTGAGCTCTGTGATGAAAGAGAGGCGAGATAGAACTTGTACTACATTTTAAAAGTATTTTCTCAGGGCAACAAAGGCTATGATGGTAACACATTAGGGCAGACAACTAAACCCCTCAGTTGAAGCTGTCCACTTATAGAGAAGCATGCATCCTTTAAAAATATATGTTCCATTAATAAACTACTAGGAGTGGAGTTGTGTGCATCAAAACTTTGGCCAATTCTGTGTTTTGATTACCTGCAATGAGCCATTTTGACTCATGATGATTTGTGCAAGACTTCTGTGTCTTGCCAGCTCTGAATAGCACTTCACATACACTCCAGTTCCTTCCAAAGCACCATTTGGTAGCACACTGAAATCTATGCCTAGGTTTCTTTTCAGGGATATTTGCTAACACCATGATTCATGAAAAGCAAAACAGCTGTCCTTTTTCTGCTGTCTACATGCGCTATTTTCTTTCCTGCAGGTCAAGATGATTGGAATGGAACAAGGCCCTCGCTCAAGGCCCCTCCGACTAGGCCAGTGAAGGGAGCGTACAGAGAGCACCCATACGGACGCTATTAAAGCATACATGAGGGGGAAATATCACTTTTGAGCAAACAGTTGTTTCTGATTCTTGTATCTCCCAGGATTCCTGTTGCTTTACCCACAACAGACAAGTAATTGTCTCCCTGATTTTTCTCTGGCTCCCTTTTTCTCCCACCTCCATCCTCCCCCACCACTGACCTTGCATTCTGGCTTCTGTATGTAGTATTTTAAAATAATTTAGATTTAGAAGACTGAATTCAATTTTTAAGTGTGTAGATGGCTTTTTTTTTCTCTGTTTAGATATATAAACACAACTGTACCTTTAAAAAGAAAAAGTTGAGGTAAAAAATGTTAGTTTCCAAAGTGACATGCTTGCTTAACAGTTATGAAATTAAAGTTTGTTAATCTTTAAGTATTTTTTGTTTTTTAGGCAACCCATAAAAGTTGTAGTTGCAGAATCCCAAAAGTAGGCTACATTTCAAAATTCAGGGTTGGCTTTTAATGACTTAAAATCATAATGTAATGGTAGCAACTGCCGCAGTTTAAAAAGTAAGCTCAAATGTCAACACTTTGCCCTTAAAAGCAGATTGCTTGATTAATCTTAAGTTTAAATGTTAATAGAAAGAATTCTCCTTAACAGATAAAACAGTAATTTTTTTTCTCAATCAGTTTAACTTTTTAAAAAAAATTAGGTTTGTAACATTGACCATGTGGGTTTTGAAATCTAGCCCCAGTGTTGAGATGCTAGTGACGGACGTTCTCCAGCAAAAGGTGTTCTTGGCTTAATTCTGCATGAAGAATTTTTAAGAGAAGTGGACATCTAGCTGCTCTGTAATTTTTATATTGCTCTAACTGCCCAGTGTTTTGATATTAGGAAGTATTAAATGAATAGCTGTGCATTGTGTCTCTCTCTTTTTTCTTTTCTTTTTTCTTAAAGGAAAAGCTGAACACTTGAGTGTTTGCAGTACATAATACAGCTCAGGCTTAAAATTGGCAAAACTGTAAAGCTTTTAGCCATTCCAATGACATGTTCAAGTGCGTCTCAACACTAGCTTTATGTTAAAAAGGGACATTGCAGCTGAAAAAAGCAAGGAGCTTCATTTTGTACATAGATTTGTACACTGTTCTCCCATTTTGTTCTTGGAAGATTAAATGCTACTACTTGTGTAAGCCTGCCTAAATAGGTAGCTAAAATTTGTCAAGATGTCTGCAGCAGTTTGTCAATAAAGTTTAGTCCTTTTTTAATCAAAGTAAATGTGATGAATTGTCATTTTTTTTTTAATTTTGGTCAAGCAGTAAAATAGATTGTCCTCTTTCAATTAATTTAAATTAATGCTAAAGTACTTGGTCTGTTTTTTTAAAAAGAAGTTCTCTTAAAATCCGAAGACGTTTTTAAAATGGTATGTTCTGAAAGTTTTAAAACTTTACCAAGCTGAGTAAGCTTAATTTTAAAACAAAATTGTTTTTCACCCCCTGGAAGTTGAGCAGTTGTGCCAGAAACGGGGCTCCAAGTGGCAACATCAGTGTTCTGTTCCACTGAAGGGTTGAGACATCTGCTGGCTTTTTATCTTTAGTCTGCGGACAGCTGCTTCTGCACCAGCCCCTTTGTAGCTGCTATTGATTTCAAAAGGGCAGAGTGGCCTTGCGCAAGCCCCATTCATTTTGGTGACACCTGCGCAAGGAATGTCCCCAGGGGATTGTGCCCTCTGCAGAGAGGCGGAAATTGTTGATCCAAAAGTAACTTTCATCAAAACAGTGTGACTCCAAAAGCCTTTTTCACAGATAGAAAAGAAGACTTCTTCCTTCTGCTGCATCCACAGATTTCCCTCTCCTCAGACTGCCTGCTTTTCAGGGCGGCATTCCTTGGGTTCCAAAGCAATTACAAAGTGGTGGCTTATGTAGGGAGCAGGCAGATTGTTCTCAATAGCCCGTTAGGAAAGGCACATAATGCAGCTTTGCTAACTGCCCACCTGTCCACACGTCCCCACGTTAGTGATTTGCTGCCTTCAAAGAAAATCAGCTTCCCTGCCTGGTTGTCTGGAGGAAAGTCTCACTCACTGCAGATGACCAGGTTAAACAGCTGTTGACAAGCCTGGCATGATAGCAGAACTGACTGCTGTGAAGAGCTGGTGGCTTGTACTTACTCTCCCTTCTTGGCAAAATTTAAAATCGAGTATTCACTGGGAAAGAACTGCTTGGGGGTGAAAAAAAAGTCCACTGTTACTGTCAAATTGCTCATAGCAGTGCATGATTGAGGGAAGCTACTTTTAAAAGCCAAAAAGAGTTGTATTTGTAGATTGTTATTTTAAAAAAATGTAAATAACTGAATTTTCCACAATGGTTTGGAGTCAGCTTTCAGGGCTTAATGTCTTGCTTGATGAAAAGAACGCCCAAAACCCCCCTTTTAAAGGAAAATTATCGCAGGAGAATTCAGGATGTCTTAAAGCTAACATGCACCGAAAAACTCAAAAGGTAACCTAAATGTCTGATTTTAATGGCACATTTCTTTTACATAAAATGTGACGGCAACTTGCATAAACTTTTATTACTGAAGAAGTTCTTCAAATGTTAATTTTAAATGTAAAATCTTGTTTAAAAAAGATGGTTTAAAAATAGATACTTAAAATACATCCACTTGCTTATGCATAAATTAGCAATAATGTTTTAATACTTGTGCCCTTTGTCATTTGCAATGGACCGTAACCTTGGGCAAAAAAAAAAAGCAAAAAAAAGCAAACAGAATCGAACCTTAAATATCAAAAATGGATGTAGCTAGTCCTCTGTGTTTACCAACAAAATCTACTCAGTTATTCAAGTAAAACTCTGGCCCTTATTGACCCAGTATTGCTGTTCACTATATTAAAACATTTAGTACTTAGGTATTAAGTTGCATGTGTTGGTTTTTTCCCCCCTAGAGCAGTGGTACCTAATTGGTGGTCTGTGGACCCCAGGGTCTGCTAACCCACCCAGGGGGTCCATGGCACCGTTCACATAACAAAACTACCCTGGAGATAACAAAAAAATCAAAAGTAAGGGATCCATGGCTTAGCTTTTGAAAAACGGGGTTCACAGTACTTAGCTAATTGGGAACCACTGCCCTAGAGTTTTGAAATTGCATGCCAAGAGTGTATCAACACTTGTTTTGATTTGTGAGTTGTTATGAAGATGCTTACTACTCTTCTCTGTTTGCAGGAGGTGCTCTGCTGTTGGGTTGAAAATGACTTTTGCTGAGGACGAGTTGGGTATGCTATTCGGCTGTTTCTACTTTTCCGGTTTTGGAACAAAGAACTTTTGTATCTCATATAAGCTACATTTGCATGACCAGTCACTTCGGTTCAATAAGGCTGTGCTGACGCTTAACTCGTCATTTAGCCAAAACAGGCCAAAAATCAAGACAGAAGGATGGGCAAGGCTGTGTATGCAATGGTTTAAAAACAAATACTCAGTTTTGACACTATGGGAAGTGTCAAAATGCAAAACATTGCTTATTTTGCATAGTTCACTCTAGTCTGGGGAGGGTCAGTCACTGAAGCCCCAGACCCAAATATCAGACATATTATTCACCTCTCTGGCTTCTGAAACTGTAGCAGGCACTTCAAGCATACTTTGAAATCTTCAGGAAGCTAAAATATTTGCACCTTCTGCTTGTTTCTAAGTGCCTGTGGGATTATGTCGCACAGAACACGAATACAGCCTGCCCTTCAGGAACGATTTTGGAGCTGTTTGTCCATGTGAATGTTGCCAACCCCAGTTGACACTTGATTCCTTCTCCCATTGCCTTTAAAGCAATTGGCAGGTTCTCCTAAGACAGGTGTGGGGAATTTGTTGACTCACCAGGTGCGTCAGCCCCAGCTTCCATGCCTAACAATCAAGAGTGATATCTAATCCTGCAGTGCTTGGAGGGGGGGCACCAGTGGGTCTCCCTTGTCTGAAAAATTTGTGGCAGTTAGGACATGAAGCCTTTGCTGGCCAAAGGAAAGTGCCGGAAAAGAAAATAGGAGAGAGATTGCCACAGTATACAGCTGTGAGGTCACCAATTACCTACTGCCGAACCTCTGCATCTTCTCAGCTGATTAATTAGCATCTTGAACTTGGCAGCGGGCCCACACTTCCCAGCCAAGCTAGATGATCTTATGAATAGGTCATTCAACCACAGTGGCCCCTCACTGACCAATAATGACCTAGCAGAGAACTTAAGCTAGTAAAGCATTTTACATGCTACAAAAATTATATAAATTACTGTTTTCATAGAGTTGTAGAGTTGAAAGCACATATGGGTTGTTCAGTATGTTAGGGTGTGAACCATTGACTAATGGAAGAGCTCCCTCTAGTGGCTTCAGAATGATCACTTAACTATCTAGCTTGTTTCTTCCCGCTCAGATCCAAAGAAAACAACACTGCAAGCTGGGAAGAAACTATTGATAAAACAACTGAGGGAAACTATTTAACAGGCAGGACCACAGTGAGTCGATACTGGACCTTTCTGAGCAATGTGCCCAAAAGACGAGCTCCCCAAACCTAGAATGCTGGCCCCAAATCAGGCCAGGGTTTATCATGGGAAGGGGGGGAAATTATGAGCCAGAAAACCTAGCTTTTCCATTACAATAAACTGGGCAAACAGAATGCTCGAATCTGCCTTCTCCAACCTGGTACCCCTCAGATGTTTTGGATCACAACTCTCATCATCCCAAGCCAGCATGGCCATGGGGACAATCAGAGATGTAGTCCGTGGCCCCAGGTTTGGGAAGACTTTGCACTGGGATAGTGTGTGACCCAAAATCATCCATTGCTGAGCATAGATTTGAAGCTGAGTCTCTGCAGTTGGAAGCTCTAACCATTACATCACATTGATTGGGTACTTTTTTTGAGACACAGCATGATTCTTGAAAGATTTCCAAATTAACTCTGTTGCAGTTCTTCTTTTGAGGTTGCAACCCAGCAAGACTGTATGTGTGCATGGGATGAATATGTAGCTAGAAGAGTTGTCCCTTCGCCATGTAGGTATATTACAAACCTATACGTCTTCAGCACTGCCCTCCATATTTGCTGTGAATTTAGGGGCCCTGGAAACCCTGACCTAAAGGAACTACAATATGAGAACCATTGACATACTTCTTGCAGCATAATTTACTGGTTACATCTTGAGTTTCAGTAATTCTCTCCTATTTTTCTCTAATAGATGGAATCATCAAATACAAGAAGAGGCAACATTATTATGAGGCACATTTTTACCAAGAAGTGCTCTTTGGAAAATTTCTAATCTCTGTAAACTATATGTGTACTGGGGCATCAAAGACCTGTTTTCAGTTCGTTCAGTTTTGAGTCTGGGATCCTTTAAGTTCAGTTTAAATAATCCTCACACTAATCCTAAAACTTGGAAGTGCATGTGAAAGAACATGTAGAATACAGGGTACATTTTGTGCTGGCACAAGTTCACTACAACATTCATTGCAGGCAAACAAGTCAGTGTACATCTGTTTATTGCTGGACCATGAAGTAGATGAGCCCCAGATACATTATTTGAGTGTGCTGTGGAATTGAGTACATTTTAATAAAGGTACTCCATTTTTTTAAAAAAGCGATTTCATGTTAAATCATTTTAGTAAATTTGTATTATTTCTTAATCTCCCAACACTAGAATGGCTTCCTACCTCTTGATCCATACTGAGGTTGAATTGTAATTGTACAGGTAATTCAGTTGAAGTTTTTAATATGCTCAAACACTGAAGTTTTGGGGTTTGGGAAAATGACTATATATGGTGTGTTACAGAAATGTGTGGTCTTTAATTTTCTTGTCTGAAATTAATTTTTTCATGGAAGCCTTCTGGCACTGATTAGCTGGAGAAATCCCTGCTTTTCTCTGCAACCTTCAGGGCTAGAAACGAGCTTCTTATTTTCTTCTGTTTTAATTCCCCACACTATCACAACTGGGTGTTACAATAGTTGCCAGACTATAAACATCTGGTTCTAATGTAAGTGTATTCTTGATTTTGTGACTCTTTTTACGTAGGCTTTTTTTAAAAAAACAACTTGATAATTTAAAAATCCCTGTCTTAATCTTGAAAGTGAAGTTTACACCCTGGGGGGGGTCTACTCTTTAAAAAATGAGCTTCTTTAAAAATACAAAAGGTGACAAGTGTATTTTTGGGAAAACAGCAGCAGTCACATAACTGGTTACCACCTAAACCCTAGATTAATCTCAACTTTGATTTAACCTTACCTTGAAATTATTTACCAAAACAATCTGTCAAGGGAGCAGTCTTCCAAAGAGAGGGTTAACATACAGCAGCCTTCTCCAGCCTGGAGCCCTCCAGATTGATTGATTTTTTTTAATTTACTTATTTATTTACTGGACTACAACTCTATAATTAGTTTCAGCCAGCATTGCCAGTAGTTGGGGGTTATTGGTGTTACGGTACAAAACATCTGGAAGGTGAAGGGTAACGAGAGAAGGCAAAGCAGGATTTATTTTGTTCCAGTCAGCAACCATAAGGTATGGGAGTGCTCAGCTCTGCAGCATGCAATACAGTGCTTCTGACTACACACAGAATGCATTTCCTGGTGTATATATCTAAATCAGGAGTGTGCTTTGGTGTGGAAGGCATGGTGACAGGATCTGGAGCTTCAGCATCTCAGTTTAGAAATTGAGGAAAGAGTATGCCCTTTGGTGGACATTGTACACAAGTTATATGTGTTGTGGGTGGAAACATTGCTTTGGTACCATTTTGTGTCTGCTGGTGCAGTGTGACCTATCCACAGATGCCTACTTCATCAGATGTGTTAAGTGAAACATTGGAAGGGTGCAAAGTAAGGTAACAGATTATGCAAGTGGTAAAATTTGAGGTGAATACAAAAGGCCCTCAGACCAACCTGTTGATGGCACTGACAGCTCTTTAGTTGAATAAAGGTATAAGAAAAGTGAAGGACCCCTGGATGGTTAAATCTAGTCAAAGGCAACTGGGGTTGTGGCATTCAACTCGCTTCTGGCCGAGGGAGCTCGCGTTTGTCCAGACAGCTTTCCAGGTCATGTGGCCAGCATAAATAAACTGCTTCTGGTGCAACAGAACACCATGACGGAAGCTAGAGTACACGGAAACGCCGTTTACCTGCCCGCTGCAGCGGTACCTGTTTATCTACTTGCACTGGTGTGCTTTCGAATTGCTAGGTTGGCAGGAGCTGGGACAGAGCAACAAGAGCTCACTTCGTCTTGGGGATTCAAACTGGTGACCTTTCGATCGACCAGCCTAAGAGGCTTGGTATTTTAGACCATAGTGCCACCCGCATCTACAAAAAGGTGTAAGAGCTCAGTGGTGTGTGTGTGTTAATTGCCTTGCAGGCTGTTCTCATTTTAGAAGAACATAGCTCATTAAGGCAGTTACCCTTCCAAGTTCTGGAGTGGTGGAGCCTATGAAGTCTACTAGAATGGCCCTCAGCCAAAATAAACCTGTTTCTTAGGCATGCTTTATCAAATGACTGCCTTCTCTCTCTAGCTGACCCTTCCCCTCCAGCAGTCCTATGCTGGCCTCTCGTGTATCTACGTATTGTCATGCTGCAGTTGGTGGTAGCGGTAAGCAAGCAAAGGCCCCTTCATAAGTTGTCGTGCAACAGCACTGTATTACAATGTCGTGATCGGGCAGCAAAAAAGGGGGGGCATTATTTTGTAACCCCCACCCAAAAAACCCCCACTGTGTGTGTGTGTGTGCTTATATGACATGAGGGGAAGGGTTGAGTCAGTGGAGTGCACAATCTTAATTGTCAGCACTAGGGTGGGGGCTTTTAAAGGCCTTAGAAAAATACAAGTGTGAAGTACTCTCTAGATCAGGGGTAGTCAATCTTTTTATACGTACCACCCACTAATGCATCTTTCTTGAGGGTAAAATTTCCTTTTTTTACTGAGCCAGTATGGTGTAGTGGTTAAGAGTGGTGGACTTGTAATCTGGGGAACCGGGTTCGATTCCCCGCTCCTCCACATGCAGCTGCTGGGTGACCTTGGGCCAGTCACACTTCTTTGAAGTCTCTCAGCCCCACTCACCTCACAGAGTGTTTGTTGTGGGGGAGGAAGGGAAAGGAGATTGTTAGCCGCTTTGAGACTCCTTAAAGGGAGTGAAAGGTGGGATATCAAATCCCTCCTCCTCTTCTTACCGCCCACCAGTGCTGCAGTAACTTGTGCCGTAGAACCCGCTACCGCCCACATGGAATCCTGAATCGCCCACTAGCGAGCAGTAGGGACCAGGCTGATTGACTGTTGCATCGGTATTCCACAAAGGAGATTAAGGTGGTGTCCGTTATTCTCCCTCTCCACAGTTAAGCCCCACAATAGCTCTGGCATGTAGGTTCGGCTGAGGAGATCCCGCAGTCGGTGGCCGTAAGCCAGGAGCGGTGGCTCTCGATACTGGGCTTCAACTCCCATCCTAAGTGGCTTTTGTCCGTGTTGGCCGGTGGCAGCTAGAGGTCCACGGGCGCATCCTTTCCTCTCACGAAGCATGTGGCGAGTACACAACAGCCGCGGGGAAAAGCGGGGTGCGCGCGTGTGTGTGCCTGGTACATGAGGGCTTCCAGCAGTCGCCCGTTAGAATTCCCGCAGGGGCGAAGAGGTCTCCGGGCTTCATCAGAAGCGGTTCACCAGCGAGGAGGCATGATGGGAGTTGTAGTCCAGTAACTGCCTGAAGGCCCCACGTGGCTGGCGCCGGGTCCTAGAGACGAACATTTATCCCTGAACTGACAGCGGCTCTTCGCGCGCTTGAAGGGCCGCCTCCCTCCATCAACCCGCGCGCTATCCGCCGCCCAAGGAAGACGCGGCCGGAGGCCCCCGCCGCTCCTCCCGCCCAACGAGCCACGTGACTGACTCCGCCCCCTCCGCCAATGCTTTTTCCCCCCACCGCCCCTTTTGTCCTTCGTCGGATGCCGTCGTCTTCCCTAGCAGACAACGCGAGGCTCCGCCCGCCATCTTCTTCCTCGCTGCTTGTGGTGCTGCCGCCGCCGCCACCACCCGGTTCCGACCGAGCTCCGCCTGCGGGAGATGGGTAAGGCGGCGGGGAGAAGGAGGGGGATGTCTGCAGGCTTCCCTCCGCCGTCGCTGGCCCCTCCCGCCGCGCGCGGCCCCCTTTCTCCCCCTTGACGCCCGGCCCATCCGCGCCCCCTGGGTGCCCACCCCCACATGGCCTGAACTTCCCCGCCCCACCCACAGAATCTGTGTTTCTTCGTTTTTTACGCTCGCTGTTTAGCTGGGTGGGGAGACGGGGGCGGTTCCCACTTGTGGCTTACAAGTGTTCCAGATAAGACCTGTCACCTGTCCCTGTCCTCGGTCTTTTAAGAATTAAATGGCCTGGCACAAAAGGAAAATAGGAGAAGGAAAAAGACACACTCAAACATTTCCCCTGCTTTCTCTCTCCTTTACAGTGGTTGCTCGAAGTTTTGGTCTTGTGTGTTTACAGGGCCCAGGAGGGCTGTCCCTTTATGGCAGGGGCTCCCATTGCTCCCGCCCCCCAACCTCTCCAACATTTTACTTTTTCTTTGTACACTCCTCTGATTCTTTATCATTTTGGACCTGCTGCTCTTTGCCATTTTGTCCCCTGTTGCCAGCAGGAGCCAAGTGCTGTTCAGAGTAATTGGCAAACTATCCCTGCTTGTCAGCAGCAGCTGTTAGTTTATTGCTATTGTCACACGAAGATGCCTTAGGCAGAGCCAGAAGCTGGTCCGTCTAACTCAGTGTTGTCTGCACTAACCAACAGCCCTGCACACAAGCTTTGGCCCACCAAGCCAAACCCAGCTCCTTAGCTGTGTGCAGCTGTCAGATGAGGGGTGTGATAAAACCTTGAGGGTTTGATGCCTGTCTGGGGTGCATGTGGGAACTCCTGGTGACTGTGATCTCCTGGCAGGCCACAATACATGGCTTGTGGGCTGTGTTTGGCTTGGAGAATTGCTGGTTGCACAGACCTGATGTATAATGTTAGGAACACACTGTAGCTACCTAGTTCTGAGTCTCAAACTACTGTTAAATGGGCAACCTCAGAAGATGGTGGACTCTCCAGGTTGGATAGTCATCTGTCAGGGATTCTTTCACTGTGATTTCTGCATTGCAGGGGGCTAGATGACCTTTGGGGTACCATCCAGTTCTACGTCTTTGATTCTGTTGGTCCATCCAGCTCTGTTATATTGACACCAATAGCTCTCAACCTCTTCAGTCCCTGTGTTTGAGAACCCACATTTTCATTTTATGCTACCAATTTGTACAGGGATAGTGTTGCTGCTGCAACCATGTTACAGAGGCCCAATTGGCCTCCATTAGAAGTCAGGCATTTTGCATTGCTGGTCCCATGCTGCAGAACACTCTTCCAGCAGAGATTCAGCAAGCATCCTTCCTTTTGATTTTTAGGTGTTTCTTTAAGACTATTTAGTCTTAATGCAGCTATTGGAAGCTTTTTTTGACTCACCAGTCATTTTAATGATTGTTTTGCCATGGCTCTAATGAAGTCTTATTGCTGTACCCCACCCTGATATTTCAGCATATAAAAGATAGGATATAAATAGAATAAGTATGCCTTAGGCCAGGCCACAAGCTACCAGTGGGTCCTCAAGCACCAGTTGAAGCCCAGTGGTGTACACCAGTGTTTCTCAACCTTTTTCCAACAATGGCCCCGTTCTGACCTTGTTTCCTTCCTATGGCCCCTCCCCTCATGGGCATAGCTAAGAGGGGGCAGGGGGGCAGTTGCCCCCCCATAAGTAAAAATCAATGCAAATCTGAAGTTCTGCCCTCCCCCCCTAACAAAAGCCTGCGCCCTAACAAAAATCCTGGCTATCCCCTTCCCCTCCCATCCTACTGATAGAAAGGTAGCTATTTAAATGTTTTGTTTATAAATAGAACATGTTTTGTATGTAGTTTTTATAATTTATACAAAATACAATTAGGTACATAAAATGATAGGAGCATATTGAAATATTGTTGAAGCAGAAAAACATAGAATCATGGAGCTGGAAGGGACCCCAAGGATCATCTTTCTAGTGCAACCCCCTGCAATGCAGGAAAGGTGCACAGGGAGTTCTGTATATATGGGAGAATTTAAAAAAGCAAGTGGTCCTCACTGACCTGGTGCAAAAGTACCTTGTCATCTGAAGGAGCCCTGGCTGCCTAGATAAAACACTATAGCCCCCCACACCCTTACCTGGGAGTAAGGCCAACTGAACTCAGTAGACACTTAGTTATTTACAAGATGCAAGTCAGCAGCACCAGACGACCCCGCTCAGCTAGGCGCTGGGGTGGCTTGCGCCTTGCAGAGTCAGGCTCAGGCTGCCACTGGGCACAGCACTGACGGCATCAACAAGCAGCTCCAGCTCTCCCAGCCCTACCCATTGCCACCCCACCATCACACTTACCTGACCTGGGGATTTTGGATCACAGACTCTACTGGTCAAAACAGGAGCCTCAGCGATTGCCCTCTTCCGCTGGAAACAAACCAGAACTGCTCCAAGAAAAAAGCATACATGGTAAAAAGGAGCTCTAGGCCTTGGTGGGTCTCCCTCTTACCCACTTGTGATTGGTCAAGCGGATAGCCAGCCAATCAGGATTTCCCCCCTTTGATTCTCACATACCTCTGTGGCCTCCTAGCCTCATGCTGTGGCCCCCAATTTATGCGATTTTCACCTGTGCCCCCCTTGGGAAATCCTGGGGGGGCCCCAGGGGGCTCTATGGCCTCCGGTTGGGAAACACTGGTGTACACTGACAGGCAGATGCTCTCTAGGACTTCAGGCAGGCGCTGTTCCCAGATCGCTCTGGAGATGCCAGAGGTTGAAACTGGGACTTCTGCACTCAAAGCACATTTCCACCAAAAACTGTGACCCTCCCCCTTTTATTCCTTCCATAAATAGAAACCAGTGCCTACTGCATTTCCTTACTCTTGATGTCACAGAAGAGTGGAGTTCAGGGTGGGGCTACATAGGTAGGAGAGGGCGTGGTTCTTAATGGCTAGGAGTTACTAGAAAGTAGAGTTAGCCCCTCTCCCAGTGTGTCCCTGGGCGCTCTTCTGTAACTTTCTCCAAAATAATGGAATGACAACATTGGGTGCTAGCTTGCAGTAGGGGTGAAATCTGCCCAGATGCCAAGTGGATCTGGGGAGGTGGGCTTGTAGAGTGCCCTTGGAAAACAATGATGAGTATTTTGCTGAGGTCTCCTTCTGTCACTAAGAGTATGGCAGGTGGGTTGATGACACAAGAGTATCAAATACTCTCTTAAAGGAGGTTTGGTTGGCTCCATCTGTGCCTACCTTTTGGCAAGCAGCAAAAATATGTTTCATCTTATTGTGCTTTTAGAAAGCTTTTTCATGGACATTTTGTATCACTGTATCGCTGCTGAGCATTAAAATTACTGTAATTGTTGTAAATGTTTATTGCCATGGACATTTTTATACTGCACTAATTATTTTAAAATTCTAAGCTGCTTTGGTGATTTTTCATACAAATGGGAAGGTACTTGGAAATGGATCATATTTATTGCCACTTTTATATCTCATTCCCCCACCCAAGGAACTCAAAGCAGCGTGCATACATCTTTTTCCTCCTCCACCATCACCACCCTTTCTCCCATTGTATTCTCACAACCATTCTGTGAAATAGGTTACCCAATAGGGTCTGGTTCAAGATCACTGTTTGTTTCATGGCTGAGCGAGGATTTGAGCTCAGAATCAAGAAACATCCTCCATTACACCACTGCTGCTTTTGCTCAACCTTCCCTTCCTTAATAACTAGGGCTAGGAAGAGAAAGTAATATTCTTAGGAGCCAACATTGAATTTTTAGACACAGCTCTGATGTCTAGACACCAGCTTCTCATTCCTAGGGAGTGCACTGTACACACTAAAAATATTTGTGTTCTAATAGACAGGCAGGCAGACACGTCTGTGAGAAGGGGACACACTACAGTGGAGCACCTGTTTGGCAGCTGTGGATCCCCATGGCATACGCTATTTTACGTGAAGACATCCTAATACTTCTAAAGGGATTACTTATACTAGAACTAGCTATTGAAATGATTATACGTAAAGAGTGTTGGTGTAACATAAAGCTCAAGCTCCTCGTTCCAGTCTTTCATCTATTATGAAAACACTAAGCAATTTTGAGTGTGCCTCTGACTCTCAGCCCTGAATCCGCAATATATGAGTAATGTTACTGATCCACCTTTCAGGGCTGTTGTAATGATTACTAAGAGAATCTTTGTGAAGCCTAAGGGTTCACACACTAAGGGTTGGTGTCAGTGTGTGTACCAAATTCCTCTGGAAATTTTAGAACTGTGTGATGTTTTGCAGATACCTAAGGAATTGCTATGCCTACCCAGACCTAACATTTCCAGTTCTTCAAACCAAAGTAATCGTTTGATGAGAGAGCTCAACCCTCTTTGACTATCGGTGGTTATGGCAGGGGGAAGAAGGGGCCCTAACCGGACGTCCTACTGCCGCAATCCTCTCTGTGAAACTGGAGCCACTGGGGGCGCTGGCCATTCCACCAGTTCTTCAGTCACCAGCGTGCGCTCCCGTACCAGGTGGGCATGAACCCCCAGAGACTGTTGGATCATTCTGTCTGATACAGAATTCTGTCCTATCTGAATTCTCTCTTGCTCCTCCAGCACCCAAAGTGGACCCAGTACAGCTCATCAAGCTTAGCTACTTCTTTTCTCCTGTATACAGTGGCTTAGAAAAGTTGATAGGAAACTGCCATACACCAAGTAAGAGCATTGGTCCAACCAGCTCAGTGCTGTCTGCACTGCCTGACAGCAGCTCTCCAGAATTTCAGACAGGTCTCTCCCAGCGCTGCCTGGAGATGCCAGGGATCATACCCTGGGACCTTCTGTACGACAAAGCAGATGCTCTAGCACTGAGCTATGACCCTTTCTCTAAAAGGGAAATGCCGATTCAAATCTCACCCCAGCCACAAACACTCTAGCTGTATCCATCAACCACTGCCTCCACCTGCAGTATGGTGGTAGCAATACTGACCTAACTTGCAGGACTGTTAAGGTTTTTCAAGTATGAAACACTGTCAGCTTTGAAAAAGCACTGCAAATGCATGGGATTTCATAGAGACTGCAGCTCCCAATGAGAGCACCTTCACTGTGTCCCATTTAGGTCAGGCCCTACTCTAAATCCCTTTGCTGTGCAATATGAGAATTTTTGCCATATGAAACGAGGTCTACATGGCATCCACCAGCCTGACTGACCTTAGTGGGAGGCTAGAGTGGGAGGAGGCTGATGCCTTTTTAAGAGCTTGGTCATGCTTATATAGCTGTAGGGCAGCCTTCTAATGCTGTGCATCTAAGCCAGGGCTGAGGCATCTTTCTGTGGTGCTTGAGATGTTGTTAGACTTCCAACTCCTATCAACCCCAGTCTCTGTGTGTGTGGCCAGTGCTCAGGGATGGTGGTAGTTACAGTCCAACAATTTAGGAGGATCACAGGTTCTCCATCCCTGCCCTAAACCATTTAGGTCTTTAGCGGCTACTGAGGCTCTAAATTCAGTGTTGAATGTGTAACTACTACAGACACCACCTAGGCTCACAAGCAATCTGGTGGCCGAATTTCTGGAAGTTTCAGGCTCCCTTTAGAAGTATTCCTTTGCAGAAAGCATTACAGTAGTCCAGTCTGGGATACAGTATGCTGCCATGACTGATTCTGTTGTTTTTAATTATTTTTGTCTTGAGCTGCCATGAGTTTCAAAAAGGTGCTGCAAATGATTTACAGAACTTATTATTATTATTGCTGTAAGACCTTGGCAATGCAGGCGCATCACCCTTTCTTGCCTTGGGAAAGTGCACCATAGTGGCATTGAAGGGAGGGCAAGACAGGTGGAGTAGGGGGCATGGAGTGGGGGGCTGCTTATGGCACAGAGGAGGGGAAATTGGGAGAACGCAATACATTGGTACAAAAAGTGGCACATTCATGTTAGCAATTTCAGGCCTAATTCTTAGGTGGATGGATCTGAATGCTTGCATTCAGAAGTTTTTCTGAGCTGTCTTTTTTTCCTTCTGCCCCTCTTCCGCTGTAGGAGTGGCTCAGGGACGGGCCTTTCCAGCCCTCCTCTGGCAACCCAGACAGTGGTTCCCCTCCAGCACTGCAAGATCCCAGAGCTTCCCATTGAGAGGAGCATCTTGTTTGAACTCCAGCTCTTCTTCTGCCACCTTATCGCCCTCTTTGTCCACTACATCAACATCTACAAAACAGTGTGGTGGTACCCACCATCACACCCTCCATCCCATACCTCGTTGGTGAGTATCTAGTGAGCTTGCTGCTCACTTGCAAGATCACAAAATCACATTGATAAGGTCAAGAAGAGTATAGACATATATACACAAAATAACACTGAAGCTTTTTTATTATTCTCTAAAAGCTTTCTTAAATAGGAAGACCTTGCACTGCTTCCTTGAACAGGGCTCTACAGTGACACCTATTGACAGAACATGTTATAACAGGACAAGTTTTGCTGCAAAAGATGTGCATTACATAATCAGAAAGTGAAAAAAGCTGCTTCATTTCATATTTATGACTAGTAGCAAAGCTGGCTTCAGAGATCTGATCAGGCATTTGCCAGTGCCCAGAAGCATAATGGTGCACACTTTGCATGGAATAGCCAAGAAGGTCAGGTTTGTTCTGTGAATTCTAGGATTGCCCTCCCAACCTCTTTCAGATTAGGCAGGTCCACAAAGGTTCCTTGCCTGCGGGTGGTGGCGGGCAGTATCCTAATGCTGTGGGTATGGTGAGGCAAACCTCTCCACTTCTGTGGTCATAGAACATTCATCCATATGAGTTAGAATTAAGGCAAAAAAACCAGGTGGGATTCAGCTCAAAAAAGCAGTAAGTCTTGGAGTGAGTGAGTGAACCTTCCCTTAGTCTTCATGAAGTTGGATCTTTGGTGGGTTCTTTTTTTCTGCTATAACTTCTCATATGTTTCCCAGTGGCCCATGGAAGCCTCTTCATTTTCATTTTTCTATAAGCTTGTGGACCAATCAAGTCCTCTTTTTCTGTTTCTGCTTCTTTCTACAGAATTTTCATCTCATCGACTTCAACGTCCTGGCAGTGACAACCATTGTTCTGGCAAGGAGGTTGATTGGTGCTATCGTGAAGGAGGTGAAGGAGGTAGAGGCCTGGAGCCCCCCACCCTATCTGGGGGGTTACTCGCTTCCTGTATTTAAGCCTGTACTTGTTTCAGCTTTTCTTTATTATGTAAAGAGCAGCTGTGCTCTATGGCAGCCTCCATTCATTCCAGTGGATATGTCTATTACTGGCTTCCCATAAGCAAGCAGGGATTAGCACTGGTGAGCTTCTGTAGGGAGGGAGTTCCAAAAAACATGACCCTTTGTCCTTTCACCCCAGCCTGTAAAGCATGGCCTTCCTCACCTGTCTTAATGGGTGCAGAGAGACCACAGATGGAGTAAAGCAGCCCTTAGTGGATGTTTGGCTTAAGGCACATAACGGTGCAATACCAAGCATGTTTATTCAGAACTAAGTCCCTTTGAATTCATTGGGACTTAGCGAATATGCTTAGAGTCTGCAACCCTAGAACTAGGAATTCTGATGCACTGCTGATTTTTCCCCAAAGGGAGAGGGAATATATGATTTATGGGCTACTATTAAAATATTTAAATTGTACTTTAACCCGTATTTTAATAAACTGGGTTTCCCACCACATTATGTTTTATTATAATTTTATTGGTGTTAGCCACCCTGAGCCCAGCTCTAGCCAGGGAGGGCGGGGTATAAATAAAAATTTATTATTATTATTATTATTATTAGCCCACAAGATGGGGTGATGTTTGCCACTTTGGGAGACTTTAAAAAAGAATTGGACAAATTCATTGAGAATAAGGTTATCAGTGGCTGCTAGTCATGACAATGGCCTTCATGTATTGGAGGTGGGATGCCTTGGAATTCCAACAACTGGGGAACTTGAGAGTGCTGCTGATCTTGTGTCCTGCTTGTGGGCTTCTAACAGGCATCTGGCCACTGTTGAAACATAATGCTGGACTACATGGGTCTTTGGCCTGATTCAGCAAGCCAGACTCGTCTTATCTTCCTCTTCCTCCTCCCAGGCTTCTCATACTGGCAAAGTCTCTCTTCCGCGCTCTGTTTTCCTGGTGATCACTCGTTTTGCTGTCCTTACTGGGGCAGGTTGGAGTTTGTGCCGATCCATAATCCACCTCTTCAGGACATACTCACTCCTCAACCTCTTGTTCTTGTGCTATCCGTAAGTACCAGCAAACCCTTCTCATATTATTATAAGTTGCTTTGGGTTGCCTTGGGCAGATAAATAATAACAGTGAGACATTTCAGAGCCCCTCTCTTTCTGTTCTTCCCAGGTTTGGCATGTACGTCCCCTTCCTGCAGCTAAACTGCGACTTCCGCAAGACTGGCCTCTTCTCCCAAGTGGCCAACATTGGCCCCCGTGACACAGGTGAGGTCAGCTCAAGGGGCAAGGACTACCTATCTGTTCTGAAGGAGACCTGGAAGCAGCACACCCGGCAGTTGTACGGCATGGAAGCCATGCCCACCCACGCCTGCTGTCTCTCCCCGGACCTGATCCGCAACGAGGTGGAGTACTTGAAGATGGACTTCAACTGGCGCATGAAGGAGGTGCTGGTGAGCTCCATGCTCAGCGCATACTATGTGGCCTTTGTGCCCGTCTGGTTTGTGAAGGTATGTGAACAATGGGTGAGTTGCCTATGCAGCACAAAATCTAATTGAGGGGGGACTTTTTTGACCCAGGGACCAGGCACTTCCTTCTGAGGAACCTTTCAGAGGTTTCATGCCAGTGGTGGGTGGGCCAAAAGTGGGCGAGCGATAAATGCAAATTTTACCATTGTACAGCAAGCTAGTTTCTACACACAATGAAGTACTGACAAAACAGATAATGTAAGAAATAAACACATAAACTGAAACATAAATTAACGCAAACATTTCTTTTGTGGGTGGCAACCTGGAAGGAAACAAAAGTGGATATTGTTGCCTTTGAATTTCCCTCTTTAAAGCAGGTAGTCAGGCTTGGCAGCTTTTCAGAATTTGGGGTTTTTGTTTTTGTACATGTGCGGTCTTCGTTCCTGTTGGGCCACAGATGATTTGCATGAGTGTGTTTAGGCAAAGGCAGCAAATTGTGTCAATAGCTAGCAACTCTTTGAAATTTTGTACATTCTGGCCTCCTCTGCCACCACCCGTGAAATAGAGTGGCCCTGGAGTTGGCCATCCCTGCTGTAGAAAGTTCTCACAATCTCACTGCCTTGCACCCAGAAAAGCAGTTCTCTTGGTAGATGCAAATTGGATTGGTTTACTTTGTGGAGGTGAAAGGCCAGCTCTAAAGATACCATGCCTGTCTAACATCTGCATGCTCTCTCTCCCGCCTTGCTTTCCTACAGAATACCCAGTATTACGACAAGCGATGGTCGTGTGAGCTGTTCCTCTTGGTTTCCATAAGCACCTCTGTCATCCTCATGCAGCATTTGCTGCCTGCCCGCTACTGTGACCTCCTCCACAAGGCTGCAGCCCACCTGGGCTGCTGGCAGAAGGTTGACCCAGCACTCTGCTCCAATGTGCTACAGCATCAGTAAGCAGATCTCTGATCATGGCTCCCATACTCTTTCTAAAAACATTTCTGGGGCTGGTAGGTAGCTACCTGCATCCTGGGGCAGGATGCAGGTAGCTTATGTACAACCTCAACATCGGTCTGAGTAAACTGAGAGGGTGTCCTGGGACACACAGGGTGTGATGAGCAAGCTGCCTCTTGTGTAAGTTCCTGCTCTCACTGAGCCTTAATCGGTTTCCAAAGAACACCGCTTGAAAAGCACCGGTTGACACCATTGGGTATCCTTGGACAACTACCCCTTTGCTCTTCCATCCATGCCTTCTTTAAGGTGTGTATCAGAAGCCGAATCAGATCAAAAGTGAGAAACATACACACACCAGTAAAAATGAGTGCTTCCCTTTTCACCCTGGCATACCTGGTCACATAAAGCAATAGCAGAAGCAGGTAGGGTGAAAATATTGGGTTGCCAACATTTGATGTGGCCCAAATGCTGTGCATATGGGTCCTTTTTTCCTGTTTTTGTCAAGCTACCAGATATTGCTTTGAGCCCAACCAGCAGTGTATGAAGGCAGCAGATCTCCGCTGTTCATTGACCCCCCAGCTCTGGTACTCAAAGCCTGCCATTCCTTAGCATGGGGAGCTTTTATGGCAGGCATAGCCCTTGTTGGATTCTGGCTTCAAAGGCTTTAAAAGGGAGGATGATGATAAGAGATTTCAACACCTTTTGCATAAAAGTAAATAGCTGGCAGCCCTAGGAAGATGTTCTCCACACACAACGTGCATGCCCACACCTGAAATAGTACTATCAGGAGTAGCTCATGTCTGCAATTTCATGTATGGGTAGATGGATTAGAACAGCCTTCTCTAAGCTGGTGCCCTTGTTTATTGACTAGTGGGAATTATAGTCCAAAATATCAGTGACTTGCTCTGCAGTTCTCTGAGTGCTTCCTTGGGACTATTCACCATTACACACAGTGGTACTGAGTCTGTGAAGTTTTCCCATCTCTCTCCTCCCATCTCAGGTGCCTCTTTATTTATTTTTCAGGTGGACCGAGGAATGCATGTGGCCCCAGGGGGTGCTAGTGAAACACAGCAAAAATGTGTACAAAGCCGTCGGCCACTACAACGTGGCTGTGCCTTCAGATGTCTCCCACTTCCGGTTTCATGTAAGCTTTTGCTCTTTTCCAGTACAGAATGATGAATGCATGACTGAGTGAGCTGACATCCTTCTAAGGAGCCCAGTGGTGTGAGGTTCAAGGTGGAACCTCTCCCGTTTATCCTCACAGCAACCCCTATGTGAGGTAGGCTAATCTGAGACAGAGAGAGTGATTGGGTCAAAGAGTTTTGAGCGTAGACACACTAATCGCTATGCTGTATTGGCACTCTTAGGCATTCTGTCTGGTGGGCTACCTAAAGGAGCCACATTCTGCAGCCAGAATTCTACAGATCTTTAGGGAGCAGGCACAAATGCATAAATTTGCCTGGTTGCCAGATTTTCAGAACATATGAAGGACCTTGCTGCTAGATTAACCAAAGGCCAACCAGATGCCTGTGAGAAACCCACCAGCAGAACTTGAGCACAACAGCACTTTTCCTCGCCTGTGATTCCCAGCAACTGGTATTCGGAGTCATGCCACCTCCAACATAGAACATAGCCACCATGGCTCTTCAGGCATTTCTTTCTGGCCTAAGTAGGCATGTGAAGGGGTCTGCAGGGATGAAGGTGCTAAGCTGTGCTCTCATTGCCATTCCTGCCACCCTCTGTGAATCAGCAGGTCCCCAGTGCACACGGAGGCTCCCTTTGCTTTCAAAACCTTTTGTTTTTCCAGAGTTCTGAAATACCCAGGAAGCCTCTCTGAGTACAGTTTGCTGTCTAGCCTCATGGTGAGAGCACAGATACTGGGGTGGTGGAGGAACTGGCACATTTCCCCCTGTTTCCCCTGCCCCAACCTGCTCACATAATGTGGAAAGAAGAATGTCTGAAAAGGAGTCAATAGGTAGGTAGGTAGGTAGGTAGGTAGGTAGGTAGGTAGAAAGAAAGAAAGAAAGAAAGAAAGAAAGAAAGAAAGAAAGAATAATAAAATGTTAGTATATGAAGGTGAAATCATAGCAGTGCAACAGCTAGCATAGAAGAACTGATGCGCTGAAATTAAACTGATGCCTGTTTAATTAAAAGAACAGAAAATTCAGCATGGAGAATTCAGGATGGAGAGAGAGGGAGTTTGTCTTAACCTCAAACAAGGAAGGCTGTGTCTGTAGCCCCTGCCAGTTGCCCAGGCATCAAAGAAGGGAGACAGAAGGGCCTCTGAGGCCAGTATTAATGCTCAGGCAAGCTCATAAGGTGAAGACAACATGTTCACATCCCCTTTAGGGCTTCAAAAGGTAATACCAGCACAATTTGTCTCCTGTGCATAGAGGGTGCACCCTAGAAAACACCGAACACTCTTCTATGGCTGCAGGTTGCAGTGAATGATCAGTAGTGGCTGGAGTTCAAGGACATTTGTCCGCCATTGCTGAACCCCTGATGAACTGTTTGAGAATCACTGCAATAAAGGTTGGAAGGTAGTCTCCAGATTCAGATGGAACATATCGGTGTGCGCACCTGCATTTACTTTAGAATGCACTTAAGTAGATTTAATCGTTAGAACAAAAGAGCAAGGTTCCACTCCTCTTGCAGACAAAAGTCTAGGCCAGCCTTCATCAACTTGGTGCCCTCCAGATATTTTGGACTACAGCTCCCATCAGGCCCAGTCAGCACAGCCAGTGGTCAAGATTATGGGAGCTTGGATTCCAAAAGGATTATGGGAACTTGGGAGTCTGGAAGGGCACCAGGTTGGGGAAGGCCAGTCCGGGCAGTTCCCAGGAAATTGCCGATGCCTCACCCATCTTTGGGCCATCCAGTTCTTTTTCAGCAAACCCCTGCGGATCTTAAACATCCTGATTCTCCTCGAAGGAGCCGTCATCTTCTATCAACTCTACTCGCTGATCGTGTCAGAGAAGTGGCACCAGACCATCTCACTAGCCCTGATCCTCTTCAGCAACTACTATGCCTTCTTCAAGCTCCTGCGGGACCGGCTGGTGCTGGGCAAAGCTTACTCGTACTCCGCCACCAGAGACACTGACCAGAAGCTCAACTGAAAGCCTTGCACAAGCAGGCAAACCAACTCTGCCACTTTGTCGGGGGCAGCCGGAGATGCTTCTGCCGCCCCGGGCAGCTGCTCCTCCCTGCTTGAGAAGGAGGCTGCCACCCCAAGGGTGCAGGAGGGCGGTGCTTGGACGGCAGTGTGCAGCAGTCAGGCCGGCCCTGAGCTTTGTATGTTCGTTTTTTTACACTGCTTTTTGTCTTTGTTTTGTTTTTCTTTGATAACTGATACAATGAGGTAAATATCTTATTTTTATACTCCCAGCTGTTGTCAGCCTGGTTTGTCCAGTAGCAAGAGCAAAGCAGCAGGTCCTTGGTTTAAATCTCAGAGCTGGTCTAGAGAAGTGGCGAAGAGTCCTGACCTGTTATCCAAGCAAAAGTCCCCTGTTCAAATCTTGCCTCTGTTACAAACTCGGTAGGTGGACTTAGGCCACCCTTATTTCCTCAGCTCTCCACCCTCCATGGGCCCCAGTCTGCAGTATGAAGTCCTGCTGGCCCGCCTTGCAAGGCAGTTGTGAGGATTACTGAATCAATGGAAGTTGAAGCAGTTTGAAATTGTTGAGATATACTCTTTTAATGCTTGGGAGTTTTTCTCCCTTATTTAGCAGCCTGAACATTTATGGCACTTTGTTAGCAAGCATGACAGTTGCCTGCCCAAACATAATGAAACTTGAGGAGCTAGAGAAAAGGACCACTAAAGTGATTCAGGATTTTATGGGGGCGGGGGCGTTAAGATGATCTTTAGGAAGAAAGAGAGCAATTAGAAAGGGCAGGGCATGTGGAGCTGATAAAAGATTACTGCGGTGAGAACTGAAGCAGGTTTGTAGGATTACAACTCGAATCATAGAATTGAGTTGGAAGGCACCCCCAGGGGTCATCTAGTCCAACCCCCTGCAATTGGTGCAGAGCAAATGAACTGAGAAAAATGGTGTGTGCACATTCTCAGTGCTAAGTTCCTGAATGTGTAGGCGACACATGGAAATGAACCCTCCAGCTGTTTTGGGCCAGCTAGCACCAATGGGAAGCCTGCTCCTAACAGCTGCTGGGCATAAACAAGCTGGACAGCTCAAGGGGCCCCATCAGTCAGCATACTGTGCCTCTCCATCCTCAGAGCTACAGCCTCTTCTCCCCACCCTTATGCCATCGCATTTCTCTGCTACCCACAGGGTAGGCCAAACTCCCTCTCATTGTTTTTGTTTGCGGTGGCACACTTTTTGCAGTTCCAGAGGGAGCTGTGTCTGCCAGCAGCAGGTGCACAACGCAAGTGAAGGCTGCCATGACCCTCCCATCTGATTGGATTGGCGCTTTCCGTACAGAGCGTGGCTTGCACACAGAAGCAAATGGCCACCAGGTGGCAGTTGCTGCAATGTCTCCTTCCAGATCTCTCTCTGGTGACTTGTTGCTAGGGCTCTCACCATTTTCTATCCCAGAGGCAAGGGGCCTGTTGTTTTCGCTGCATATTTTGCCAACTGAAGTGGCAAGCAGCCCTTCTTTAAACAGCAGTTACACCTCCACTCCCTGTGGCTCCTGTCTGATGCTTACTTTCTAAAAAGCAGGGGAGGGGGGTGTTGCATGGCCTTCATACATAATTACCTTCATCCTTGAGGCACAGCATTCAAGAGCAATAGAGGGACTAGAAAGCAGTTGTGGTTAGTCATTGCGCAGGAATGGAGAGGTAGATCTTTCCTGAGTGGGCCATCTCCCCACCTCCTGGATGTGAGAACTTGGGACACATAACACCTCTGTCTTTCCAGGATTCAGCTTTATTGTATTGGCCCAAATCCAACTCCTCGCCACCTCCAAGCAATGTTACAACACCTCAATCACCTCTCCTGATTTAGATAGAACAGAGAGAGAGAGATGGGTGTCATCTGCATGTTGATGGTATTTCAGATCTCCTGATGAGAGCTCCCAAAGGCTTCATATAGATGTCAAAGGACATGAGGGGCAAGAAGGAACTCTGTGGGATACCCCAGGACAACTCCCAGAAGCCTCCTTTAACTTCTTTCTGAAAGTGGCTCTGTAGGTAGGAGTGGAGTTACCAAAGCACAGTGCCCCCACCTCCCTGTGATGCTTCCAAAGGATACTGCGGTCAGTATCAAAAGCCACCAAGAGATCACGGAGAACCAGCAGGGCTGTATTCCCCCATCTCTCTCCCAACAGATTAATTAAATGTCATCAATTAGGGTGACCAAGGCAATTTCAATGCCATGGCCAGGCTTGAAGCCAACTGGAATAGCTCCAAGTCATTAGCTTTTTGAGCACCTTCCCCAAAAGAGGGATATTCACCACTGGACAATAGTTGGTTAACAACTTGCTTGTTAAGCCGAGGACTGGGGATAACTGACCAGTGCTGTGAAGAGCTGGTGAGGGAACATCCTCCCCCCCCTTTCCTCTCTGTGTCCCCACCACCACCACTTTGTGTCCTTTGATGCTTCCCATCCGGCTGTCTTTGGCCTGGAAGCTGCTGCTTGGCTGGTGCCCTCTTGCCTTCACCCACTGTGGATGCGAAAAGTTATCAGGCCAGCAGCTGGTGGGTGATGCTTTCAGCCGGTGCAAGTAGAACTGGAGCCTCTTCCTTGCTGTGCCTGGATCTTCAACCTGGTTTTGCGTATAGATCCAGCTGCTCGGCCATTGTCCCATCCGTTCCTGTCGTCGCCTGCTCCTGCTTCATGGAAAATCTCACCAGACAAGAGTTCTTTTCAGCCCCACCTCAGGCTTGCACGAGTCCCCGCCTTGTCCCAAGGGATGGGAGGAGGAGGAGGAGGAGGAGGAAGACTTGGTGCTGCTGCTGCTGCTTCACAAAGCCCCTTTCCCACTGCAGCTCAGAGGACTCCCGCTGGCTATCTAGGCCACCAGGGCACCATCTGTCCCTAGCAAGATTATTGCAAATGAAATAAGAAAAGTCTTAGCCCAGAGATTAAAATATTTAATAGACATGTTTGTTCCACAGAGAAGACTGCCTTTACAAGAAGGGAGCTGGCTGGTTGCCCTTAGCACTTTCCTTGAGCTGGCCTTTCACACTTGCCCCAGAAGGGCAAGCAGGAGGCTGGAGAAAGAGCCAGAGCTCAATGACAGAGCATCTGCTGGTTCAGTCCCCAGCATCTCCAGAACTGGGAGAAATTCGCTGCCTGAAATCCTGGAGCAAGAGCTGCTGCCTTTCTGTGTACATAATACCAAGTTAGATGGACCCAACGGTCTGAGTCTGTATAAGGCAGCTTCCTCTATCCCAGGGGTCAGCAAACTTTTTCAGCAGGAGGCCGGTCCACTGTCCCTCAGACCTTGTTGGGGGCCGGACTATATTTGGGGTGTGTGTGAAAGAATTCCTATGCCCCACAAATAACCCAGAGATGCACTTTAAATAAAAGGACGCATTCTACTCATTTAAAAACATGCTGATTCCTGAACCGTCTGCGGGCCAGATTTAAAGGTGTTTGGACCGGATCCAGCCCCCGGCCTTAGTTTGCCTACCCATGCTGTATTCACTTGGGAGTGGGTGCCATTGAACCCAGTGAAGCTTGCTTCTGTGTAAATGTGCATAGGATTAGACTTTGTTACCTTCCCTGCAACATCAGCTGTCTCAGGTGATGGTGCGATGATATAAATCTACAGGCAGAATTAATTTTGGGGAGTTCCTTGGAGAGCAGCTGCCAGTCAGTATAAACAGTACTGAGGTAGATGGACTTTTTGGTAGCTTCCTATTGCAGCTTTTAAGCTTCGCTTCTGTGCCAGGCCAGGAAGGAAATGCCTGTAAAGCAGAGGGATTGGGCTCTCAAACGTTGGGCACACTGTTTTTCCATAATGATGCCAGCCTAGTTCCTCTGCTCTGCCATCGCAAATGGTTCACTTCTATCATAAGAGCTGCTGGGCTCAAGCCTGTGGGGAAATGCTGTCCTCCAGTCCCAGGTGTGAATGGGCAGGCACAGCTGGTTAGCTTCTTTGGCAAGGGAATTGGACTCCATGCATGCTCAGAAGCAACTGAATTGCCACACTCATTGCTCAGCTTGCAGCCTGCTGCTGACAGCGTTTTTGAGGCTGAACCTCACCACCTGTTAATGAGGATGGAGGCAAGCCTGGTCCACTGAAAATTTGCAGGTGAAAAGTCTACCCAACTTTGCTGGGAAGATTGCCAGTTTAAAGGTGCGGTAAGAGATACCTACCTTCCCAAAAGTGTCCTGAACATTTAGTAGTGTCCTGTTTTTGCTTTTAAAACAAACAGCTTGTGGCAGACACACTTGAGATCCAACATTGAGGCCTTTCATCAGTTTCAGCTGCTTCATTGAAGTTCTTCATGCCCTCCGCCAGCCGGCGCCAAAATAAACGTTACTACCTAGAAACTGCCGGCTCTGTGTGGAAGACCTTCTTCCGCATCCAGATGGATTGTGAGGCATGCTTGGGTTTCTTGGTGATGGCTGAGATGCCATGCGCCCAGAGCTATGCTCATCTCTGTTCTTACTTCAAAACACTTGAGGACTGGATCCTGACATGGAAAGCCAATTCCTGAACTAGCAGCAATCCTTCGCCAAGAGAAAAAGCTCATTCCTGTGTACAGGGTGGTGGTTTTTTGAAGACAGCGTTATTTTGGAAAGAAGTTTCTCATGGGTGGGCTTGATTTGCACACCTGGGTGCATCTCTTGACCAAGCACAGACTCACACACATGGATAGTCAGTCCCAGATTTAGTACCTCAAGAGATAATTATTTCCATCATGGACATTTTGCTTTTAGTTGTGTGCAGTGTGGGGCAGCATAACACAAAGTGTAGCGAACTCATGTAATATCCACGTACATGTGAATCAGATCTCGCCCAGTTTGGCTCCTTTTATCATTCCAGAAGTTTATTCTGAACATCTCACTCTTCTTTAGTTCCGGTTTAACTAAAAGAGTTCATAGAATTAATTCTGGATTTGGAGCACATGGAGTTCCCTTGCTCTCAGTTCATAGGCATCTCCCCCTTTGCTCACATGGATAAACCTCTGCCAGAAAAAGAAAAGCAACTTTGATGTGGTTATATATAGGATTGTTTCAGTATTCTTTTTGTGCGCTGTTTTTGAGGCATCCAGGCCAAGGCATGAAGGCAAAAGCCGTCTACTTTTCTGTACAGGTGTATGTGTTTTCAGGAGAAAATCAGGCAGTGTGTATGTGTGGAACCACAGCAATATCTAGTCCAGGCTTCCCAAAACTGTGGCTGATGGGGATTGTAGTGTGAAATATCGGGTGGAGGGGGGGGGCACCAGCTTCAGGAAGCTTGATCTGTTTGAAAACCTGATATGAGCATTTAAAAATGACATGCCCCTACTTAACAAAAGGAAAAGGGATCTTTGTCACTGGAACCTTGGGAGTGTTGTCCCACAATTCTGACTCAGGGTCCCAACCCCCTGGGATGTTCTTCTTGCACACAGGCAGATGGGGAAGAGTTATGGGCAGACAGAGGTGCCCAGACTGGCCCAGCTATTCCTGCCAGTCGGAAGTTGCTCCTGGATGCAGGCACTAGTGGGCACCAGAGCACTGCTCCTGCCTCTGCTAGGAGACAGAGTCATGAAGGTGGCATCATTCTGTCAAACCTGCAACAACACAGAGAAATGGGGTGTGTTCCCCAAAGGCAATGAAGAGCAGAGAAGGAATAGTTGGGCAGTGCGGGGAGAATGGCAGTGGGAAAAGGTGGGGTTGGAGGAAGGAGATACGGGCAATACTACACCATGTGAGAAGCCACAACCACCTCTGCTATTAGGCAGCTGATTGATCGTTATTGATCGTATTATTGTTGTTTTCTTACTGCCAGTAAGGGGTGCTTGTGGAATTTTCTGCCTCAAATGCCAAAACAACTTACCTTTGGTACGGTGCACATTGACTTTGCAGTGGGGAAGGAGAAGGGGGGAGAGCAGGCATCACTTGCTATGCTGCCTCTGGCATCAAAATGACTTTGGCTGACCCTGGAGGAAAGCCCCCTCTGCACACAGAGCCCAGGGAAATGCAGTGAACGCAGGGGGAATTCCTGGGATCCTAGTTCCATCCATCCTGCATTATTCCCTTCTCCCTATTGAGCCAACAGAACCTGCGCTGCATGTCCACATGCTACTGCTGACGGTTTGCTACAGAGCAGTTAAATATTTGTGAATGTATCGTTCCAGACCAGCCGAGGGCTAAGGTTGGGTTTAGAAGTGACAGGTGGCAGGCGGGTGAAAGGTGTCATCACTTCCTTTCCCTCATCATCAAGCAATCCAGCATAGAAGGCAAAGCAGTTGGCTTCCACTGGTGCTCAGCTCATCAGGACTAAGCTCCCCTGATTTGTTTTCAGTGCTCAGAACTGAGCAGATGGATATGTGGAGAAGAGGGTGTCTATGAGTATATACAGTGTGCTGGACAACAGACTAATTTACACATACACACCTCTATTGATATTTTATGTATTTATACAACTATTTCCAAGCTGCCATGTCATAAAAATTCGCTCCATTGGTAGAGCATGAGACTCTTAACATCAGGGTCATGGGTTCGAGTCCCACATTGGACAAAATATTCCTGCAATGCAGGGGTTGGACTAGATGACCCTTGTGGTCCCTCTCAACACTACAAAATTCTATAAAATGTCATTAAAAACAATGCAGATATTTATTAAAGTGACTGGCTAAATAAAATAAACAACTGCACAGACCTGTTGGCATAGAATGGAATTCGAGAGACACCTTGAAGTCAAAAGCGACACTGCCTGCTGAATCTGCTGGGAGAGCGTTCTACACCATGGGACCAGCAGAAGTGTGCCTGGCTTCTAGTGGAGGCGAGTCAGGCCTCTGTAAAATGCAGGGGTTTGAGGACACTTTCAAGCCAGGTATGTGAAGCAGGGATGGTTAGGGGTGCGACCTGGAAAGATTGAGATTGGAACAGATTGAAAGGCCTGGAGGGCGTCATCCAGCTCCTGAAGTTCCCCACCCGGCAACATGAAGGGGCTGAGCCTCTGGGTAACAAGATGTGGATTCAGTGCTGAATTCACTGCCCACTGCTGGGAGGGCTGTGCCCTCTGGTTGCCCACTCACCCTCTGGACTTGCGATGCCACCTGTGTCCGGATGGGAGCAGCCTCTCTTGGTGGCTGCTTGCTGCGCCTCGTTTCCAGAGGGACTTGTCAGCCCACCTTGCACTTGATCTGGCATGTCGGCCTCATGATGGCAGCAAACCCCACAGGCACTCACAGGAGCTGGCTGCCAGTTTCTGTCCAAGGATTTCCCCTCTTGCTGCGGGCATCTTTTCCCAGACAAGAGAGAGAGAGAGAGCTTCTGAATTTGTAATTAAAGCTTTTATCAGGATCCCTGGTGCTGGGCCAAGCTTTGGGGGAGAAAAGTTCCTTGTCTCCTCTCCATTCGAGTGAGCAGACTCGTTCTTCAACTCCGTGCTCGCCACATCTGGGATTTTTTTCTTTTTTCTTGAACGTGGCCCCACATGCTTGGATTTGCAGCGTAGGGACAGGCTGTGGGAAAACCCAGAGGGGAGAGTTATTTTATAGTCTCTGCTTGGGGGAAGAAGGTTTAATGTCAGCTGTATTGAACTGTGAGCTGGAAATTAATTGTAAGCCTTAGACACACAATCACACCTCACAAAAAAACCCCAAAACATTCCATATTTTTATAGGGTGAGCCAATATAATTTTGACTAGATCAGTCGAAGGTGCTGAAACCAGGATGATGTAGCTCCGTCTGCTCCATGACTCTGCCTGCCTGCCTGACCTGATGCAGCAAAATCATCCAACTTGTGCACTGATGGCATCAGAAGGGGGTTGATGGGAGTTGTAGTCCAAAACATCTGGAGGGTACTGGGTTGTGGGGTGGGGGCTGCTGTAAGGAGAGGCTTTTGAGGAGGGCAGCCTGTGCTCCTCAAACGCTGGGGCTGCTCCTATTCTGTTCTTGCACTATAGCTTGTGCTAGATCACCAATCCATCCATTCATAAAACACCTGTGCTAAAGGCGCCCTCCCAAGGCAGAATTCATTTCTGTTCCAAGACTATCACCAACTGGCTCTTTGCTGACAGAGCTTTGTTTCCGTCAAGAAATTGGGGCGGGGGAACACTTGCTTTGGGATCCACATCTGTTCCTGGAATCATAGAATTGTAGAGTTGGAAGGGGCCACGGGGGTCAGGGGTCACCTAGTCCAACCTGCTGCGATGCAGGAATCTTTCCCCCAATGTTGGGACTCAAACCCACAACCCTGAGATGATGTCCTACCAACTGAGCCATCCCAGCTGAAAAGCCCTAGCTCCATACCCAGAGGCCTGGGACGGGCTCTGCATCTAGCCACCATGCACATCCCCACCCCCCAGCTAAAGGCCATGGGATGGGAGATTTGGGTTCTAGGATTAATGTGGACAGCACCTTTGACTCCACTCCTCCCTGAGCTTTCTGGGCCATGACCTTCCAGCCTTTCTTGCCAGTTCCCTACTTTCTTGCCAACACGCATACCTGTTCCCATCCCTCCTGATTCCCCACCCCTCCCACCCCTGTTTTCTTCTCTCAGAGAACTGCACTGCTTATTAAAGTGACTAGAATATTTGTGAAGATCCTGCGCCATCACTGCAGATTAGGCTAACCACTAAGGTAGAAGGGAGCAAATCATAGGCAGATAGGCCACCTCCCCGCACCATTCTCTAGTGTGTGTCTTTGTGGTGTGGCCCCCATAGGGGAGCCTGACTCATTACAGCCGGTCATGCCAAGTGCAGTTCACACTCTGCCAGCCAAAACAGGCTCTCAATGAGCAAAGACAGGTAGGGTGGGAGAGGAACTCAGCAGCCAACAAGTGAGTGGGCCCTTTCCACCTCAGATTGCAAACTCACTAGACGGGGTGTGTGGAGGGTGGGCAATATGTCGAAATCAACAGCTGAAGCTTTGCACAGAATGCACCTTTAACTGCTTGATAAGATTTGCAGAGAGTGGCATAGTAGCAGGTTGAGATGTTGGCAACCCTCTTTCTGCCACGTCTGTACAATTGTTGCGTTCCCAGCCCTTCCCTTCTCTTGGAATGGAGGCATGAAGGTGGCACTGCAGTGTTGCTCCCAGCGTCACAGAGTGGCACAACAGCGCAGGCATCTCGCAGTCTAGCCTCTCTCCTCCCACCTTCCTGCCAGCCAGCTAAATATAGATCACAGGAGCAATGAGGAAAGCAGTTCAGGTGCAGTCTAAATGTTGCTTTCCTGTCACTCAGTCAGCAAGAAAGCCCAGCTGCAGCTACTGGAGCCACCAGCCTGCAAGTGGATCCTGCCTTGCTCGGCATGGCAGACATGAGCACACCAGAAGTTTCTCTTTGGGTTTCAAGGAGAGGCTTTTGGACTTTGTATTGACATTTCAGTGACAGAGCAGGTGGCTCTAAGCTTGTGTTTATTAGGGTTAGGGGTGTGCAGTCCTGAACACGCATCCTTGGAAATGAGGGCAAGTTTGCCAGAGTTCTTTGCTACCCTAGTCAAATTATAATTCCCTGCCCATTAAATGCCCTCTGCAGTGAGCTATCCAGAGCAGCGTTTTTAACTGCACAATTATTTTCAATATACTCGACAAAAATACCTCTTTAAATACCTGTTCTTCTCGTTCTCTTATTCTACTTGTTAGACCTGCTAATTCTGCATATTCTATCATCTAAAGTTGGCAGTCTTCCTTACTAGGGACCTATCTCACTTTCCATTCTGGGGCTAACCAGATCCGAGCCACTGTTGTTGCGTACATGAACAGGGTAGCCTTGCCCTAGGATGCACCAACCAGCGCAGCATCTCCCAAGGAGGCAGAGGCAGAGGCAGAGGCAGAGATTCGCGGACAAAGGTAGGAGCGGGACGAGACAAATGGGCGAATGATGGGGTCAGTGGGATCTGGAGGTCCCCAATTTGCCCTCTTGAAACGTTTGGGGGGTATGGGAGTGTGCCTGGCTGGCGACTAACTCAAGAATCTGAAGAGCAACATATAATTTCTGGAGGTGGAGCCACATCACCCCATTGCAGTGAAACCAACAGGCTGTCTTGGCACTGCCGTTCTGCCTTCCATCTTTATCTGCTCTCATTTGCCACGATTACGCAACTGGATGTTTTATTTTTTAATGGGGTTCTTTTGTAGCCCACCCTGGGACTGCCTGCTATGAAGGGCAGGTTGAAAATATTTTCAGTAAGTATGTTAAAAAGAAGGTTGTGGCACCTGAAAGATTAAACAGATCTTTCAAGTACCATGAGCACTCTTTCTTGCTTTTAACAAATTACAGAATAATATACCAGTAGAAGCTCACTGTCACTATAGCGCACAGCTTATGGACATGTAAGAAAGCATTATTGTAGCACGATATTGCAAGAATGCAACTGCAATAATGGCATTGCTTGCAAAATTCCCAGAATGCTCAAATGAGTGAGGGAGCAGAGATCGACCGATGGGCTGTTTTTGAACATGATTCTTTTTTTTTGCATGCACCAAGCCTCACGAACCTTCCTGCCCTGCTAAGCAGCAATGGTCTCCCTCTCTAATTTCCTTTCGGAATCTGATTCTGGCTACAAGGCCCAAACATCTGCGCCAGGCGAGGCCCTGCTCCCAAACGCAGCTGCCATTTCTTCATCAGCGTATTGATGCCCTGTTTGTTAAGGAGGGTAGGGGGATAGCGGACAACCGAGCTTTCTAAGCCCCTGAATGGTTGCCATGGAAACCGGAGGAAAAAAGGTTACCGCGGTCCCCATGGGAACGACTGTCGTCAGACACACACACCCTACCATGGCCGCCAATATCCCACCCCTCTTCCTCCATACAAATAGGGGAGGGGGGAGTCAACGAGAGAGACAGAGATAGAGAGGAGAAAGATTCCCTCATGAAGAGGAGGGGGTGGGGAGTGGGAAAGGGCTACTGGAACACTTGCGATTTCAGACGAGACCTGGCCTGGCAGAGGATGCCCAGCGCTGGGGCAGAAGTGTGACCCTAGATCTCAATGCTTCCTTTGAACCAGGGAATGGCTGTGGGAGCAATGCAAGATGAATAATAATCCAAGGCTGTGCAGAGAATGACAGTGTCCTTGAGCTTGCACAGAGTGCCAGAGCTAGCTCCTGCACATCATGGGATGAGGAATGGGGAGCAGGAGGGCAGTCAAATTACCTGGAGGGAGGGCAGTTGGCTCCTGGGTCTTTCAAAGCTGCATGGGAAAGACTGGAATTCTAGCATGTACAACTTATCGCGCAGGCCAGTTGCGATTGCCACTATTATTATTTATTTATTTATTAGTTGCCTCTAGGCAACTTGCGGAATAAAGTGGAAAGTTGAAAACAACAACCTCAGGAATCACAGTAACTGTGAAAACCACCAGCGGTATCCTGGACAGAACTGTATCAATACAGGACATAGCATTTCACATTGTAATATGAGACAATCCTGAATCATACAGGACAGGTGGCAACCCTACGAGATGTTATGGACTTGAACTCCCACCAACCACACTGGCTGGGGCTGATGGAAGTTGCAGCCTAGAGCATCTGGAGGGTACCAAGTTGCCCGAGGATGACTTAGAGAGATCCT